TGCTAGAAGAAGATGCTCATGCGTGGTGTCGCTGACAGAGCTGAAAGGGACGCCGGTAGATTGACGGCCGCAATAGATGTTAAAACAAGATGCTCAAGCGTGGTTTCGCTGATAGAGCTGAAAGGAACGCCGGTAGATCGACGGCCGCAATATATTGCGGCTGACCTCACCTTCCGCGGTGACCAGCGTGACTGACGTCAGGTGCTCGGAGGCCACGCCGAACTTGCGCGCGGCCACCCCGAGCCCTCCCCCCAGAATGAGCCCCATGCCCGTGCGCCGGTAGTGCCCCAAGGGGAACATCAGATCGTAAACGCCCATCTCCTCGTCGATGTCGCCCAGAGTCGCGCCGCCCTGAATGACCGCCGTCTTTGTAACAGGGTCTACAACCACACCTGGGGGCATAGGAATCGTTTGGTCTGAGAGTGTTCGTTGATGCACAGTCCCCTGGCCGGAAGTTTCTTATTCACATTTCATTGACTCACAGTCTGTTGATGTCGGAAGGTGATGAGCAACGGGGAAGTTACGTAGGCTTCCATTTGTATCGCCCTGGTTGCGAATTTGACCTCAATTTGCAGAACTGAGTCATCAAGGGAAGACCGTTTCTCCACAAAGCAACCCGGGCAAGCGGCTCTACTTGCAAATGAAGACCGCTCCCTCGATTCGAAGTTGGCCGGTCGACTGGGCGACTTTTCATCCTTAACACCCAAAAGAGGAGCACTTTCAGTTACGATTCGGCGAGCCCGCATAGCCCGTAAGTGGATGGCTCACCACGCATGAGCGACATGTCGATTACCAGCCCCCCGTCGATGAGACCATGGCCCAGTGCGCTGTGCCCCCCGCCTTTGACGGCCACGTCCAACGAATGGTCCTCCGCAAACTTGAGCGCTTTGACGACGTCAGTGTTCCCCAGCGGCTGCATAAGGAGTCAAAACTTTGTTGGAGCTTTGGTTCCTACAACACATAGATTAGGTTTCCGATAATGAATTGAACAATTGATGAGAAGACTAAGGTCAAGGGCTGAAATTTGGTGGCCGTCATTCTCAGCATATGAAAGGACCTCAGAGTCCGAACGTGCTCAGAGCACACATTGTCCGTTTGCTTCTACAATGTCAGTTTGCTGTCTTCAAAGGCTCTTGGCCAAGGCTTTGAGTTATCTGCTGTAGGGTTGGCTCAGCATGGCTGACTTTTCTTACTCCCCAGAGAAGAACGGGATGCGAGCACACCACCAACAAACGATGGCATCAGAAGCAATCAGCACAGCCTCTGTCCATTCTGAGCTGCCTCGCCAATGGGTCAATGCACTTAACTCACATCACAGAAAGGTACTCCTCAGCCTCATATTGCAGGTTGATATCACCAGGACCAATCCACACTCTGGTTAGATTCTAAAGTAGAGAAAGACTATCAGGATTATGCAAATGCTGCTGCGTTTTGTGCAGCTGCCGCTTGGCTTGGTACAATCTACCACCATCAAGGAACGACGAGGATTGAGGCAAAGCTCATGAGTCTGGACAGAGTGAAAGAAGGACCCATCTTAGACAGTGCCACATGAGTCAACTGCAGGGGAGCTCCGGCGTTGTCCCAAATCTTCCAAGGTATGGAAGGTACTGAAGCTGGCACACAGCGAGAATGTAGTTGACTACTTTTAGTTTCTTTTGTCATTTTGGTTGATTACTGGGTCAGTTTCTTGTTACTCGCTTGTTGAAAGTGCTCACCTGCACAATGACACGTGGCGCACGGTCCTGGTACATCTTGTTCCACACTTCCCCCGCCTTTTGGAATGCTGCGCCATCGTCCACTGTCAGGACATTGCCGCGCAGGGAGGTGCGCAGGGCAGCGGTGGCCTCCTGTGAAAGCTCAGGGGATGCTGACGTTGCTTGGGCGGTGGCGGGCGTCATTGTGCTGAAGTTTGCAACCAAGGGGCACTTCTTGCTCCTGCAATTATCGGAGATGATAGCAGGCTAAGGAAAAACTCGCCTTTGTGAAAAAGTGATGGGGACGAGGAAGAGAGTATGTGGCAGGAAATTTCTCTGCAGTTAGCGAGATGTTGTGGGACGGAATGGTGGAATGATCAATTGGGCTGCTGTGACAACCTTTCATCTTATTTTCGTAGACTGGGAGTGCAGCAGATTAGCTGGGAGCTCGCGGCACACGATGCTAATCGTGCCGGTGCAGCGTCACAGTGAAGATCAACCTGCTCAACGTCACTCTGACGTCGCGCATACCTCACACAGCTGACGTCAAATGCTTCATTGCGGCTTTGACTTCCTGAACTGCGGAGGGAGTGCTCCACAAAGGTGAGAGGCCTGGCTTCGTCTATGCTTCCAGCCACAGTCCCTGTTTCCCGACCAACAAACATTCAAGCGGGCGCGCCCTCAGGCTCATGCGGAAGGAAGCGCTCCCTACATATTTGAAGGCCCTTGCTGGGATTCGAACGTCAGGTGCTTCGAGAGACTACCAAGACTACATGCGACTTTGTCTCGCTTTGAAGCAGTACGGCCGAGCCGCTGAAGGCGTATGCCGCAGTGTCAGCGTGCACTAGCAGCTTGAAGTAACTACGGTAGTCTTCACAGTGTGATTGGCTGAGCCCGAGACCGACTTGAGGTGCCGACCAGACTATTGGACCAGAGGTCACCAGACTGCGACGACTATCGGACTGAGGTCATAAACCGTACAGCTGCATGACCAATATTGGCCGCCGTCGGCTACGTCCTAGCTCCGGCCCGAGGGCAGATGCCGATACAGCGGTCGAAGCCGCTTCCGTGAAATGCACACAGTACAGAGACGACAATATGCACCCAGATGACCGTCCCGGCCCTCAGGTCTCAAATTGCTGGGCCGGCCCGGGGCGGCCGGCCGAAGCTCGGCGGCGGCCGACTCGACTCTCGAAGCCGCGCCGATCGCGGACGGCAATGATAAGTGATCGGACTCACCGACAGCTGCCGCGCACCACCATCCGTACAGTTGCACTCAAATCTCGGATGGCGGACAACTTTGGCCCATGCCCTGCCAGGCCCCTAGCCTGTTACTAGCTCCAGAGTCTAGCTGCTCGAGTCTGCGACGATGCCGATCCCCTCGTGCATACGCAATACCTAGTATCCTGACTTACGTAACGCCAGGGTGACGGCAGAAGGTCACGCTACATTTGCAGTTTTGCTAGCTGTCAGTGCAACTGTACGGCGATTAGTAATCTGGTTCCAATCGGGCCGCGACGTTGTCCACCTCGGACCTGTATACCAACCGTGCGCCCAGTACATCCACAAGTTGGTGCCTGTGCACACTCAAACCAAGACTGACCATTTTTGTACGGTAGCATTTCGTCTCCCCCCGTATTGCTTTGTTTCTTTCAAGTTCGAGCTATGCCTTTCGACTTGCGTTTTCATGTGACCAAAGCAACCGAATTCTGAGTACGGTTGCCAGTACGAGACAGTCAAATCGAATGATCAAAGACCAGGATCCACCATGAAGTGGCCTCATAAAGATACGCGTAGCTCTGGCACCAGTCGTTTGGATATAGTACGTAGTTTACAGGGTCACCTAGCACCTTGATTCTTCATCTACTCTTACACCTTTGATACGCACCCCTGCTTAAGCTCAGTCCGTCGTTCCCAATGTCACAGAAGGCTTCTCAACCTGTCATCTCATCATAGAATACACGTGAGGCGCGAGCTCTCAACACTTGGCAGCAGTCCTGTAAGACGCGCTCGGCTGCGAAACTAGATGCGTCACCCGCTAGACGTGGTCGAAGTATGCGGTGTAGCTCTCGTCGCGGTACGCTTGGATGGGAAACAGCAAGAAGTCCCGGTGCTGACCCTGCAGACCGTCAGCATACGCCACGTCAGCAATACCGCACTCTCGCCGTGAACAGACGTCCGGCCGCGCTCCCCAACTAGAAGAGACCACCCACAATCTGCACTAGTTCTGCCCATGGGTCGAACTATGTGCATAAACCCAAAACTCTCGGGACATTTCAAGCTTCCGGAAAATGCAGGATCTCGCAGTTCACAAAAGAGACCATAGCTTATCAAGATTGGGTTTTTAAATCCGGCCGCCCACCTTTGCAATGAAGCTCATGGGGTGATACGCCGCCAGGCCGGTGCCCACGTGGAAGCTGCTAGCGGCCGCGAACGCGGGGTCGGGCTGGCGGGGCTGGAGAGTCACCGGAAGGCCTTGCCCGGGCACCAGAACCGAACCGAAGGCCGACAGATACTGCCCGGGGCCCGAGAGCGCCTCGAAGGAAACGGTGCCCGGGCCGGCCAGGCCAGGGACCTGAAGACGGTAGGAGGAGCTTCGTCAGAGGTGCTGACCAATGGGAGGCGTTTGTACGAGAAAGGGGAGGAGAGGGGATCTGACGTGACGAGAAAAGCAATCATACGGACGCTTGTAATCTTAACGTCAAGTCGAGCAGTATGTTGACGCACCTTCTTCTCGACCGATAAGGCGAGTAGTTGACGAACGGAGAAGAGTCAAACCTCCTCCAAAACACGCTGGACTTCACCATTTAAGCAAGCTCAAATGCTCCCACCTGCTTGAAAGCGGCGAAGGTCTTCAAGAGGCAAAATACGTTGACCGTTTAAGCATCACCATTTGCTCATTTAAGCAAATGAGCGCGCTTCACCTGCTTGAAGGTGGCGAAGTCGTCGAACGCGGGGCCCTGCGCGACGCTCCTCTCCCGGTCCGCAACGAACACCGCGTGACCCGCACCGTTGTGCACCAGAAACTGCACCGGACGAGAGGGTATTCACACCAAAAGCCGGGCGTCTGCCCGGCATGCCACCTGGGCGCTGCGGCAAGGCGCACTACATAATTTTCGATAGAAAATATATTCGAAGGCCTCGGAAATAGATAACGTATCCAAAGCATGTAGGCCGCAGCCGAGTTACAGGACCTCTCGAGAAGCGGGCAAGACGTCAACGAAGAGCGAGATAGACCTAAACAAGGGCATTCTGAAGAGGTATGAATCGTGAAGCAAACAGAAAGAACAAGCAGGATTCTGTACCGGCACAAGCGGAGCGAGGGCGCTCACTTGGCCTGGCGTGTCGAACAGCTCCAGCGAGACGTACTGATCATCGGACGGCGGACCTCGTTTGGACGTGTCGGCGAGCGGAGGCGCGAAGCGGAAAGTAGCCGCGGCGGCCTCATCGGTTCCCTCGTTCGGTGTGGGAACTAGGAAGGCGCGGCTGTGGAAGAAAAGGGGTTAAATCAGAGACCGGAGATGTGACCTAGCCCGAGGCTATCTATTTCCTAGGTTGTGGAATTGCATACCAATGTGCAGATCGAAGCTGCCAGATTGAAATTTTGACGTATCCAGTCAGCTTACGACTCGACGGCAGTCCTCAATGAGAATGAGGACACGAAGGCAATCTTCTTTTCGCCTGTCGTCAAATTACCGAATGCAGAGGACATCGACTAATGATGGACGCAAAGAGCCAAACCTCTAATCATCGCTTGACTCCATCACGAAGCGCACAGGAGGAAACTGCAAGCACGTCCGCTCAGCGGCCCAGCGTCTTTCCCAATAACGCCCAGAGCGGCGAAGAATGGAACAAAGCCCCCCGTTCCGTTTCCAGCCTCTCACCCGCCCACGTGGCTCACAAAGGCGAGATCGTTCTCGGCGTTTCCGCTTGGAACCGGGCTGGTCAACAGGCTGATCGACCGGAGTTGCGCACGTCGGGCGGCCTCTACCGGGCGGATCCAGTCGGACGGCTGGTTGGCGTTTAGCCCCGGGGCAAGCAACCGGTCGCCCTTGGTGGAGCCGGCCAGCAGGTAAGGCCCGGAGAGGACGGCGCTCAGGTTGGCGAACTGGGGGCGATCGTCTGCAGTGAGGCAGGATTTCTTCACGCTGACGTTATGCTGACGTTCTGCTGACGTTTCTTTTACAGGAGGCAGTGGAAGAGGACGGCGCTCAGGTTGGCGAAGTGGGGGCGAATTCTCTTGAAATAAGTTATGCCGACGTTGCGCTGAAGTTGTGCTGACGTCTGTCTCACAGGACGCATTGAAGTTGCATGTGCGATCGCGGATGTCGGTAATAAAGGACGCTCAAGACAGTCGAGCGCTCAACTGGGGCTGAGAGACTCATTGTAATCGTCACTGTTGCCGATGCTAAAACTGTAATGATCAGTCGAAAAAGTAAACCTTCAGCTTCACCTTTCGCCGACTTCTTCATCGCGCCACTGCCAGCAAACGCCCGACCCAACACTGAAAATTTTTCTCGGAATATTGGCTCCTGATCAGCGTCTCATTCAAGCGGCCTAGAGAAGTAATACTTTCCAAAGTGCTCTGGCAAGTATCGAGGACTGGCTCGCGGATCTTCACCTTGTATCCGCTCGGTGTACGTGGCAACCGGGATCGTCAAATTGACTGTGTCGTTGCTCTCCCAAAAACGCGTGACTTCCAAGAAGTGGCCTGCAGATGGGACGGGCAAAGATCAGATACGTACATAACGAACCGCACGGTTGTAGCCGGAAGCATGCAGAGATGAAGTAGGACGATTCTACAGCTACGCCACGTATTTGGAGCGCTTGCCCCAACTTCAGCAACAAAAGAAAGATACAAGAAGATGCTTCCGAGGAAACCTTAAGAGGGAGTAGATAAGAACAAAGGGGGCCCTCAGTCACAACGGCTTTGCGTAGAAAAGCGGGTCGGCTTCATTCAGCACAACGGCACAGGTATCTCAACGTTGCAATTCGAAGCCTGAGATAGCGGAAAAGAAAGTTCGACAAGCATACCCGGGCTCGGCACGGCAACGGAGTCTCCGTTCACGGACGCTGCCAGCCCGTCCGCAGCAGCCCAGGCAGGGATGCGGACGTTGATGGTAGCTTCCACTCCGTCCGAAAGCTCCCCCTCCGACTCATCTCCCGGCGCCGCAAAGCCCCCTGACACGTGGCGCTTTCTCGACGTGTCGTGCGACTGAATTTCGAGGGTGACGCTCAGGAAAGCGTCCTCGGCCGTTGGATGAAGGGTCGTCTGATGAACGATGAGCCCTGCCTCTTGCCAGTGAAGCGTGCTGGACTGAAACTGGGCGACGAAGAGGGAGGGGGGCGAATTGGCGCTGGATTCGGGTCCCTGGAAGTAGAGGTTCTCGCCCAGCTTGGAGAAGAGCTCCACGCCTGCAGAAAGCAGACAGATGCAAGCTAGTGAAGGGAATACAAATATCTTCCCTTTCCAAGTCCTCCAATCCATCAAAATAGCTTCAAAGCTCTTTTTCGCTCCAGAAACCCGGAAAGTCGACGACCCTAAACCCCTAAAAACCCACTCGAAATCCCGCGCGCTCACCGGAGCCGTAGCAGCACCAGAAGGCCTGCTCGGGCGTCCCCCAGCCATGCCAGCCACGCGCTTTGGACACCCCCGCCCCGAGCGGCGTCATGTAGATCATCACGCCCGGCTGCGTGCCGCGCTGCGTGCCGATGATTCCGTTCTCCGTCGCGCGCTCGATGAAGTCCGTGTAGTTGGCGGCGCGTGAGTAGCGGAACAGGTTGCGCGCGACCTGGATTGTGGGTAAGTGAGGGTCAATGACTAACTGAAGGAAGGGTATGAAAGCGATTCGTGTAGTGGGGGGCGCGCGGAGCGGAGCGCGACCTGGGGTTGCAGGGAACACTCGGAGGGGTTGATCGATCCAACGATGGGTTAATGAAGTGTTCGACGTCTTTGACGGCGCGCAGGATGGGTGCGGGCGACCCGGGAAGGACTGGAGGGCTGTGTTCACCGGGCGTCAAAAGGGGCCCTTTTGAAGTGCAGGATCGAAACTAATTGGAGGAGCGCCTCACAAACAGAACTGCTTCTCAAGGAGAGAGGCCCGTTCGCCAGACAGAACGACTCCCTCCTAAGTGCCGCGAAGAGCAAAGACCCCGGTTTTCCGGTCGTCTCGAAGCGTTCGAAGGAGGCGGAGCTCCGTAGCGAGCTCGCAGTAGGTTCAGCTGCTGGGTCTCCCTGACGAAGCCAGAATAAAACTCAAGAAAAATAATAGTAAGCCCAGATAATAGCAAGGTAACCGCACTGCGACGGGTAGGGTTAGTATGGTGGTTAGGGTGGGTACGGGTGCGGAGCGGGTGTTTCATTTAAGGTTAGGGTTTTTAGTGTTAGTCGGAGCTTACTATTATCTTGGCTTATTATTATTTTTCTTGAATTATGAAGCCAGATCAGAGCCATGACATGTGCGCGGTTGGGATGGCGCTGACCTTGATCATGTTGTACGTGGTACACGTCTCCTGGTTCTCTTGCTGCAGGGTGTCGCCCAATCGGTGGGGGTCCTGCCTGCGTTTCAGAAACGATGCACAAACATCATGAACAAGAAGGGAGGCCATTGAGGACGAGTTCTCAGGGTTCTGCCTGTAAGAACCCTTGATCAACATGCGAACCTGCTATTTGAGTAAAGTCGAAGTGTCTGCCGGTCCGGCACTAGGCAAAGGAGCGCGCAAACACAGCCGGCTCCTGACGGCACTTCTTATCACACTTGTCAAGTCACAAAAGCGTTCAAACAAAAGAAGGCGACTGGCGGTCAGCTTTGTGAGAAGCGAAAGCTCACCAGAACTCCCAGCCGGACGTCCCTCCCGTGGAGTACATGTGCGTGTGGTGCACTTGGTCCATGAACGTCTTCGACATGGCCTGCGCAGAGGGATCCGCGTGTCGGTCAGCAATTCAACCTTCGGGTGCGTCTGATATTTCCGGTTTGAGGGCGCGCTGAAGAATTCCGAGCACTTCCGATGGCCAATTCCGTTCCTTGTCAAGAAAAGCTACATCCTATAGCAATCCAGGGGTGCGCAACCACAATGGAGAGTTTTCTTGTTTCGAGCGCAGCTAGTCATGATCACTAGCCAGATAGGATTGCTCTGCCCATGCGACTGGCACTCTATACCCCAGACACTTCAAACCTTGCCATCAAGCACCGACGGCTTTGATCCTCGGCAGAGTGGGTCCTGACAAGGCGAAACTCAACCCGCTTCCCAATCTGTGCCGTACATCGAGAACAGCGGGCCCTTTCCCATTCCGTCCGTCTCCGTTCCATTCTTCTCTCCCTTCTCTCCTGTTCGTTTTTTCCCCCGAACACTTTCCAGTGTATGCCCCTTCAACGCCTATACTGGTCCACAATGGCGGCGCTCACCCGGTAAGCGTCGTCTCCGAGCAGCTCGTACCGCGCCTGCGCTCCCACGACCAGCGGGATGTGCGTGTTCGAATGGAAGCCGGACAACTCGTCCGCCTGTGGAAAACCCATGAACAGATTCCTTAAGCTCAGTGGTCTACTTAGCCGTCATTCGGAAGAGCATCGTCTCGAAGGTTTCATTCGCGGCGAGATTGGGCCGGGGATCACATACAGCGAGCAAAGACACCAGTATCCGCGGCTTGACTAAGAAAAGCACCATCGTTTCCCAATCGGAGTTGGAGCAGATTCGGATTCCATTCGGATTACCAAAGCTTGAAAGCATGGCTTTAGACCGCCGTAAGCAGACTGCGTCAATGAGTCTCTCGGAAACACGTCCCTCGACCTTCACATTCGGCTGTAGCTGCTTTGCAGGACCCAGAAAATTCTTGTGACTCCAGATTGAAAATTTCGATACTCGGAAGTCTTGCTTGACTCCATTTGCAATGGAGTCTCTTGGCTGTGCTCGACCCAACACGCACCTCACATTCTCAAGGCTCGGCCTAAGTGACTGTAGAAATAAGAGACGGGAAGCTTGATTGAATCTGCGCACCTCCATGGTGAGCGGTCCCAGGAAGCACGGCTTGTCGAACAGATGCGCCAGCTCCAGATGGCTCTCCTTGCCCTGCACGGAGAAGAGCTTCTTACCTTTGGTCTGAAAAAGTGGAGATGCAGAGGCGCAAGAGCGCAGACTCTTTTGCAGATTGGTGACTTGTGTGGACGGCTGACGCCTCAAGCAAGGGAATCAGAGCCATGTGAAGATTGTTTACGTGACTCATGTACATGATCAAAATGGTATGACGAAATGCGGCGCGACATACACCCTCGTAGCTCTTTTTCAACCACGTCCTCCATGTTTCCGCCGAAAACGTCGACAGATAGTCATACGGATGCTCACACCTCTAGGTATTCTTTTTGCTTGCACCGCCCGCCTCAAAACGGTAAACCATATGTTCTCGCAACGGTTGCGCTCACAGTGACGTGGTACAAGTTGTAGAGGACGTCGTTCATGCCGCCGCTCTCCTCGTTGAGCGAGTCCCAGTGCCGGTTGATCGTGAAGCGCGTGATGACGTCATCCACGCGGGCCTTGAAGTAGTCCGCCATGCGCACCACCACGGCAAGCGCCAGCGCGTCGCCCGCAACCGTGTACTGGTCCAGCAGCCCGGCCATGATCTGAGGGAAGAATATTTAGTATGATTTATATAGATAATTTTCATCAATATATAATGAGAATATTGCTGTTCTTCTGGTACTCGCGGCTCGCCGCTAGCACCTCCTCAGATTCTTTGATTCCCTCAATAATGTATTGGTGATGTATCCTTCCGATGACAAGATTTTTGGGGTGAAGGGAACCTCCAGATTTGATTGGACTTGTGTGAACCAGGATGTTGGTGCTTGGAAGTCTTGGCGTTCAGCAAATTGTGAAGGTCACGCAGGTTGGCCAAATCTGTGAAGTATCGTATTGAGCTCCGTATTGGGGTTCTCAGACCTCAATGCCTGGAATGAGGGGACTCGAACTCGGATTGAGATCGTTTCCGAATGCTTTGAAGCCTTAGGTTTGGAGGTTGGAGGTTTGAAAGCCCGAGGCGAGTAGAGTACTGACAAAGTCGCACAGAAGGGAAGAGAGAGAAAACGTTCCGGGTTTATTGGAGCACTCCGTGGAATACGCCAGGAACAACGAAAAGCACTGTAGGACCTGTCTTTAGGCCAGCTATGCGAAGTTGGTGACCTGCGACATGAGGTGCTTTCCAGGCAGTCCAGAACTCACAGCCCGACAAATCTACGAAATTGTGCCTAAGCAGTGTACCTCACCTTGTGTATTGTGTAGTATGGTGCCCAGACTGGCTGCAACGCCTCCACTCGGTCAAACTCCTCGGTAGGAAACGCAGACAGATAACCTGTTCCCATGTGGTCTTGACACTCGGCGAGCGCACGGACCAGGTACTGCATCTTGGCGTGCAAAGTGGTGTTGCCTGTGCCGGCGTACATCAGGGCGGAAGCACTGAGGTAGTGCCCTGCACAAAAAAGCAGGAAAGGGTTCGAATCTGAATAGACCTTTGACCAAAGCCAAACTATTGAGGTTCTCGATGAAGGGGCCCCAGAAAGACCCTGACGAAGCTTTAATCAACATGTATCAATCAACTGGAGGAAGCATCTCTCAACCCTGGAGATCAAACTAAACCGGGAGTCCAATAGTCAGAATCGAATCAAAGCTGTCCAAACTGATGCGCGCCCAAAGTTTTTGAAAAGTCCCAACATGCTCCTTGGATACAACTTCAAGACGCGCTATTCCATAGCAAGCTCTGGGGACGGAGTGTCTCACCTACAAAGTGGCCTCGTAGCTCGCCCTTGGGGTCTTCCCAGCCACCATACGGAGCGCTTGGAGTGGCAAGCCCTGCTGTTGCACGGAAACTGGGGGAGACAAACAGAAGCACTGTGCATGATTCAGGAGGGGCAGCGGAATGAACCAGAATTGCAGATTCTATTGAACTGGAAAGCACGTAATGGTCAATTGTTTTATAGACAGAGCTCACTTGCTAAATTCAAGAATATGTTCTTGATTTGATTTGAAGCTTGCGTTGTAGAGTGTAGGCCTGGAAGTACTAGTGTCCAACATTTGCTTAGCTGGCAGCTCGAAGCTTCGGCTCTAGTTAGCTGAGCTCGTGTCCACAAATATTCACAATAACTCGAAAGCCCAAAAACTTTTTCAAAGGATGTTTGACAAGGAAGGGAGGACTTGGTCAGAGTGCATTGGACCATTTCAAAAAGCAAGGTTGAAACTTGGATTCTCCTTCATTGACCAGAAACAGGTGACGGTGGTGGTGGTCAAACTTTTGAGTTTGCGCTTGTGTAGGAATATACGCTGTATTCCTGCGCAAGTTCTTTCAAAATTGGTGATGGCGCCACACCAAAAATGTTTTTGTTGAGTCTGAAATTGGTCAGCACGTACAGTCAGATTTCAATCAGTGAGAGTGACTTCTACAAGCAGACTTGATTGCAAGTGGTGTACCTCCAGACCAGTCTGTCAACGTCCAAGTACAGCAGGTACTCCAGGTTCGTCTGCTGCGCTCTCTCATACTGCGAGCCCTTCAGCAGCCGAACGTCATGCAACGAAAATGGGCGCAGAAACGTCTCCGGCAAGCTGGCGGGGCTCATCTGTCCACTCCTTTCCCCCAACAGCTTTCGACTACTTGCAACTCCAGCTATTGCAGCTTCAGAATTCCTTGGGACAGGAAGGGAAAGCCTGTCAGCTCTGACACGTGTTGCATAATCAGTGGTGGCATCGTCATATCGTCCCAGCAGCTTGAGCATCGCTGCTTCGCGGCCCATGCCGCCATTGTTGCACACCTTTGCTGCCGAGCCATGGGCGAGGCTCAGAAGCAGAAGAGCCGCTAACACGGGGGGAAGAGACGACGCCATGACCGCTCAATTGTCACATTTTCTCGCAAACCATTGCTTGCATTGCCATTGACTCTGAGCAAACACAAAGCTAGCTGGGCTGTGGGCACAAGGGAGGGACCACCCAACTAGAGGCGCGAGATTGAATGATCATTGAAGACCGTTTCAGACCGTCTAAACGGGAAAGGTCAGCAACAGAAGCTGGTAACGGCTACGGCCTTGCCAAGCCTTAAAATTGGAGGCTGGAGCAGCTTTCACTGTCAGCGCGCAGGGTCAGGATTGCAACTCTAGGACCTAGAGCCTTTTCCATGGGCAAGGTTTTGAACAGCGCACTGGGAGCACTCACAGTTCCGTTTTGTGGTGTAGCCACGCTTTACCTGCTTCAGAAGAAAAGAGAGATTGCGAGAGAGGGCACGAAGGTTCACGTCAGTTTTCGACTGGGCGCGCCTACAAAGAATTAGTGGAAGAACCTGCAAGCTTCCCTTCAAGAAAGCAATCATCTCTCTGATCGAAGGTGGTGCAGTCTGAAACAAGCAAAGGACGTTGAGTGGATTCACAATGAGGCCATTAGATGAAGAGGAAACAAAGGCTGTATTTGAAAAGCTCTATCAGTATGTTGGAAAGAACATCAAACACTTGATTGAAAGGCCAGCTGGAGAAGGCAAGGATGATGACGGGCACTACTGCTTCCGGCTTCAGAAGAACAGGGTCTACTATGTTAGCGAGGTAATGCTTGGACTTTACTCAAATGAATCGTTCATCATCGGTCAGGTTTCTGCTTGTTGCCTGCCTCCGATGTGCATTTCAAAGGTATGCGCGTCACTGGCGGTATACAGCCAGGGTCTTCCGGATGTCAGTTTGGCGTCTTGTTGAATTGTAACCGTCCTTTATTGCAGGCCTTGGTAAAGAGAGCCACGAATGTGGGCCGAGAGCATCTTGTGGCTTTGGGGACCTGCATAGGGAAATTCACAAAAGGTGGCAAGTTCAGGCTAACGGTCACCTGCTTGGACCTTTTGGCTGCACACGCAAGATTCAAGATATGGCTCAAGCCTTCCGCTGAGATGTCCTTTCTGTATGGCAACCACGTGCTAAAGGCGGGCCTTGGACGAATTACAGAAAACACCCCGCAGTACCAAGTGAGTTGTCGCTGTCGGTAGCCTTGCTTCTACTTATGGCGGTGAAATTGTTACTACCACCACCCTTGCATCGGAAGGAGAATCTCGTTGGTCTCTAAGCTGCCTGCTAAGCAGTGAACAGTAACTGCAAGTACCTGCTTCTCTGATTATGCAGACAAGGAGAGGTTTTCCGGAAGAGCACGAACCTGTTGTGTCCCTGGGCTTCCATTCAAACGCAATTTTGTACTATCGTCAACTTATTCTGCCTGATTGTGCAGGGAGTGGTCATATACAACATGTCAGATGTCCCCTTGGGCTTTGGAAGCACTGCAAAGTCAACACAGGACTGCCGGAAACTGGAGCCGAATGCAATCGTGGCCTTTCATCAAGCTGATATAGGTGAGCTCCTTGAGAGCTTCTCAGTGTGCTTTTGGCAATGCAACATCTCTTCCCCACCCAGAGTTTGCGAAGCAGAATCTCATAACATGCATTTGCTTATCTTCAAGATGTCATGACGTCTTATCCTGACCATCTCATGTCAATGAGTGTGCTCTTTGCCACAGGGGAGTACTTGCGGACGGAGGATGATTTGTGAACATGCTGCTCTATCATTGGTCACCTTTCAGTTTCTTGTTGGCACAAGCGAAGCGCGCTTGTGTTTCATCTTCGCAGTACGAACTTCCGAGACGACATTCGTAATTTTGTGGTTAACAGAAGCAGCTAGACTCAGTGATTTTAGTTCTTCAAGTTCTTTAACTTGCATCCTTGGCTGCGTGATTGCTGAAAGCGTGACAAATCCACGAACAAATCAACTTCTAGTCGAAGTTGACTAGAATGCTCACATGTGGAACCTGCGTCATGGTGCAACCAATGTAGCTTATAACGAGTACTTGATGCAGGCGTCTTAGTATGTCTTACATATCTGTTTTACTTGGCATAGCACGCATGCTCATCATGCATCTCAAATTGGGACGATTGTGCCTGGCACTGCGTAAGAATCGATCCGCGCGCAGTGCACTTAGACTGATATGGCGGCATATTTGAGTACAACAGTCCACTTTCAGGCCCGTGAAATTGAGCACTCTCCATCACATCGAACGGCTAGCCAGTAGATGCTTTGATAATTCAGTAGCTCACATGAACCATCCAAGATGGCACTAGCCTGTATTAAAAATGTCGAGAGATTAGTCCGATGTGGAATGAATCACCCTATGCAGTAGTATTCTGCCGCCAAATTGATCGATCCGAGGGTGGGCCCCAGCCGACCCTTGGGACTCGGAAACACGTCACGATGGCTATGCATGCCGGTCGTGAGAAGACTCTCTCAAGTTTCATACAAGGTAGAACTCGCTTCAGCCCATAATAAGTCTAAAGCCTCTCAACCGCTGAAGCAGCCAGCAGTTAGCCGCGTTTACAGTTGCACTTCAAACTCTGTGCAAGATGGAGAATCTGATTGTTATCTTAGCAATAGGAGGCTTGGTTACTGACAGAAACAAAATCGAGCTCTGCAAATAGCAGATCAGCGCAAGACGATCAGGCCGCAAGGCCTCTGTACCTCAGGAGTACTTTATCGTTCCCTAGTACGAAGCCTTGCTTATCGTTGACGAACCTGCAAAGAAAAAAATAGACGGGTGTCACTCGAGCTTCTGAAGCCTGAGAATCGAAAGTACCAACGGCAAAAGATAGGCAACGGTCAGTTTTCGAAGGGAGCGAAATGCCGAAATATCTGGGGGTGGCCAGTGAGTCGAAAAGCGACAAGTCGACAGCTTCTTAGTTGAACCTCACCGTACGGCATAAAGGTTGGCCGCGATATTATCTGCGAGCTTGTCGCGGGCCCAGTTCTTCCCGCCATCGGTGGTCTTCAGCAGGATGCCACTGCCTCCAGCGGCCCAAGCCTCATTCTGCAAGCAGTACGGTGCCTCACTTCACGTCCTTAAAGATACGCCAACATATGAGGGCGCAACACGACACATCTTACAACATACACAATTTGCACGGGCTCAGTTCTTCGATTGTCATATTCGTGCAGTTGCAGAGCAGGTAATCAACAGCCTTTGGCTATCTCAACATTGCTTCCTCTGTCGCTCCATCTAAGAACTGGGGGAATCATCAACCGAACTCACGGAGACTTCAAGCGATTCAAAGAGGTCCCTGAGCGACGTAGAGCGTCACGGTTTACCTGGTTCCGATAGCCGACATCCAACACCCCAAAGCCTCTGGCTGCGATCTTAGCCTCCACAAAGCTCTCGGTGACCTGCAGTGCAACAGAAGCAGACCAGACGGCATAAGTCTCACCGTCGCGAACCTGACCAAATTGCTTGTTCATATTAACGGCAGGACCGACATTACGTATCTAGCGGCCTGTAAGCCGGCAGACCGAAATCAATCAGTCGCTCAGCAGCTTGCTGCGTGTCAAACTGACATGTCAACCTGTTCGCATACTCGCAAGAGAAGGTCCCATTTTTGCCAAACTATTTGTCTCACTCAGCAAATCGCAAGAGTTTCGAGGGTACTTACTCCTGTCCCTTCACTGAAGAAGAGGCCTCCACCACGCGTGAGCAGCCAAAGGCCTCCGTCAGCTCTCCACCCCATGTTCTGGATACGGCGCGCATTGTTGCGGTTGTGCGGCACCCAGTACGACTGTGCGAAAGATAGGGAAGCTACAGTCAGTCATTCTTACAGACTATCTTAGTGTTTTCTGCACTCACCTAGAAGGGAACTTTGCAGTCTTTTTTTCGAAGGGACTGGACGATGTAAGTCCAGGCTACCGCCATAATCCGCAAACAGATATGAACCCCTGTTCTTGAGGAGTCCTCTGAAAGCCTCAAAACGTCTACCGTTGGCAGGAGAAGTGATGCAATCATCACGGGTCAAAGGCAGCAGATGCTGTTAAGACAGAAAATGGACGTCAGGTTAGCCATACCTGACCAGGCTCCCAGGTCATGAAGAAGTTGCCTCTGCTAGAAACGGCAACATAGGAGCCGTTCGGAGCCCTGTTCACGCTGGAGAAGGTGCCAGTGTAAAAACTGGCTCCGCTGATGCCGCTGGAGACCGTTCTGCGGGCAAGAAGGGAGAGGGTCAAACAACAAAAGAGCAATCTGCCCTATGCGCGGAATATTGGTTACACAGCATCTTTTCAAGGAAAGCATTGTGAGACGACCGTTAAACCTCATGCCTAGCAATTGCACATGTTATATTTTCAGCTGCCTAACAGCAACTTATCGGCCTGACGAATAGAGCATATCGGAGAAGAAGCCGTCAAGCCCCTCGACCAAGATCACAGCAAAAGCTTGAATAACCTGACTCGTGCTGAAGAAAGTCAAATGTGCGTCGAAGAGATCTTACGAGAAAGAAACTGCAATGGTGCAGACTGTCTGTTGAGGTATCACGCAATCTGAATCGGATTTTAAGCTATTGAGTCACAATTAGTACCTGTTCAAAGTTGCCGAAACTGTCTCCTCTACAGCAGCCTTCCATGTGTAAGCACCGTTGGAGGTAACGTAGATGGCGCCCTCGTCTGTGATCATCTCGGCACTGTCCTTGCCAGTGGCCGTGATGAGCACCTGCAATGGCATCCACTGTCAATCTCACGACTCACGACGGGCATGGCAATACGTTGTAGTCCAGAGAAGTGAAATTCAGTAGTGTTGATCTGTCCCCGAATATGGGTATCAATCCTAGATGACTCGCATTCGCCCTTCAGTGTGCTCTCTCTGACGTAAGCACCACCCTTTCGACCATTCTAGCTTCTCCTTGCGGTTCATAAGTGATCTGACGCATAACTTAAGGCATGTGTTGCTGAAACCTGCAGATGTAACTGCAGTGTTTGCAGATGTGAGAGCAGTGCAATGCAGCATTCGGCCTCCTCGCCTAAGTGCTTCAAGAGCAGAGGATGAGGACCTCTGACGAGATTACCCACCGGGTTCCCTGGCAGCCTCGCACTGAGCGGCACGCGCTCCCAGCTAGTCCCTCCATTTGTGGTCTTCAGGAGGATTGCAGGCTTCCCGACAATCCAGCCATCCTCCCCGTTGAAGCTGATGGAGTTGAACCGGTAGTTGAAGTCCTCTTCTTCTGCAGCGGCAATTGACCGGGGCACCCATGTCTTGCCGCCATCCTTAGTCTCCAAGAGAGTTTGCCTGGTTCCCAGGAGGAATCCTGCAGATGGACATCGGAGATATTTGAAATGCCCCTAATATTCCAAAAAGCCACCGCAACCTGGATGCTTCTTATCGAAGTAAGCCGAATAAGACTGTGATCGTGGGGAGACAAGCACAATTGCAAAGGGACAGACAGTGTAGGGTTGTCGAGAGAGTGCCAGAATGCGTACTCGCAACAAAAGCCCGATTGATGCTACCACTAGTCAGGCCACATGAAAATCAACCCCAAAGCAGTTTCCTGGACAATGCGGTGAGCTGTGACCGCCATCCCATTTGTGCAGAATGCCTCAAGAAATTTGGATGTTAACTCGATCCACCGCTTCCCTTGATCAGACATTTTCAGAACATTAAGTAATGTTTTGCAAGGGCTTCACAAGGGACTCAGGCACACCCACCGTGCTTCGGGTCATTTGGCACGAATGCTACGTCAAGCAACACGACGCCCGGCTCCAGCGGGAGCTCCACTTTCTCCCATTCTTCCAGATCAATATCAGCGGCTGTGGCAGGGCTTGAGGCACCCAATGCAGAGAGGGAAAGAGCAAGACCGGCGCTGGCAGACAGCAAGCTCCTCCTGCTCACGGAGGAGACTTCCTCCGCTGCGCTCTGAAAGGACTCACAAACAGGGGTCAAAGACTGAGCAGGTTGAGACCTTCTCCCAGAGCTTTCTTTGGCCGCCAACAATCTCAATGCATTGCCTCCCGCCCGGCAAACGGTTCCGTCAAGACTCCGGGGAATAAGCGCTTGTTTTGTGTTCACAGACGGCGCCGCCGAACAGCCCGTAGCGTGAGTAAGGGCCAAGGACTTGGTAGCCACCGGGCAAAGCTGGGCTGCAGACGCCATTCCGTCGAGAATGCAGCGACCTTCTACTCCTCGCCACGAACAGTTGCGTGGAGCGCCAGACGAGCCTTCTACTAGAAGTTCTAGAGAGCGCCTACACGTCTGGAAGTCAAGAACATATCTTATGCGTGAGCTATTCAGCGTCCTTGGACTTGGAAAGGGTGGACAAACGCGATCGTATCGGTGGCGTGGACACAACCAAAGCCAGGAGCTGGTCGCCTGATCATCAGCTATGGAGGTCTAATGTGGGCCATACACCAGGTCAAGGATTGACCATAACTTATAAACTCTAGTTCCGGTTGGACATGGGCCGCGGCCGCGGAACGCCGACGGGCAACGCAAATGCCGCGGCCGCGGAACGCCGACGGGCAACGCAAATGCCGCGGCCGCCGCGCCGCGCTGAGCCAGTCGTCCTGCCTGACTGTCGGCGCTGATCCACTCAACTCAACTCGCGCACCAAGCACTCATACGCAAGCAATGATTCCATGGCTTCAAAAGAAAGGAATCGAGGAAGCACAGCGTGTCAGAAATTAGAATGCTGCTTTGAAGTTTGAGACAAATTGAGAGTCTCTCATCATCCATGCGCAATTCTTCTTAAAGTTGAAGGAGTTGAAGCACAGCCTGCTAGCCTTCTCAAGTGCAGGGCCGAACCGCTTAGAAGCACAAAGTTCCGAAAGTTTTCTCGGTTATAAATTGCGCAGCGCCGCAATGCACTAGCAGGTTGATATGAGTAATGCATGACAGGATGGAAGGAGCAGGCGGTAAGCTTGCCCGCATCCTTCTGGGCATAAGGCAAATTCAAGCATCTGTCATGAGCTAGCTGAGAAGGTGACAGATGCTGTACCATTGGTAAGCGGGGTTCTGCTGGGAAAGCTTTTGCTTTTGGCAGCTACCTTGAGATGGTCGTCATTTCTGAGCTTCTTGTAAGCTCCTGGGCCAAGGAACCTGAGATGGGAACGACACGGTCTACATACAGTGAAATGCAGACACAGCCAATGCTTGATATCCCGCCTGCCGTTCCAGGAGCAGCGGGGCAAGCAGGGCACGCAGTACCCTGTGAGTCCTCAAGTTAATTCCAAGAAAGCTTGCTCATGGCAATGACCTTACTGTCATTCTCGAACTGGAGAGGCTCTGTTGTGGCTCTGAGATGTTGCCAATCTCATGCTACCTGCAAGGACACATATTGAGCATCTAGGGCCTTCTTGAATGTGCTCAAAATCTGACGTCTTAGATGTGTCTGCATTGTTCACAGCGGCATTCTTTTGGAATGCGCTCTGGATTGGGTGTCCTGCCTTCTCTGTTGAATCTGCAATCTGCACAATGCCATCAAATACTTTCAGGCTGCAAAGGCTGTTAATTGTCTTAGCAAGTCATTATGGTCACTGCCACTGGAAGACCGACATATCAAGTGCACCAGTCGTCATTCTGATCAGCTTTTGCAAAGATGTTTTTAACGTACTTACAAGCTTGTTCTGGTTCTCGGCATACCCCTTGCTATACAGCCTGTACATACCTGCATTTTGAAGCTGCTCTGTGCTGCTTAATTTTAGCCTTAAACTTCCATATGGATCCTCATCTCACTGCTTCCCACCAACTACTTTTGCAGTGAACGCTCCTGCACGGGAGGCCCCTACCAAGCCCCCCGCGTCTGAGAAGAAGCCCCTGCTGCCCCCCGGCTTTGATTTTGTCCGCTTGCCCAACGGCGAGCTCAAATTGGTCCCACAACAGGGCCTGCAAGCACAGCGCCGCCGGGAGTCAAATGCAGCCTCCAAGCTTATAGTGAACGCGAGTAAGGAAGCGCGCAGGCTCGTGCGAGGCGTCTACAAAGAGCACCGCAATGCCGTGGGCCGGCGCGGCCTCGTTCCTGGGGGGAAGAGCGGGTCCCCCCAGAAGCGATCCGACATCGCTCTGCCCCCCATCCTGCAAGAAACGTCGTCGGCGTCGACCAGAATCGCTGCTCTAAGGGCCCTAGAAGCGCTCGGGTCCATCAACCTGAACCCCACAGTGCGGCACCCTCCGCAGCCGCAGGTCGACATTGGAAACCCCTGGGCGACGCGGCCGAATGGCGCGGGGCAGGGCCTGGGCCAGCCGAGTGCTTTTGGACCCCCCCCCTCAAGCACGGCGCGCGCCGAGGGGCCGAGCCGCTGCACAAGCGGCCGCGCTTCAAGGCGCCTGGCGCGACGGTTTTCAAGGCAGCCCCCACGCCTCCGAGGAGGCCCCCACCCCCCCAGCCGGAACCCCCCGCCCTGCCAGCCAACATGCTCTGGGTACCTTCCCAAGTGCTCAATCCCGCAGCAAAACCCAACCCCCCCCGGCGCAAGCCCTCCTCGAGCTCCGTGTGGCGGCTGTATGGTGTGCTCCCCAATCAGGCGCCAGCGGGTTATGCCAACGGCCAGGCAGCCGCCCCGCCCCCCGCAAAGAAACGGAAAAACGAAGCAGCGGACGTGACCCCCCAGGTGGCGGCAATCCGGCTCGCGCTGGGGCTGACGCCAATGCCCCCGGTTATGGGTCCTACAGTCCCAATCACTTCTCCAGAGGAGGAGGAGGCCGCTCCCGAGGGCACCGTTTCGGAGCTCGAGGCGCAAGAAGAAGCGATCGCAGATATGCCGGACATGTTGAGCGAACCGGTGTCCGAAGCTCCTGCCACCACGCCCGATCCGGCAGCAGACACGGGGGCAGCAGAGGCGGACGAAGCTGACGCAGGTGCCGAAACAGTGGGTGCAATACACGCTGATGCAGCAGCCCCCCCGGAAGAAGAAGCGGAGGGCCCTCCCCAAGAAGCGCTCGCAGACTTGTCCCCCCCGGGAGAGGAAATGGAGCTTGTGATAGAGGACGAGGGGTTTGGCATCCTAGACGAAGATGCGCAACCTGCCGAAGCAGAAGGCGAAGAAGGCGAACCGATTGCGGCGATCGCCGAGTCCGCGCCCCCCCCTCCGATGGAACGGGATCCCCGACTGCCCCTTGAGGGCACGTACGCCTTTTCTTTCCTTGCGGACCCGGGGGCCCCCGGCACGGCGTTGGAACTGCCCCCCGGGGTGCTGCGCAGGGAGGGCACGCTGCGCGACCGTGCGTCGCTCAAGTACCCGAAGAAGATGCAGGGCATCGCGCCGGGGGCCAACATGCGGCGGCTGGCGGTGGACGTTACGACAGGTGAGAGGATCGCTATGGGTTTTCAGGGGGTGCGGGTCTTCCAGACGTTGCTACAGACGGGGGAATCGCTGATGTCTGGGCAATGGGGGGACCGGGTGGTGGACGTTAAGATAGGTGATGGAGGTTCCTGATAACCCTGAGGTGGGCAGGTGGGGGAGACGGGCTAGATTGTGGCTAATCTTGCAACATCGCCGGAAGCAGTTGCGGGTCGTCGTTACAAGTCTCAGCATGGCGGGTTCACCAGGTGGCTGCTGCAAGCGCCGCTTGACTCTGTCAGTTGACCATTTCGAGCCGACTGCTTCGAGCCTCTGGTGAAGATTGAAACAACATTTGTATGCCGTATTCGTTGTGACGCTGCTCGAAGGTCGTTGTCACGTCACCTCAAAGACTGCTGTCACATCTTGGAAACAAGGTTCAGACGCAAGCATGGGCTTCATGCAGCCCCCGACCGTGAGTTTGATGCCAAGGTGGAGGTGGCGGTCAAGCTGGCGAAGGAGGAGGCCTCCCCCCTCACGAAAACGGTCGCATGGGCCGCCCAGCAGTTGCAGGTGAGCATCAGCGTTTATTGTGCTCTTGTAAGGAAACACGAGGGATCTAGTTCTACTTAGTCAGTACTCAAATGTTGTATACGACGGAATTCAACGAACGCCGTCAGATCTTGCTATGACTTGCTTTCTTTGCCTTGTTTGCGGTAAAAGTACCAACAGTACCGCAGTATCTACCTATTTTGCACGACCTCGGTTTTTCTTCGAGACACCTCGCCCCCTGTCGTAGACCGACAATGTCGAATGGAAAAAGAAAGAGATTTGATAGTCTACGAGCGACTTTGACATCTGTTCTATCGCATTGGCGCTGACTCATTAGACGGCAAGGGGTTCGATCCTTTACTCTATAGAGGTAACTCGAAGAAAGAGTATCAGTCTAGAACGAAGGGCACAACCACGATCAGATGGAAAGATATTGCACGGAGTTGGAAGTTGAGGTTGTAGGCACGTTCCTCCTTATAGAAATGCAACTCTGCTACGGCCCCTCTGCTTAAATGTTCCCGTCAACCCGTTCTTCTTGATTGCCTTCAATTCTTACTAGCAGATTCGTCTCGCATTGGAACAGCCCAGCACGTCCCCAGTCGTTATGCCGACAAAGATGCACCTAGGGACTCGGCCCAACTTGATCCCTTGTTGATGACCGCTTCCAACCATCTTCTGGCTCCATACTAACAGTCAATATGAAGCTCACCGCGCATAAGACTTCAATCTAGGTTTAGTAAGCTTCAGGTTTAGTGAGCCAACCAGCCCGAGACGGGTGGGGTTGTTTAGGGGTTTAAGTTGAGAACGGAGCGGGTGATTTTGGGGGCTAATTTTTTTGGTTTTAGTGTAGGGGCTTACTATACCTAAAGCTCACTATACCTGGATTGAAGAGACATTCACCGGGGCCCCCCCCATTACAACACAGGTGCGCGGCGCCGTCATGATGACGAGTGTGACGGAGCACTACTACCACTTCCTGGGGGAGGAGTTTGCGCGCGACGACTGGGAGGCGCTCCCCCCCGCCCACCTGATGGACCTCATCCAAGGCCGGCTGTATCCGCTGGTCGCCGCGTCGTCGTTCAGCAAGAAGCACGGCTATATGCTGCACCGCAAGCTGGGGGTGCAACACCTGTACGAGGTAAGCAGAATATTGGATTTTGATCGATGTAGTGAACAGTGGACATTAACCGGGACGGGTAAGGTTAGTTAGGGGTTTAGGGTGGGTACGGGTGCAGAGCGAGTGATCTTTTAGGTTAGGGTTTTTGATAACCCAAAAATGCTTCCTGTTCACTGGGGTTGCTGTTCAGTAGGTTGAGAAATACCCATATCGGAGTCAAGCGGTCCGTTCTTGCGATTGGATACCCAGCCTGAGAAAAAAGGTTTATCAAAGTGAAATGCATAAGGGTGCTTTGAGACGCTTGAGCGCCCGCGCGTTGGGTAAGGCTCATGGGGTTTGTTGCATCGCACGGTGTCGCGTCTTCCTGAAGCCTCATGCATCCCAACCCTCTTTCAGCGCTGAACGTTTGCCAAGCTTCGCTTTATGGTTTGACAAGCCCCGATGAGTCGAACAAAGGCGACAACTGAACAACCAAAGGGTATAACAACCTTCGAGCTGGCGGGCCAGGTTCGTGGACCGTGTCCTAATCCAATTTTTCGCTCCCCACTAGGCCATGACGGAGCTTCGGGTGGTTGAGAGGCGGCGGAACCGCGCAGCAGGGTTCCCTGCCTATGTTCCCCCCAACGCCCGAGGGGCCACAAACAAAAGGGGCCCCAAGCCTGCGGGTATGTCGGCTCGGGAAATAACCGAAGTGGTTGGAACCCTGGGAGTGCATCCGGGGCTCGAGGAAGGGGCACGCCGGGAACCGCAGCCGAGGCAAACGGAGGAGGAGGAAGAGGTGAGGGGAACACGAAAGCACGTTCTCAGGTCCACGTGTCCTTAACATTGCCAGGTCCGACGGCGAGAGCTGGAACTCACAGTGCCATGAGTGTGGTGGGGGTAATGATGTCCGTTGTTCACGAGAGATTTGTTGTTGTTGTCGTTTGCAGGAAAACGAAACAACCTCGCCCAGGAAGGCCAGAACGAAGCCTGCTTCTAGGAAGACTGGCTGGTTGTAGCTCAAAGCACCGTTCCTAGCAATAGACGACCTCTCCAACCGGGGCACATGTGTGCTGGTCGACTGCGATTCTTAATGAGCGGAGTGTGGATCACTTGGTCGCAGGTACCTACTGGTGTTGAGGGCCCGCGCTGAACAATGTTTGGAGTTCAAAGAAGCGTACAGGTTCAGATAAGGCCTAATTCGCAAAATCGGTCAACCGATTCTTGCTCTCCTATATAAGCAACAGCTTGGTCGGATCTGAATCGTCAGCAAATGGCAAACGAGCTATTGGTCGGACACGGACGGGCAGCGTCATCTTACTATTACCATGTCAGCGACAACGATAGACGTGCAGCATCACCACTTATAAAGACGGTCGCCAAGTTCTTTGAACTCTGATACAGATTGATGAGTGATTGATGAGCTTGTAAGTTTGTGGCTGCGAAATCATGACGCGCCTGAACGTCAAAAATGGTGCCGGTGCAAGCTTGAACCCTAGACTCACATGCTTGTAGAGTCATGCATTGATCAACGTATGCGAACTTGCTGCGTTTAGGACTCCTCTATATATATGTCACCTCACGTGCAACGTACATGCCACATGGGACTCGACACATGCAAACTTTCGACACGCGCTTATAAAATGACCCGCGAATTCAGTTTCTCGCGGCAGCTCCGGCCGTGCATATTATAATGTGTACACGTCGTACATCTACCTAGCTCCAGCGATAATCTCGTTAAGCGCCGGCCGGTGTATTACTGACCCGGATACCTCATTGCACCTAGTGCTCAGATAAGCAACCGTCACCGCATGACCGATGGAGCATGGATCTGTATGCTTTTGCAGCCTCACGCGCAGCAAGAAAAGCCAGTATACACAGGCCAGTTATATGAGGTTGGGACCCTCTGGAGGATTGGAGGGTCGGACCGTCATTTGACCGGATCCTGTCAGGACAAATGACAGAGGAGTCGGGTCGCGCGTCCGGTCGGAGTTTGACTTATCGAGTACAATTTTAAACCGGCGAAATTACGCGTTATCTTCTGCGAGTCCGCGGCAAACTTTAAAGCCTAGGAAATAACGAAAGTTGGCGATTTTTTTGCGGGCTAAACAGGAGGTGAAACACCTAACCCTCCCGGCTTTGAGCACCCCTACCTATGTACCCTCTGCTCAAAGCCGAGAGGGTTAGGTGTTCCGGATCCTGTTCAAGCCGCAAAAAATTCGCCAACTTTAGCTATTTGTTGCCCCTTGAAAATCCGCCGCAGACTCAAACAAGATAACGCGAAATTTTGCCGGTTTTAAATTTGACTCGATAAATTGAACTCCGACCGGACGCGCGACAGAAAAGTCCCGACTCCTCCGGTCAATTGTCCTGACGGTGTCCGGTCAAATGACGGTCGGACCCTCCAATCCTCCGGAGGGTGCCAACCTCATATAACTGGCCTGTGATATAGCATGACTATGATGGTTTGATTATACCATCCTGGGCCACGAACACTCATGCAATCCGTTTTGATGGCGAAGACTCTTTTGACAGTAGATTTATTCTTAAGTTTGCAGAGTCGATGATGCTACGGCCACACTGACGATCCGACTCGTTGGGAAGTTAGCCATGGGTGATGGGCTGAGGATTCAGGCGCTTGTGCACTATTGCCAGATCACCTGAACGAGAGCATTTGATCTGAAGGTAATTCTTAGACGGGCAGCTCCTTGATGTTTCTGACCAGGCCCAGCTCGGCCCCTAGCAAGCGGAAAAGAACGAGCACTAGCTCCCGCACTCGAGGTTCCCTGCACATCAAGAGCTCCGAAGTCAAAGAGAAGCGAAGATGCCCTGCAGTGATGTTCATCCGAGACCCCAATGGATGCTAAGAAGCAAGCTTGATGTGTTGAAGCTTGACCTTGTGCAAGAGCTTGCAGCCTTTGCTCGATTGTTCCAACTTTGAAGCAGCATCACATCCTTAAAAGAAAAGGGCGAATTGCTTCATTGGGGGACCGCTCAGAGTCTCTTTCCGAGGGAAGGTTTGCTTGGAGATTCTCGCCCCATTTGAGCTCACTCTTTTTCGGCGGTGAGTCTCTAGCACAGCAAGCAGCAGATGCCTCTAAAGAACGTGCCAACACCATCGGAGACCCTTCCGCAGAAGCACAGTGAGACTTCACGTATCGAGGAAAGACGACACCAGACTCGCTGCGAGCACCCTGTAGCCCCGACACTTTTGCAGGCAGCCCAGCCTCTGCTGACTCCTCACCTGGAGATGACCATTTCGCACAGGGGGGTGTACAGCAGCAGCAGGTGCGCGCGCTCCCACCCTAGTTGCCGCCCCTCGTCGTCCTTCCAGGACGTCCGGCCGCCCCCCCGAGAACGTCCGGTCCCGTTCGTGAACGCCCGCGCCGCAGCGCCCTCCGCTTTGTGCGGCCCCAGGGGGATGTCGATCACGGAGGCGGCCTGCGGGTGGAGAACTAGGCGCGCGAGCTCTTGGAGCATGCACACCAGCTCGTCAAGGCGCATCTGGGGAAGGCGAGTGTCGCCTGCACGAGATTTGTCAAATGTCATCTTCTGGCTGACGCAATTTGTGATCAGGCAGAAGCAAAACGTAGTAAATGGACTTTCCGAGCGACTTTTGCCAGTTCGATCGTTGCCGGTTCGATCGTTGCCGGTCCGGCCGTTGAGGTAGGCTGCGCATTTCACAGCGACCAGGCGGGATCGCTCCAGTGGCTTTCTACACGTCAAGTAGTGCCTGAGCGGCGGGCACCTGAACACAGCGTAGCCAAATTGTCACCTGAACTCTGTTTTCATAGCTCTTTCATGAGCAGTTGTTGCAGGCCCTCACTAGCACGGCAAGAAAGCGACGGAACTCACCAACTTCGCTCTCGTCCTCTGCGAACCGCTTCAGGATGGAGTCGCAACGGGCGATCAAGATGGGGAGAGCAACACGGGCGCCGATAACCGACGAGGAGTCGTACCCGTCCTGGGGGCCCCCTCGGCTGCCAAAGGACAGGACACAACATGCTGAGCTGCAATTTGAGACGTGTACTTTGCACGTCTTTGCAGCAGCACGAGACCGTTTGCTAACAACTAGGGCGACTGCCAATCACCAAGAGCTAGTACCAAGAAGCCGCCATACGCATTGTATTGAACTGGAAATCTTGAAAAGGCGGACTTTGTGTGGCATGAGCACCAGCTAGCCCAATGCAGGTCTCTTCTACGAATCAACCTGACCTCAGGTTTCGGTTCTGGTCTTACTTTCTCGGATTCCTGGAGTCAAACTGGCGCTCTTTACACCTGGAAGTGAATGCAGCGGCACTAGCAAGACTTCGAGGAGATCAAAGCGGAACCTGAGGATGAAAGTCCGGACAGATGCACGATAGGCTGTCTGAAAGCAAACAGCCAAGGGGCACCCGCCTCACCCGCACAACACGAACAGGCGCACCAGGCACGCCAGCGAGAACCGGCTGCAGTTCTCCGGCACAGCCTTCCCGAGCGGCAGCTGCGACGTGCGCGCCGCGCAGTTGTCGATCACCGCCACCAGCCGCCGCTGCACCTCCTCCGGCGCTTCCCTACAGTGCGCCAGCACCCGCTCGCACAGCGTGTCCAGCGCCACGCCCTCCAGCTGCTCGTCGCTCTTGGCGGTCTCCGGGGGGATCCCCCCGAGCTGCGGCTTCCCGCAGGCGCCCAGCAGGAAGTCCTCGAAGAGCTGCGCGAGCTCCTTCCACAGCCGCGGCCGCCCAAGCTCGCCGAGGGCCTCGGAGGGATCCCCCTCCAGGCGGCGCTGCAGTGCGGCGGTCCAGTCTTCCAGCGACGCGGAGTCGACCGCCTCTGCGGTGGGGCTCGCGATGTTCCAGTCGGGGGAGCTTTCCGGGGTGCCTAACGCGGCGTTCAAGACCTGTTTTAGGCATCGGACGGCCACACGCCAGAGGTCCGAGTCGGGCGCGTCGCGCCGCGTGATCATGCACCGCCCGAGCGCGGCGACCACGTCCGGCAGGACCATCACCTGCGCGTCTTTCGGGGCGTGCCCGCAGTACGACTCGGTGAGGACCGCACAGACCTTCTCCGCAAACAGAGGGGAGAGAGCACCGGGCGCAATTTCCGGGTAGTCGTCTGACGACTCTTGACTCTCCAATGCGTCCCCGTCCGCCGCTTCCTCGACTGTGGCTGCTGCGGTTGCTTTCGACGCGTCCTCAGGCTCTTGAGAAGGCGCCGCAGGTTGGCCGTTCTCGACTACTTCTCGTGGTTGCTCATCCGCAGCGCTCTTGGGCAACGGCTTGGGGGACTCCTCCGAGGGCCGCCTGCTGCCCCCGCCCCACAGAGATGACACCCAGCCCGTGAAGCTGCTGTCCGGCTCTGCCTCCGGACCGTCCGAACCGGGCTGCTCCATTTTCGGACCGTCCACCGAACCGTTCTGCACCGGAGCGTTGTTAGGAGCGCCTACTTCATCCCTTCCTTTGTCGAAGTTCAGCTCGTGAGACACCAACGACGTGACGGACGTTTCCAGGGGGTCCGTACGCTTGGCGTCCGCACCCCCCCCCTTCTTTCTCCTGTACTTTTGCGGCACCCGGCAGTAGGGCAGCCGCACCGCCTCGCCCCCGGGCAGGTACCCCACCATCTGCTGCAGCAGCGCCGGCCAGAGCGCCACGTGGCGCTCCCCGATTGGCCGCATCTGCGGCAGAACGTCGAGCACCGTGCGCTGGACCTGGGGGAGCGTCCCCGGCAGGCTGGCGCTGTCTTCCGGAAGCAGCGGCCACTTTGCGAGGACGTCGATCATCGCGAGGGCGCGCAGGAAGTCGGTCGGTTCGAATGCGGCGGAACACTTGGAGTAGAGCGCGCCCAGGCTCTCCAGGAGCTCGAGCCGCGCCTTGAGGGCGACGCGGCTCTCGGGCTGCACCGAGCGCCGGGCGGCGTCCTCGAGCAGGTCGAAGGCCGAGTCCCAGTAGGACCGGGGGAGGGTGCCCTGGATGGGGAAAGGGGAGGTGAGTCAGCTGAGTGACGTACAAATACACGGGCTGCTTGAATTGGCAAAGCACAGCGAATGCGGCTCTGGAGTTGTCGTATTCAGTGGACCGAGTGCGTGCTTTTCGCAGCACACAGATTGACAGAGGTTCTCCTCTCAAACAAGCTCGAATGTACTATGTAACATCCAAGGGACCTTACGGGCTTCAATAGCAGGATCTACAAGCAAGGCAAGCATGGTAGCAGCAGGGTGTTTCAGAGCGCCGCAATTTTGAACCATTAAACGTGCCAAGATTTGGCTCAGGCCTGCAAGATCGTCTTCTTCCAAGCCCGTTCGATCCCTGGCAATCAGTCCTTGTACTTAATTGCGAGGTGAAACGGTTGGAAAACAATCCCCGATGCAAGCAAAAAAGCCATGAGAAGAGCTGAAAGATCGCTTCTTTTCTTTGCATCATTCTCCGAGCAGAAATCAGTTGCCGCACATCTGCCCCACCTTGGACGCCTGGGCTTGCAGCACAGTGTGGATGGAGCTGACGGCCGCGATGCCGACCTCCTTGCTGCCCTCGGCGATGCTCTCCGCGACGAACTGGAGGTACGAGCTCCAGGCCTTGTCGAAGTCGGGCATGGCCTCGAGGAGCCGGAAGTAGGAGCGCAGCAGGCGCGACATGCCGCTCAGGTACATCACCAGCGTCTCGTCCCACTGCTTCTGGGCCGTGTTGCGGCTGCGGGGCAGAAGCGCGATGGAGTCAGTGAGAAAATGGGGAAGCACGCGGATTCTAAAGCAGAGGGCCTGAACCCGCTCGGGATCCCGTCAAGTGATCCGGTTCACGTGAGAAAGACGGGCCTACATTAGCATCTGCACTCACGCCGGCGTACAATACTGCCTGGGGTGTAGTAAGGTGACGAGTTTGTGCTCTCGAAAACACTTGCTTCTACAAGTAAACAGTGTTCCTGCTCTTAATGTCACAAACAAGTCCTCATGGCAGAGTGAGACCCTGAACTGCGGGTTACTATTTGGAGCAAAGCCGTATGTGCACGTGAGCCGTACCTGTGGTGCACCAGCATAAGGACCGTTTTGCCCCCCGCCTTTCCCAGCTCCCGGCCCGCAGACTCCTCCTTGGATGACGTGGCAGCTAGGTGCTTGACGTTCTCCAGGAGCGGCAGCAGCAGCTCCCACACGCAGTGACGCCACAGCTCGGCCGAGATGCGGGACCCGTGGCTGACCAGCGACGCGAAAAGGGTGCGGATGCCGGAGTTGCGCACCTGGGAAGAGGGGGCTCATTGGTTAGGAAAGACTGCCTACCTGCTCAGCATGTAACGTTCTTTTCTCTTAACCCGCTTGTGTGGTTCACCTGCATTAGTTGGTGAGAGCCGAGAAGGGACAAAACAATATAAGCTAGACAAGCTCGTAGGTGCTGGCAAAGGCAACTTGAGCCCTTCCGAAGGGACTTTGGAGGCTCGGATTCAATGACTTGGGCAAGAACTAGATTTTTAAGCAGGACTTCACAGGATCGCGGAAAGAAAATGATTTCGCATGACGTAAAGAGGGCCACCAGGAGCGTCGAGATTTGAGCAAGTGTACATACAGAAGCAAACAGAATTACTCTCAACGCCTTTCAAAGCCGTCCCTCGGAGTATCCATGTACAAACGGCCGCTGACCTCTGGCCTGTCATCGGTACACAGCGCCTGGAGCTCCAGGAATACGTCCCCCAGCAGCTGCTCATTCTTCGCGTCCAGCTTATGGCTCCCCTCGTCGGCGCCTCCCAACCACGGGCCGCCTCCTTCCCCCGCTCTGGGGTTCTCCCTCCCTGGCGACGTCCCAAGTCCCATTTCTTTTCCAGCCAAGCCTCCCTTCCCTACCGGACTCTCCCCAGCCAGCACCTCTTTCCGACTGCCCGACTCCCCTTCGGACGGCCGCGACAGCCCCGGCCCCAGTCGCGACGGCGGCCGGCCGTTCTCCTTTGCGTCGCTGGTCGTCGCGCCCGCATGGCTCTGCTTCCGCGCCTCGAGCGGTGACCCCACGTCCACCACAGCCTCTTGGCCGCCCTTCCCGAAGAAGTCGGCCGTCGTCCAGAGGAGCGTGACCGCAGTCAGGCTGATGTTCAGGTCCGCCTTCTGGGCGCCGTACGCGCCCGCGACCTCGACGCACGTGCGCAGCGCGTCCGCGGGCATCGTCGCGAGGCAGTCGTTCATCACGACGCGGACGCTCTGGAAGCCGAGCGGGACGAGGTCCTTCTCCGCGTCGGTCGCGACGCGCCCGAGCAGCTTCAGCAGCACGGGCCAGCTGTGGTACAGCCGCTCCCCGTGCCGCTCCAGGATATGCAACAGACTCCGCAGCGCGCCCGCGCGCATGTCCCCGTCCTTGGCGCCGTACAATCGGACCAACGGCTGGATGACCAGCACTTCGAACTTCTCGTTCAGCGGCCGGGGCCCAACGTCCAGCAAGAGCTCTTTCGGCCGCAGCTTGCTAGCGCTCGGGCTAAACGTTCCGCCGGCCCCTTCCGCGTCGTGGCTCTTCCTTCGCTTCGCCTCCTTGTCGCGGCCCGCCGCGGCCTCCTCCTTCACTTTCCCGCAGCCCAGCACGGCGGTCAGCAGCCGATCCAAGGCGTCGAGCGCCGCCGTCCGCACGGCCGGGCTCTCGTGCTCCGTCAGTTCCAACAGGTGGCCCGTCACTTCGTCCCAGAGTCGGTCCACCCGGTGCAGGTTGTGCATCACCGTGTCGACCATCCGGTCCACCGCAAACATTCTCGGGAGGCCCTGGGGCGCCCCCCCGGCCCCCGGACCCCGCTCCTGGTTGCTCCCGCTAGCCGCCATGCCCAGCCCGGAGGAAATCCCCGACACCGCACCTTTTGAGACCTGGCGCAGGGCCCCGATTAGCGCGCGCACTGCCGTGTCGCTCATGTGCGCCGTGCTCTCGAACAGCTGCGAGTCGAGGCTCGACAGGATCGAGAAGTCGCTCAAACCCCCGGAGGTCCCCAGCTTGGGGACACTCACCGAAACTTCTTGCGTGGTGGCATGAGGTGCGTGTAGGGTGCGGTCCAAACAGGCCAGCGTTTCGAGAACGAGCACCCAAGCGGGGCCTAGCACGTCGGCCAATCGGTGCGAGACATTGAACAATGTGCGCAGTGCCTGGACATTCTTCGGCGTCAGAACGATTCCGTCCTCGCCCTTGCGGCTGATGCTCTTGCCAAGGTCGACTGCCCCCTCCGGGTTGGTGTGCTGCGCCATCGTGAACTTGCACAGCGACGCCAGGAACGCGTCCCGCGGCTCCACGGCCCGCAGCAGCCCGCACGCCTGCGTGAACGCCTGGTACCCCCGCAGGATCTCCAGGATCGTTGACTCGTTGGTGCTCTTCGCCAGCACCAGGGACAGCGCCTCTAGCAGCGTCTTCCATACCGAGTCGACCATCCGCCGGCACATGTCCCCGAGGCCCTGCCCGCTGCCGACCGCGGCCTCGTCGCCCTCCCCCTTGCCTGCTGACGTCACCACAATCCCCGCCATCGCGAGGGCTCGGTGCTCGACGCTCGCACTGTCGCCCTCTTCCGGCAGCTCGATGTCCGGTTTCTGGCAGCTCGGAGATTCTAACTCGCCCTCCTCCACGGCTTCGTCTGCCAGTGTGGATATCGTCAGGACCGCCCCAAGGAGACTCTCGATGGCGAGTGTGATCGCCTGGGCCTCGTTCACCGCAGCAACAAGAGGGTTCCCGCTGGTGTCGACTTCGATGACCCACTCGACCCCCTTGGCTCGGCTGGTGAACATGCTGGCAACGGCCAGCATCACCTCTTCGTTCAGGTCGGGGAACTGGATGATGCTCACGACGCGCGCCAGCGTGGCGACCATGTCGTGGACGACGTTCGTGTTGTGCGGGCGCATGTCGAAGATCTCGAAGATGGTGCGCAGCACGCGCGCCTCGGTGCAGAACCCGCGCAGCACGTCGAGGACGTAGATGCGGTGCCAGAGCGCCTGCTCCAGCTCCATGCTCTTGATGAGCATCTGGAGGAACACCTCGCACTCGGTCGTGATGATCGTCGCATAGAAGCGCGTCACCGTCGAGACGCACCGTAGGAGCATCCGGCGCACGGGCGGCTCCCCAACGTCGCCCTCCAGCTCCCCCGTTGCTCGTAGTGACGTTATCAGGAGCGAGCAGGCCTTTTGGCGGAGGACGTTGGAGTAGGCGGGGAGGAGCATGAAGATCGCAACGTAGTGGGAGAGGACGTACTCGAGCATGTCGAGCGCAAAGACGCGGGAGAGGGAAGGGACATTGAGCCAGCAGGCGGGGCTGCCGTGAGCAAGCGCGATGATGTCTTCCAGAAGCTTCAGGCCAAGACGGCCTGGCTGGGACAGCTCTTTGAGCGCAGCCTTGAGGTCGTCCGGATGCGAGATGCGCCTGCAAAAGATTCCTCGGGGTTAAAAATGAGGAGAAGTCGATCATGCGAAGGCCAAGCTTCCAGTACATTTTTCCATCTGCTTCATAAATCAAATCAGGTCAGACCGTCCATCGGTTAAGACAGTTGGTCCTTGAGATGGATGGCCCCACAAATTTTATAGAGGAAGGAAAGAGACACGACTTGTAGGTCGCTCATTGCAAGCCGCCAAGATCTGAAGGGCCATCCATTGTAAATGATCAGAGAACGCCTGCAGACGGTCAGTGACAAGCTCACTTTGAGGAGGGTGTAGAAAGGCTGTACTCTTTCTGAAGCCCTTGTCCACCCTGCACACTGACGGTGCTTCCAGGGATGATTGTTCCAGACACTCTGCGAGTACCCCCTCGCTGGCTGCCAGTGCTTGGCAGCCCCTCAGCTGCCACCACTCGGTCGAACGTGAGCGCCACTGCCTGTCTTAGGGTCGCAGCCGCCGTTCTGCATATGTCAGAAAGTATATCAGGAAAAAGCACATCTGGAATTTCGTGGACATCTGCTCAGATCGACCATTTTACGGTTCAATGCTTCCCAGTTCAAAAGCTCCACAAGCTCAACTTCATGCCCCTGACGGATTGTGGAAGCCTTTTCTCGTAGATTGGGGCTGTATGATGAGGTGGAAAGGCAGGACAAGACAACCCCATGGCGGTCTCCTTGCACTAAAAAGGAGGGTAAGCTCCCTGGCATCCGGCGTACAAAGGAGGCACTCACCCTCTCACGCTGTCCACACTTCTTGGATTCCCAAGCAACCGGAAGCAGATACCCAACACAATGGAAACATCGTTCTGCAGACGAAAGAATTGAAGAACATGTCAATCAGGCAATTAAGACCTTACCCCAACCATGCTGAAAGCGCACTGTCAAATGAACTGAATTTACAATCAAGCACTCACTGCAGATTCGAAATCCAACCAGATAGCAGTGGCCTCTTCCAGAACATCCTATCCCAGCAGCCTGGACTCTCTGCTCACCTCTTTTTCTGGGTGCACGGTTGACTGCAGTAGGGTCAGTATGAGCTGGAGTGTCTTCAGCTGTACACTCTCATCCAGCAACTCTGAATTCTGCACACCCAGTTCACTTGAAAGTCAGTCACCACCATAAGATGCACGTGACACAGTATGCATAAACGAGGGCTGTGTTGAAAGCTATTCCTCCGAGTGCGGATGGCCATCTCAGACTGGCAACTGTCAGCAATTTGTTTCATGTTGCAGCTAGTGAAATTGATTACATACATGGACGTTGTGTAGAGCCGCTAGTCGCCGCCATGATTGCTGAAACTGAATCCAGCTGTGTTGTTTGCCTTACCTGCTCTAGTGTAGCCAGGATCTGTGGCAGTGACGTGACAGGTATGGCATCATGGGCCGTCAGCTTTTGAAGACAGGAGAGTCCAATCGCGCATATCTTCACATTTTTGGTCTCGCAGGCCAGCAGGAAGGTCTTGATGACCTCATCATTTTGAGCAATTGCTGCAGCGTCGGGGGTAGCTCGGAGCTGCAATCAAGAGAAAAAGTGCTTTTGCACATTAAAACTGGTGTGTCTAAGAGTGCTCCTCCAAGATGTGCATTTGGATCTGTTGTTCAGGCTGACGCAAGGGGCATGCAGGATGGCTGCACGACCATATCTAAGCGTACCAGGAAGGCTCTGCAGTCCGCTCTTACCTTGAGGATTCCCCTTTCTGCGGCGTCCTTGAGGGAAGGATACTTTCGACGTGCTTCAGTAGAGAGACTTCTCATCTCATTCTCCAAAACTGTGATGAAGGTCGCCATGACTTTCCTAGAGAGACCTTCACAATTCTGCACGCAATTGCATTCTATGGTTTAAGGTCAGCAGAGAAGAAACTTGCTGCCAATCAATGCATTGAACCTTCTGATCTGACAACTTCGCTTTCATCCCCTCTTGAGGTTGTTAGTTGTGCCACCTGAAGCTGCCAGATGCACGGATTCCTGCTGATCAGCATCATGACCCAAAAACTATGCCACTGCATAAGCTGGACGATCAGCTTCTCCTTCTAGGTACTTGTGTCTGCCAAACAGGAACGTTTTCCACATGGCAGCTTGCATTGATCGGCGTGCCAGAATGGGTGTGGCTGGCAGTGGAGAGCTGCTCAGCCCGGCCTCCGACTCTGAGCTGATGCAGTAATGGTCGATTCCAGCTGCATGGCGAGAAACTTTCATGCAGAAGACGTTTGACTACTTGGTCCGATGACATACGGGACCACTTGCACGGCCCTCATACTGCACGAGGACGACCCCTTTTTGAATTATCTACCACTTATCTTGTTTTATGCAGCGACCAAGGAGACACGCTCAAGTCACAAAAATTCGCTGGTAATCACCGGCCCGGTTGCAAGCAGGAACTGCTATTATTTCGGAGACGTCAAACTCCCATCTCGCGCGAGCAGATTTTGAAGAATCAGCTTGATTTTGTAGGACTTTTACATATGTTGAGAAAAGTTCAAAACTTCAGAAGAGATGCCATTGCACGAGCGAGCACTTGGGCGAGGGGGCAGCTCGATGTCGCGTCCCTCATGGTGTTCCACTGCCATTTGAAAGCTAGTTGCTATTAGCGCTTGGCCTGTGGTGCTGTACCAAAGAGGATCATAGTGTTTGGCTCAAATTTTCAAGGACAACTTGTCTTCCTACTCGCACCAAAGACGGGCATTACTCGACCTTTTTCCTGGAAATCAGGGACCCTCTGAGCAGGATTTGATTGCTGTGTTTCTAAGCCTGCTTCTGAAGAGCATGCTGGATTGTCTCTGATGATTTAGTGGCTTTAAGTCACTCAATTGCTGAGGCAGAGGACTCCACAACTGGGATGGAGTGGCTTACCACGCGCCAACTCCGCCTCCAGTCGGTAGGAGATGGATCCGAGCAGGCCCAGGCCGCTGCATTTCATCCAACGCAAGCAATCCTTGCCGTGGCGGTTGGAAGGCACATCGTCGAGTTTGATGCCCTCACCGGGTGCAAGCTGTCTAGCGTGGACATTGGGGGGAGTGTTGTGAAGCTGGCCTACAGTCCTGCGGGGGGGCACGTTCTTCTTGCGGTCCTTCAAGTGAGATTCTAAGCATTCTTTGTGTCACCCCTGATTGTATGTGAATCATCCTGGTCGAGGCTTTTGCCCCCAGCCGCTAGGTACTGCGCACCGAATGCCCGCTCCTATTTCAGATAACTTGTGATTCCAGTTGGATTTGTTTCTGTCATGGTTCTTGCGCCCTGAGTAATCCTGATGGGGCCAGTGCCAGAACATTGCCCACATCTTCTTACACCTGACGGTGGCGAGTCCATTTGACAATGAATCCTGACATTGAGTTTGGTGCGCCCTCCCTGAATTGGCCGGGGCTCTAGCAAAGACACTCTGTACTTGGGCAGCTTCTCCTAACACTTTCATCTGTATCGTCCCAACTGAGAATTGTCAGCTTCTTCTGTCATCGTTGGTTTCTGATAGTAAGCGGCGGTGTCTGTTGCAGGATTGGACAATACGATCATGGGACTTGGACGCAGAGCACACCACAGTGCTCTACTCCCCCGCAAGTGCGGACCGGAAGCAGGACCGCCCAGCCTCGGGCGCCGCCGTCCAGGCGCACATTGCCCTGACACCGATGAAGCCGTGGCTCTTCTTTGCTGCACACATGCGAACAAGTGTCAATGGTGAGCTCTATTGCCCCCCTCAAAATTCGTTCACAGATGTAGTATGCAAGGAGTTAGCAGTGCAGACGATACAACTTTAACTCGTTTCTGACAAAGTGTTGTTTTTGCTGCTTAGTTGTGGGGATAAGGGACGGCGGCAAGGCGGCGCTCAAACTCAAGACGGACTACAAGAAAGCAGTCACACAGCTGGCATGCCACCCTCGGGCCCCCCTCCTGTTCATAGCTTACAATGATGCGTGCATTCGAGCGCACGAGTTCCAGACCTTTGGGGTTCGATTCACCATCCAAGGTAAGTGTTCCTCTGCCTGCTATTGACCTTGTTAGCCTCGTTTTTGGTTGCAGAGGCTGGTATGCAGTCAAGCTATTGGTGCATACTTGGGCCTCAATTGCATCCCTGCATACTAGGAGGCCCAGGCTATTGCCTTGGTTTGGATCCTCAATGATTCAGTGCCTTGGTTCGGATCTATGCATGCTTTAGGAGCCTGAAATCTGGTGTTGTCCGGCAGACCCTTCCCTGAAGCTCGCGGGAGCGGGCGCCATCACCTTCCACTCCACTCTGGACATCATGTTTGTTGGGGACCGCGGCGGGATGTTACTGGCCTGGGACATCCGTGTGCAGCCGCTACTGATTGGCAGGTAGGTTGCCAAGCAGGCGTTTCTATTGCTGACTGGGAGAAAGACTTTGTGGATTGGACCCATCATGATTTCACAAAACGAAGAGTCATTTGAGACTTGTGGCAAGGGGCCTGTCTTAACCCACAGAGAGCAGATCCAACTCTTTCCTGCACTCAAGAGCTGTGTAGTCTGACGCAAGAGTCGTCCAACCGAGTCGTCACAACTCCTGCTCAACAAGTGCCGCTTGTTCGTCCAGTGTGCAAGTCGGGAGTGGAGATGACGGCACAATCGTCTCTGTCGCGTACCACCCCCTCCTCCAACTGGTCATCAGCCTGACCAAGGACGGCAAGGTCCAGGTGTGGCGGATCAGGAGCACCAACAACCCCAACAAGCCCACCATGAAGTCCAACTTCTTTGAGCCGTCAGGTGAGTTGCTTTGTTCAAAGACCCCTTTCCGAATGGGTGGTGATATTGCCTGGGCAAAGGCATCATCTTGCTTCGTACAGATGCCTATGCCCTTGTTTCGATAATGCGAAAAGGGCATGTTAAGATTGTCTTTCTCGACTCCGACTGGGGACTGCGCTGATGAGTGTGAACGGTGGGTTAACTCCCGACCTTTCTGTCCTCTGCCCTCACCTTCGACGTATATTCTCGACAACGCATCTCGTGAAGACGTGGCCAATGTTCACCCTTGCAGGGATGGGCCTTTTAGACGTGGCCGACATTCTGACCCAGCAAGGAGGCGTGGCCGTCTACCCTGTTCCCAAAGTCGTCCAGATCCTGGTGCATCCCCGCTTCAACACAGCCACCGCACTCTTTGACAGGTAAGAAGAACGTCAAACTTCGTCCCCAACCGAAAGGGGCTTGGATGAGTCTGCTGGTCGAATCGCCTGTCCTTCTGGCACTCACCAAGTATCGAAGGGTTGTGCCCAAGCGATCAGCAAGCTGTTTTCGTAGGATGCATTTTTACGTACGAATGTGGGTTTTGGAAGGGTTGAGCATAGTCCGCAAGACAACTTGGAGTAATTGCCAGCTTAAAGTAGGCGTAGGCCGTCTCACCGACGGCATCACCGGAGCGTGACAGCGACAGGAAACAATCAGCATACACCCTCCGATAACTTCAGCTCGGTAGTTTGTACCGTCCAATTGGAAACTGACTCGCGAGCCTTACGCCCACTTCAACAACCGACCGGTCCCGTTTTCCACCCGCAGTGAGTCCTCCAAGGAGGCCGGTCTACGCCCGGGTAACCTCTCCCGGGCGGCCCGGAGGGAGCTGCTGGCGGCCCTGCAGGCGTCCCGGGCGGCCCCCCGGGGCAAGAAGGACGACGCGGGCGCGGTGACGCAGCAGGTGATCAAGGAGAAACTAGGGGGGGCGCTGTTCTCGGACCACCACCAGATGCAGCTGCTGGCGCAGCAGGCGCAGCTCAAGCACGGGGCGGAGCGCGTCACGCAGACCACGGTGGCGGACTATGCGCGCAAGACGTTCCTGTACGGGGTGAGGAGACGACGGGTTCCATCAGCACGTTTCGGATCGGAGTCATGACCCTCTTCTGATTCAGTGGTGTTGGCTCTGATCTTGAACACTTACTAGTGTAGGTTGCGGCATATGGTAGGTTTGGCAGCTGGGCCTTCCTAATCTTCGCAATGCACGACAGGTTGTTCACAGGTTGCTCTGAGAACTTCCCTCGTAAAGAGGAAGATCGGCCTCTTCCACTTTGGGGCGTCGACATATGTGCAATTCTAGAGCTCTGGGAGGTGGGTGACAGCTTGACGGATCTCTACATACTTTTGTCTGTGAAATTCTCGTGCAAGGCTTGTTGCCGCTAAATGTTCTCAATGGCTTTGTTTTGCAAACCGCGCGTCTGTCAACGACTGGACCCAAGGATTAGCGTGACGAATTGCAACGGCAGCAAGCACTGAAGGCACACGGTTCTAATACGAGCAGCCAAGTCATTTCTGAGCCTAGTTCTCCTCTTGCCCTATGCAGTCCGCCAAGGAGCTCCACTCGACATCGGGCCCAGTGCGCTCTCTCCCGCTCCTGTGCATCGCTGACGAGGAGCACCCGCTGCGCGATACCCCCGTCTGCTCGCCCGTCCAGCGGGACCTCCACTTCTTTGCCAACGAGCACAGGACTTCCGTCTACCCGCCACGGGCCGACTTCATGGACGGCTGCACGCTCTGTGGATTCACGCTGGCGACGGGGGAGTACGTAACGCACAAGAAACTCGGGGCGACGGTGAGGGGCTTTCATTGAGGGATTTGAGACAGGGCTTTGCTTTCGGGATTTGCGCGTTCTAAAGAGGGTACGCTAGGCGTGTGTTGATCGGGCTGAACTTTAAGGTCACTTGACGTCAGTTTGCAACTTTTCTTCGTAGACGTTCTGCTTTTCCAATAGCAGCAATCATTTCCTGCTCTATGCGAATGGAAACATGCAGTGTGGATGGCACGTCCGGTGATTGCTTCCTCGATCACCTCAGACTTAGATGGTCGCAAGTGAGGGCCAGTCAAACGGCGGCAGTCTTTCTCAAAGCAACATTTTCTGAATGCGAACAGGAATCGGATCGCTCATTTTTGAATGCGAAAGCACGCGACCCCGTCCAGTCACGCGCTAAACCCCATCGCCTTCCCTTCAGGCTGCCTCCGGCGCCGAGCGTTATCCCACGAGCCTCGTCTTCAGCGAGCCACAGCAGGCGTGGGCCTTCACCTTCGCGTGCCCGGGGGCTTCCTCCGAGGTCGCCCTCCTGCGCACGAGCAAATCTCCCGGCGGTGACGGCTTCATCACTCTCCCAGGACGCGACGCGACGTTCACCGGAGTCGGGGACAACCAGTTTCTCGTCCTGCACGAAGACGGGGAACAAGTCGACGTGCTGCGGCTCGGCCCAGCGGACGTGTACGTGAGCCAGAATGGAAACGGAACGGAGGAGGTCATGGCGATGCGCTTTGACACGCCCGTGTCGCGCGTGTTCCGGACGCCGATCGACTCGTCGGTTCTGTACGTCGCGCGCCGGCACATGGGGCTCGCGCGGATTCCCTCCGGGGCGGGGTACGGAATGGAACCCATTCTGCGGACGCACCGGGCGGCCGGAAAAGTGATCGACTTGAAGCCGATGGAGCAAGTCCTGAACGTGCAGTGGCAGTCGTCGGGGCTGGGCCCTGTCGCGGGGATCGTGACCACGCACCGAGTGCTGATCGCAGACTCGAACCTGGACGTCGTGGCCAGCAGCAGTGCCCCGCTCGACAGCGGGCACCCGCCGTTCCGCACGTGCCTGTGGGTTGGCCCCGCGCTTCTAGTTTCCACCGCGACCACGGTTGCCGTTCTCGGGTGGGACGGACAGGTGCGTCCGTTCTGCACGCTGGACGGTCCGAATACCGCGCTGGTTGGGGTATTGAATGACCGGCTCATGCTAGCGACGAGAAGCGAGGGGGGTGAGCGGGGGGTGGAGATCAAGTACCGCCTGGTGGGGCTGCTGGAGCCGCTGGTCATAGGCTATGTGACGATGCAGAGCGTGTTCGACCAGAACCTGGAGCTGAGCGAGACGCTCTACAAGCTGACGTCAAGGTAAGGCCGCCTCAAGCTGTGGACGCTTTTGCCTTTGCCCCCCTGCTTTCCGCCTCGGTCGCTTGCTCTCTTCGCGCTTCTGATGTTTGCTCAGCATGCTCATCTGCCCATCGGACAAAGCGGTGCGGAAACCAAAGGATAAATTGCTGTATGTCCACAGGGGCCTTTTCGTTTAATCATGTCTCTGACAACCGTTGACCTCAACTTCAAGCTCTCCACACTACCACGAGGAATACGAAGATTTCTGGAAGTCTGACCAGCTTTCTTTCTCCAGGTTCGACAATTTGCGCATTACCCCCCGCATGGTTGACGTCCTCACCGTGGGCTCCACCGCCAGCGCCAACTTGGGCGTCGAGCTCGCGCAGGGGGGCCCCCAGTTCACACAGGAGCTGCGCTCCCGCTATGCGATGCGCGCGCGCCGTTTCGAGACGGCGCTCACCATCCTGCGCGACGACTTCCTGCGGTCCAAGGACTACCCGCGCTGCCCGCCCTCCAGCCGCCTCTTCCAGCGCTTCCGCGAGCTGGGCAAGGCGTGCGTCAAGTAAGGGGCTTCGAGCTCTTTCTGGTCGCATATCATGCTGGCAAAGTAGCCCTTAGTCATTCTGGAGGTGTGAGATCTTCCCCACCAAGTGTCTTGCATTGTTTGCTGCATGGAGTCTTCTGCTAAGAATCTGACTCGTCCTTTCGCTTAACACGCTCCTTCTTTTATTATGATACTTGACGATAGCCATATCAAGGTGACATGTCAGCCTTGTGCTTGGATGGTGCAAGACTTTTCTTGCATTCGCGGAATGAAGGTAGAAATCGGCTTTTTGAAGTGTACGAACAGGTGGAACGTTGCAGCAGTTGACAATGGTTGCTAAAGTGAACCCGCTTTCGACTTGTATATGCTCCTACTGGGGCTCGCTCCACGTCACAATCACGCATATACCTCCGATCGTTCAGTCATCTTCCTGGCAAGCACAACCAAACTCGCCATCCATCTCCTCCCCCCAGGTACGGCCAGTTTGACCGCGCCAAGGAGACGTACGAAGTGGCCGGCGACTACGAGAGCCTGTTCGATTTGTTCATAACCCACATGAACCCGAGCGCGCTACGCCGACTCGCCCAGAAGCTGGAGGAGACGAAAGCGGACCCGGAGTTGCTGCGCCAGACGCAGCAGCTGCTCCTGCTGCGGTCCGCGGGGTGGGGCACCGGGGGCACGTTCACACAGCTCAGCGGGGACAGCATGGCGCCCAAGGGGCCCGAGTGGGGCGGGGGAAACTGGGAGATCAAGGTGAGGGGGAGGGGGCTCGGATTTGTAGCCAGGGGTTGGGTCGTTGGGTCGCAATTTTTCAGAAGCAATTAAGGTGAACAGTATACTTTCAGGTTGAACCAGAAATCTAAGGTTGCTAAGGTTGATGTGTTCCGCACCCTGACTCCTGGTTAGCCACACCCCCTCCCAAATACTGTTCACTGGGGGCTTACGTTTCACTCGGCTTTGCTGCTTAAAAGCAAATGACGCCCGAGTTGGGTATGGCAGAGTTGGAACCAACGTACCGTCACCGCGACCCCACAGAGCTTTCTCATGAGGCTTTCTCAGAAAGTTTTGAATCCATCGGGACTTATCGTAAATGCTTGTGCCAGCCCCATGCTCACGCACTTTCCCCCCCGCTGCCTGCAGGTGACCCCCCAGGAGGACAAGGTCCCCGACTGGGAGCTCGCCTCCGAGGTCACCGCCTTCATGCAGGACACCGCCGGGGCCCCCATCCCCAACATCGTGCCCGACTCCCTGGGCGTCTACTTGGGCACCGAGCGTGGGCGGGGGGTCGCCCCACCTACCGGCGAACGGTTCGCGGCCGCCGCCGCGGCCGCCGCCTCTGTCCACGTGGGAGCCCCGCTGGCTATCGGGAGCGACGGAGCGCCGCTCGGGTTTGGGGACGAGCTCGAAGGGCCGGCGTTTGGGAAGGTGGCGAGCCTCTCGAGGATGTCGGAGGACGGCGTGTCGCCGTCGTCTACGCCCAGCAGGGGGACCAGCCAGAGGGGGACCCCTCCGCGCAGCTTCAAGAGGTGAGCGCTTTTGTGGATTGCGGGGTGCGGACTGTGTATTTGGCAATTGACGTCGTGGGACCGGATTGGACTTTGTAGATGTGTTTGAGGCTGAACCTTCGCTTTTTTAAGTGTCAGTTTTGCAATGGGCTCGGGGGGGAGGCAGGAGCAGAGCAGCGTGTCGTAGGAAAGCTCTTCCGAAGACAGGCTCTGTAGTCGTTGCCGCATGTTCTCAAACCATGTTCGCAGTTGAGACTTCATCCTTCACTGTGACGATTGTTTGAAGACCTCTTTTTAGGCACTTGAGAGGTTACAAGCGGAATCACGCAGGTACAGGCCAAATGAAGCATTCGAGAGATTGGCCAAAGAAACACCCAACAAGCCTTGTAAGAAGAGCGGTGACTATAACTACAGGCGCGCAATGTGCAGGCCCAGCACTAGCGAGGACGAGACCGAGGAGCAGGCGCGCGCGGCGGAGGCCTTCCGCAAGGGCTTCGCGCCGCAGGACGAAGATTCCGACTCCGACGACGACGCGGGCGCGATGCGGCCCAAGCGGCTGCAGATCCGGATCAAGGCGCGCGACGCGAGCGCGCCAAGTGTCAAGGACTCAATCGACGTGGACAAGCTCAAGGAGGCCACCAAAGCGTTCAAGCTGGGCGACCCGACGTCGGGCCCTCTCGCGCTGCCGCCGCGCCCGGGAACCGGCAGCCGGCAGTCTGCGTCGTCGAAACTCGCGCCACCACAGGGCCTCCCGGCGCCGCAGCCGATGCCCTTCCCGGCACAGCTCTTCTCTCAGCAGCCGGATCAACAACCCCCGCCCGCGACGGCTACCGGCCCGTTCCCACCCGGCAGTGTGAATGCGCCCCCTCCGCAAGCCGGCCCAGGGCTCTTCGGGCAGCTGCTTCCATTCGTCCCACAGAACACGTCGCTCCAACTGCCCAACGCTCCGCAGCAGCCGAGCGCGCCGCAAAATGGGGGGCCGCAGGACTTCACGTTCCCAGACATGGGAGTGCCCCCCCAGGCCGTCGCCGTGCCGGGGCTGTTCCCGCAAGCTGCGCCGTCACCAGCGCAGCCTCCGCTGGCGCTGCCAGGCCCAGGGGCAGCGCTCGCTCTGCGAGACGACGGAGTCCCGCCTCAGGTAATTTGGCTGGATGTTTCGTGCTACTACTCTTTAGCTTTCCTTCTTGTTGTAGAACAAGGACCCTGTGGTGAAATGGCTTTCATCGGAGGCGATGGCAGGCTCCAATGTGTTGATTTTGAGATGCTCCACCTGCCTGTGAGCGCCACTCAACTTCTGTTCTTTCGCAACCATCAGCGAGAATGTTATGCGTTGGTTACCTTTACCGTGAACTCAGTCACGCCCTTCCTGTCTTGTAACAAGGTCCTCCACTACATGTTGCACACCTGTAAAGCTCGCCACTCACAAGAACCCATCTGCGAGCTCCTCCCTTCGAAACACTATCAACATTCCAAAGCCACCACCGTTTTCTGACCCGTTGCCCCCCTTTATCCTCCTCAGGGCCCCCCTTCGACCGGCCCCATCCCCGACCTCGGCCTCTTCAGCGGCCCTGCCAGTTTCGCCGGGACGTCCCGCGGCGGATCTGCGCCCAGCAGCGTCGGCCCTCTTAGTTCTTCTGGTTTCCTGGATCTGGACGGTCTCCCTGGGTCCGGTGCTCCCACCAGTACGGGACCCCCACCCAAGAGCTGGGACGCCACCGCGGGCGGGCCGCTCAGCGTGGGGGCGGAGAAGGTGCCCCCCGCTCCAATCAGTGCCAAGCCGGGCGAGGTGAGAGTTTGTTCCTTTCCTTAGGGTAACAGCGTGGTTTTGAAGTGAGAGCAGTAACTGATTTGAGTCTTTCCATGCCTCTCATGTTTCCACCTTCATTGATTTGAAAGGGGCAGAACAGATAGTGAGACACTCCAGTCATTGAACAGAGAAAAGAAAACAGAAGGCGCTCCATTAGCGGATATTGAGTTGTAAAAGTGGGACGGTGGAATCATGCAAGCCGTAGTCGAGCACTTCTGCTGAACCGTCCGCATCTCCGTACTCCGTCAGCGGCTATGCTTTGCTGCAGACTCTTTTCTCTGCCTGACCGCTTACCTTTCCTCTTCCAGGCCCCACTGATAAAGTTTCTCCTCAGAGTCTCCCTTTGCTCACGATCTCCATATTGTGCTTCCAGGTGCCACGTGGCGCCCCGGCGTCAACGTGCTTCAAGACCGGCGTCGCCCACGTGGAGGCCAACCAGCTGCGCGACGCGCTGGCGTGCTTCGACGAGGCGTTTGCGGCGCTTGGTCGCGAGCGCGGGGGCGGGAAGGACGTCAAGGCGCAGGCGAAAATGGCGAGCCACTATAAGCAGGCTGCGCTGCTGCTGCAGGAGATCGCGCGCCTGCAGCGCCTTTCTGACGTGGGCACCAGCCAGGTCGGCGCGCGCGAGGAGATGGCGCGGCTGTCCAGGCTGCTCTCGGCGATCCCGTTGCAGGTGAGCGCGGCCTGACGGTCTTCAGGTGATCGGGTTGTTGGAGTTTAGATCTTGGGGACTGTAGATATGAAGACTTTGATTTTTTTGAACTGAGGCGTTTCAGGTGGGTTTCAAGCCATATGTGTCGGAGACTCAGGGGATGTAGTGAATGGTCAGGGCAGCGTTCTGGTATGGCCCCCTTCTTCTTACCCGCCTTCAATCAGAAAAGGTAAGCCCCAAGCGCCGGCTATCAAGGAGTGAACCGTGAGGACCGTATCTTGTTCGACTACCCTGTCCAAGCGGCGGTCCGACGGCGCTCTTGCTGGTGGTTGCAGGCGAAGCACCGCATCAGCTGCATTCGGACGGCCATCAAGCGGAACATGGACGTCCAAAACTACGCGTTCGCCAAGCGGATGCTGGACCTGCTTGTGGCGAAAGCGCCTCCCAACAAGCAGGGCGAGTTCAAAGTCCTCATCAGCGTGTGCACTCAGGTGAGAGTAAAGAGTAAAGATGAGAGTAGAAATGGAAATTTTGCGTCAGTGGCGTTCAGGGTTCGCAATAGGCCACGCTCGATGCCATGACGCATGTGTAGGCAGTTCTAATCCTGTCCTTGTTACTTTCGTTCGTTCTTGGGGAAGCATCTTTGAGCTTTTCGTCTTGTACGTGCAGAAAGGGCTGGTGGATAGAGCTATCGACGGCCCGGAAGACATCACGAAGTTCGATGCCGCGACCCTCGGTAGACTACCAACTATTGGTCATGACACATGCGACTTCTGCGGCGCCAACTTTGGAGCTGGCAATGCCAGCTGTTCGGTTTGTGGTATTGGAAGTCTCCAGCGCTCTGATGCGGCAAGTGGAACCGTCGCGTCACCCTTTGGATAGAGACTTTGAAGTTGGCTTGAATACCTCGCCTCTGTGCTTAACGGCCAGTCTAGAACCGAGTCTATGACCAGGATTAAAGTTGGCATTGGGTGTAGTTGAGATAGCCATTCCTGATCATTTCGCACCTTCGAGCTTCGAGCATCATGTGCCGAGATTTTCGACTCAAATTAGTACACTTATGGTGATTTGAGCGAATGAGTTTGCCTCCAGTATCTTGGCATCACTTTTCGTATTATCCAGTAAGAAGTGGCGCTGGGCTTAATGGGGGCCATTTTCTGACTCTTACACGCACATGCACAATTGCTTACACAGTGGCCGCTTGCAACCTCCTAGCCAGAACGCAAGGTCTTACGCGCACATAGGACCGGACTCAGGCTTGGTTCACAATTGCATCTGCTGCAGGCACAGGCTTGCAACCAGCAATAGTCTACAAGCTACAATTATCCAAGTGCGTGCTCTATTTGCCCCTAAGTCTTGATCATGGCTAGGCCGTCACTCTTGTAGAGTCTGCACAATTAGTAGTTTTAAGCTAGTTAAACCGGCCACAAGTGATAAGTCAATGAGGCGTTTTACATGAGAGGTGGGTTGCCGAGGGTAAGTGCCGACTTACCGCGCACTGTCGCGACTAAAAGTTGTACCGCCCAGACTTACCGTGGGCTCGTCGCGATCGGCGTTTTACATGGTCCGAGGGTAAGTCGATGGTAAGTCCCGATCGAGGGCAAATCCGCACTCATTTCGGACTTACCACGACTTACCTCATCGATTTCGATGAGTTAAAGTAGGGCCTACTTTACCGTCGGTAAACTCGACTTACCACGGTAAGTCGCTACCATGTAAAAGGCAAGTCGTGGTAAGTCCGAAAATCGACTTAGGGTACCGTCACTTTGAAGTGGCAGTATTCTGTTTGGGGGGGGGGCTTGGTTCAAATTAGCCAAGCAAAGGTGGGGAGGGGGGGGGGGCTTGAGGCCTTTTGCTTGGGGCGGAGCCCCAGCCAGGTTTTCCAGGTTTCGAGTGAGAAGCATGCGTTTTCATGCACATTTACCCTTATTTTGTTCAACGTTCTTACTTTACAGCCCAAGAACGAGACCAAAAAGCACTTTTCAGCACCAAAATGGGGCTGAATGCATGTATATGATGGTGTTTTTAAACCGAACATTTGCCCGGTTGGTAGCCCACCGGACTGGGACCTTGACCTTGCCAGTGATGACATGGCCGGGATCGAGGGGGGGGGGGCTTGAGACCCTTATGCCAAAGTGCCTCCAAAATACCTAACCGGGTGCCACTACAAAGTGACGGTACCCTTACCGTCGGGACTTTAACCTCCATGTAAAACGCCTCAATATATCAAACAAATTTTGTGTTGGCCAAGCCAACTCAATGTACCTACCTATACAGCAATGAGTGCCACATGGCACCTTGCTGCAAATCAATGTCTCTTGAGTCTTGTATCAACATTCCTTTTGCCGTATGCCGCATGCATGGTGACTCAGTGGGCTGGGCCTACGTCCGGCCCATACTAATCGCCGCCGCGATGGTCGGCCCGGGACGCGAGAGGCGGGCCGCGGCCGCCGGGTCGTGCGGAGTGGACTTGATACTGTGCAATTATTACTTTATGTATTTTGTTACGGCTCCACATGACCGCAGCTCGACATAGCTCAGTTGGTAGAGCGGAGGACTGTAGTCGTCGCAGAAAATCCTTAGGTCACTGGTTCGAATCCGGTTGTCGAGACACCTTTTTGTCGTACGACACTCCTGTAGCCAGTATTGGCAGTGGTTCCTCCTTTTAGCAGTTCGTGACGCCCTACATAGATATCTACCTACTTTTCTTCTGGACAAGCATTTTGTCAACATTTAGTACTCTTATTTACTCAAAAGGAGTCGTTCCATGAAACAAGCAGGCAGGAGAAAGTCCTTGATTCTGTTGTCTTCCAATATCACAATCGACTTCGATCAATGTTACTCTGCATGCTAGGTATATGATAGGCTACGCTGGCCACAAGTTGGTGGCCTTTTAAGCTACATGCTTTGCATGGATCGCGCACATGAGGCTAGCTGGGCAGAGCTTACGAGATGACCGACCACAATTATGAACTGGTCAGCTTTTCAAAATGTGACCTAACTGAGACTCCATTGCAACCATGCATTGGACCAGCCGTTCGATCGTTCTAGCTTGGAATAATACATAGTCAAACAAGTATGCATGACGGACCCCGACCTTCTGGGCCTAAGAATCCCATCTGGTTGTTTCTCAGCTTCCTTGGTCTACCAGAAAGTTTAGCATCATGGAAAAGCTGACGTCAAAGATGGTTGACACGTCAAAGATGGTTGACGAATTAAGGGCGTGTCGTAAGAGACATGATTGCATATCAGCTACTGTAGATTTTTTCTCAACAGGAGGACAAGTAAATCTTGGGCAGGCCGGAGCAGGGGCCATGCACTACAGAAGGAACGCATCATATGCATTTTGCATAAGAAGAGTTGGAAACCGGCGCCAACAAACGTGCGGATGCAGGAGCAGATCCTGAGCTGAGCTCTCAAGCGAAACAGAAGATAAGAATTTCAACGAGCTCGCTTGATTTAAGGGAACTCTGCACCTGTCAAGTTCTCATCATCAAAACCGTGGAAGCTTTCGGTACAGGACATGTTGAGAGTTCATCCAGTTGCAACGTTCATTCCACGATCTCGTCATTGCCCCAAGTTGTCTGAATGCTAGGGTCTCCGCACTCATCTTCTTCCCTCAAGGCCAGCTCTGATTTCTGACGGTCGCCGTTCCAGCTTGACTCTCTGTCTATGTAGGTGGCCCACTTGGACTGACCTGGGGCCCGCTTTGATACTCGAAGATCAGTCTTAGACTCAGCACCGCTTGTCAACTCTGCTGCCTTAGCCCTCACACTGCCCCAGTTCGGTTCCTCAGTTTCAAGAGGCTTGGTGCCACGCTTGTAACCCTGAGCCTGGATGGGTTGCAACGCCCTTCTAGCTGTAGGAACAGAACCTTCGGCGGCTCTCTTGCCTGATTTGTCACAGTAGCTATAGCCATAATCTTGGTCAACAAGTGCAGGCTGCGATTTCCTAGCCTGTCCCTGTCCTGGTTTCTGGTATGCCACATCATCTATTCTCCTCTCTGGATGTTCTTTCTTTCGCCGCTTGCTCCCCTGGTCGGGCAGTGTTGTCACCAGCTGAGTGTCCAACGGGTCATCTTTGACAGAGACCTCCTCGCCGTCTCCCTGCACATTACGAGACTGACTGAGCAATGGGAAGATCTGAAGCACGTCTTCACTTGATTGCTTCAGTCCTTGCACAGGGCAAGCAACAGGAGCCGTATGTGAAACCCTTGGTCATCGTGCATGCAGAGATTTCACAGGGCTCTATTTGAAGGTACTTGGGTGCAAATCCTAGTCATACAATCCGCTCTCAGTCAACTCTGCAACTGCTTTACAAGCAGCAATCTTTGCTTTACTTGCCTCCGCATTTTGTATATAAGCCTCCCACTTGTGCCCTGTCCTTGGTGGCTGCGACTGCCGATGTTGAGCTTCGCGCTCCTCCAGCTCTGCAATCAGCGCCTCGTCAAAGTCGTCGTCGTCCTCTTGCGCTGCACTCCCAGCTTTAGACAGCAAGACCGCTTCCTTGGCCGCATCTGCTTCTTGCCGCCCTAGGTTCAGATCTTGGGCCAGCTTCCGTAGATCTGAAGCCTTGCCAGAAACTCCATAGACCTGAGAACAGAAGCCAAGATCCTCAGGTCCTCCAGATAAGGGGGCAGATGCATCAAGACGTCCAGCTGACAACCTCCCTTGACTTTCTCCCTTTACGTTGTGAAGGGCTAAAGCAGTTGAACGATTCACAGGAACTACAGGTCAGATACCTGAGTCATGCATTCAAAAGCCGTACTCCATTACTGTCGGCTGTTCCCAAAATGTTGCCTCCACACACATCAGCATTCATGTGCTTGACGAACTCACCTTGATGACCGACTGCTTTGCTGCACACAAACTGCAGGACCACTTGTTGCTCTTGGTCACCTGTTTCACCTGCACCATGTTGACAGGCGGTCAGGATTTGGTGCCTGCCAAGTGCACCTATCAGCGCGTCCAGCCATGTTTCGTATGGTACCTCCTCCCTCAGGTAACAGGGTGCTCGCTCCAGGGCTGATATCAGTGCCACTAAGACGATCACCTGGCTGTATGATTTGTCATTTGACTATGACCAAGCTGAGTTGCAGAGCGCGAGTGCAGAATCAAGAGTCAACATGGTCGATATCAGGATACACATTTTCATGTCATTGTAAAGGGTCAATCACCTGAAATGTGCTGCACTGGAAGCAGCGCACAACTATGTACTCCACCATCTGCGAAGAAGCTTTGAATGTGCCGCCAACGGCCCATAGAGCTTGCTGATTTGTATTCCAAAATCTTAGCCTCTACATCTTGTCACCACCCATCAGTTTGACTAGCAGGATCCTGCCCGCTCACCCTGTGCAATGTGATTTTAAGCTGCTCTCGTACTGCCTTCGCAAGCTGAATGGATGCCACTTGCTATAAGAGCACAATCCTCAATTCGGGCTATGGGCTTCAGAACTCCGCAAGCATTCAGAGATTGCTTTTTGCCTTGATGCCGTAAGTTACAGCTTAAAGATAGTCGCCTCTCAGTGCCAGCTTGTGTCAGTTATAACGGGTTGCAGGTACCTGTAAACTGTTGAGGATACTTGTCAGACTGATGCATGAAAATTGTAATTGCAGCAGAACAGTTTGCTTGCTCAAACCACGCCTGTTGACACTCTGACCGCCCTTCTCCACTTCACCTGGTACCGTATCTTCAACTGTTCAGCATTGCATCGCTCTGGCACCCAGTCTGCACGGACGGTGTCTAAGTTTGGCTCCGGTGAGTCGCGCGGCTGAAGGCGCCGCGCGTGGCGCGAAAATTGTATTCTGAGGGGTCCGAAGGAGGGGTTGGGGTTTCGGGCGTGCCGAGCTGGCACATCCGCAGCTTTCCATTGGACAAATTTGGCGCGCTTGGCTGCGAACGCTCCCGAGTGCTGAATCATCAGCACTAGCTGGTGCTCACTGCTGGCAGAGCGCACGGCTCTGGCTCCAATTAGCAGTTTCTACATGTAACAGTAAGATGCCCCTTAGCTACGAAATTTTCTTAGCGTCCTGTAGATCGCTTATAGCTGCGAATCCCAATAGGTCATTGTGGGGTCAGCGCTCGTGCGTTAGGGAAGCGGACTTCAGCTAGCTGCTGCTATGGATGCAGAGCCTTTTGTTCCCACCCCAGAAAAGATGGGGGCGGGCGGTGCTGCTTCAGATGGTCTCACAGCGTCCAAGAGGAACCTCTTCACCGTTAGTGCCTTGAAGGATGCGGGGGTGCAAAAAGTATTGAGGCAGCAGCAAGAGAACCGCTGCTCCGAAGTGGAAAATGCAGGGGCGTTGGCCGCCAATTTTGAGCAGAAGGGTTTGGGAAGGAAGCAAAAGTTGATTGACCCCCCGGTGCAGAAGGATTTAAGGGGGCGCAGATGCAGCGATGGTTCTGTGGAGTTGCAGTTGATGGGCCACAGCGAACTTCCATTTGCCAGTCCAGGGTGTGGTAGCGCAGAAAACAGGGAAGATGCCGGGAGTCTGCCAGCTGGCAAGGGGCCGTCAAAGCAACAGCATGACAGGGACAATGCAATAGATGGCACCACCCCTACAGCTCCTGCTGGGAGAGTCTCCGAGAGTATTGTCCTGCACACTCCTCTGAAAGCAAAGCGGCCAGACACTGATAACGTGTTGTTCACTCCGCCTCCAGCGCCTGTAAGTCTTCTCTGCAAATTCTGTCAAGCATCCAATCAATGTGCATAAGGAGATAAGTTGAACGGTAGCCTTGACCAATCGAGTGAGTTTATGAGCAGCCTACCATATCCCTTCTTTGCAGAATGTAGATATGACAAGATCTTGTTTTACCGATGGCTACATTTTTTTTTGCTTTTCACTATCTCATCCTACAAATCATGTATCCACATAACAACAAGTGGTTGAATTAAGTGCAATCGTTTTCCAGGGGTTCAGACGGCCAAGTATTACCTCAAGTCCCGTCACTCCGCTTCCTGACGCCGTCCATGATGCACCTGGTCGCCAGTGAGCATCCTTTCCTGATCACAAACCGACCCATCGTACCTTTCTTTCCATCATTCCGCACAAAGGAATGAAATGTCTGGGTGAAGTTTCTAATCTAGCCAGTTCCTCTGCATGTGATGTGAGTGAGCTTATGATCAGCCATGCTGATCTTGGGCTGAATTGAAGCCCCGGACCCACTTCGAGGTGGTTCTAACAATTATTTGTCGTCAAAATGGTTGTTCTCCTTACCCCATGGCTGTAGACAGAACAAGGATGTAGACAGAACAGTGGTGTAGTGGTGTCTTCTGATGTGGTATACCCAGAACTGTAGATCTGGAACCGACGCGAAAGCAAACGAAAACGTGAATTCCAAAATCTATTTGGAAGGTTTGCTAGACATTGCCGCTGTGCTTCAAGAAGTTGTGTTTTGGGTCCAAGGAGATGGATGCACATCCTCATGAATGCAGGATCCCAAAGAAGCCATCAGCTAGATTGAAGCAGCTTAGCATGCAGCTGAAGGAAGCGGGTCAGGATACCCAAGGTAATGTGCATTCCCCTCTGCTCCATGCTGCCAAAAGGCTTCAGGCTTACCTCTGAGATCATTCGACGTTCATGGCAGTCCGCATTTAAATGGTTGGCATCTTGGTCAATTGGCGGCATCAGAAATGAGCTTGCTGAACTCCCACTTGGCCAGTAAGCCGCAGGTCGAAACTGCGCGTAATCTGCATCATGGTACTTCATTATTCACAGTATGTTGCAATGATTTTGCCGGACCCCACCTCACAGATACTTCGGATGGAGCGACTTCGTCGAGTGTGGAGGCGACACCGGAAGCTTCGGCAGCGTCATCCGCTTGTGACACGCCTGCACCTCAGTGAGTCACTTCACTTCGTTGCCCTCCCAGATTTGACTTGCATTGTACATTCGACAATCGGCTTGTTAGGATCTATTGGGAATCATTGCCATGAAAACTAGCGCCCGTTTTTTTCGCTCAGCTTCGGCACCCAGACTTACATGGTTGAGTAGGTGCAAACACTTAATGACAGCTTCGCAAAACTGAAGTTGGTGCTGAGTCTTGTGCACGTGCTCTGCACATGTCGGTGACACCGCCCGTCTACTGTGCAGCCCATATGTCCTGCTAGCGAGCGGGCTCCCTGCGGAGGACCTGATGGCTGACCCAAAGTATCGGGGCATGGCCGCTCTGGGTTGCCAGCACCAGTACACGGATGCGGACCGCGCATCGTTCTTACGAAGGCGAGGGTTTGTTGCAAGAGATCTAAACTCAGCTTTTGCAGCATAATCTAACAGCCAGCAATCAGAATGTCACAAAGATGTCAGCTGCACGGGTGTCTCCTACTCGATTGTACAGTGTGTTTGCAAAGTGGTCTTCTTGGGCATTGCTGTCAAGGAATTGAACGTATGCCAGTTCGGATGGCCGGGAGCTCCATGCCCAACTTCTGAGATTGTGACGCAAAGTCGCGTCATGGGCGTGACTAGCAGCCCCAATATGGTTGCCAGTGTGCCAGTGGTTCGCCATTGCATGAATGTGTAGGTCCCATTTTGTAAGCTGTAGTGTGACTTGCATGTCCATGGTCGCGCTATGTAGCTCACTCTCCACAACAAGATGGACACACAAATCCGTGATGTAACATGCAAGCAAGTAAAACAAGGGGTATGCATCCATTCCTGAGCCTGGCGGTACAAGGGATTCGGTCGATCAGCGCCACCTGTTGCCTGGCTTAAAACGCGCATGTGCGAAGCATGAGCCACGGCGCACTATTAATGTGCTCGAACGATGATATGCAATCCTGCTTATCTATAAGCGGCTGCAGAAGCGAGCCAGTGTCGAACGGAAGGTCCCGATGCAACCTTAGAAGGACACCGAGGACCTAGCTGCGGCACAGCTTGCCTGCCTGGACATGCTGCAGATTGAACATTGGGTCACGTTAAGTAACATAGGAGCGTACTGAAAGTAGCATGCAGTCCGATCAGTGTGCTGACGCCCGGCCGCTTGTGATTCTGATAACTTCCCGACAGCGCGCTTACAAGCAATATACGTCCCATCAATCTCTCAGTGATTCCAAAGGTCCAGCTTTTCAAGCTGCTGTTGGCCTCAACATCCGTCATCACGCTTGGATGCTCCTTTCGTCTTCTCGCTCGTGCCCAGATGCTTTAACAATCGCACTGAGGAGCGAGTTTTGTTCCGCTTGCAATACGGCGGGGCTGCCCTCTTCCGCCAACTGGCCCTTGTCCATGATGAGGATCCTGTCCGCCCCCAAAATGGAGCTGATCCGGTGGGCGATCGTGATCACGGTCATGTGTGCGCACTCTGTTTGTATGGTCGCCTGGAGACAGCAGATACTTGGGCCTTCAGAAAGAGGTTGCATTCGCCCAGAGATATACAATGCTTGATTACATATACAAACAAACGGGCAATTCAACAGGCGGACGAACCGTCAGAAACGCAGAGTCGATGCTAATGTGGACGGGAAACAGTGCCGTAAATCAGGTGGATACGGAAACGTACGGATGCGGACCGTCCGACGACTTCTGGAAACCGTGTGAGTCAAGTTAGGCACAGGTTAGAACTAAGACACCAGCATATCATACGGAACAAATAAGTATGCTGGTCAGCAGTCAATGGAAGGGCGTCTGGTTCCTAAATGGCAAGAACCCTCGATTCATCTGGGTCAAAGGATTGTACATTACGGGCAGAAAAGGCTCTGGCAATCGGCTAGTCGAACGCTGCAGCACGCGTAAGCTCTCTAGGCGCGACCTTCTACCACCGCTCAATCTGCTCACTTTCGCATCCCACACTCACCCGGCTTTGGTAACATCTCCAGAAAACGCTTCGCGACCTGGGCCCCGAATGTCCGAAGCACTACCGACCTATGTTGATGTGCAATCGCTAACTTACTTAGATCATCATAGATATCAAAGTGTTCAGAAGTGCGATCCAGGAACTAGAGCGGCGCCGTTACCTCGATCAGCGCACTGGTTGCCGGGTCCACGTTGGCGGTGCACTCGTCCAGACAAAGAATCACCGACCGCCGGAGCAGGGCACGTGCGAGGCACAGCAGCTGACGCTGGCCCAACGATAGCGTGGCACCCCCCTCCGCCACCCGCGCGTCCAGACCCCCCAGCTGCGACACGGCCGCTGCCACGTGGCAGCTGCGGAGGACGTCCCAGAGGCGCGGGTCGGAACTGAGCCCGAAGGGGTCAAGATTCTCTCTGCAAGGAAAGAGAAGAGGCATCTGTGTAACACCTCGGCGCCGCATTGTTCAGCTTTGCGAACGGTTTCTGCACAGCGGGATGTACTGAGAGTCTGAAGACGACAAGCTCAGCTAATGTTTGAGCAATCCGGTTCCTTCTTCACGGCTACTACTATGTGAGATCGTCCCAGGACGGCCAGAAGTCCCCAGCAATCTCGAAGCTGCTCCTCCGCGTACGCCCTAGCAAAAGCTTCCCACCGCGGGGAAATGGCAAAAATTAGATGGAAACTGCTTCCTGCAATCCAAAGGCCATTCGCACAGCTGCAAAGTATAACCTGAACGTAGTCTCGAACTGCTTCACAATCCTGCTGACGTCAAAGCAATATAAAGCCCCGCGTCGCCCGCCCACCTGACAGTCCCCTCGAAGAGGAAGGGGCTCTGCGGGATGACAGAGAGGCGTGCGCGCAGGTCCGCGAGCCGCAGCCCCGCCACGTCGACACCGTCCACGCAGATGTGACCCCCCGACAGCTCCGCCAGCCGGAAGAGGGCGACCAAAATGCTGGACTTACCAGCCCCGGTTCGCCCAGCAATGCCCACCTGCGCACGGTTGTCCAATCATGAGGGACTGCCAGCGAGTATAAGACTCGACTCTATAATAAGACCAATTTATAAGGAACGCGCGAAGGACGGATAGGGTTGGTCTAGTGATTAGGTGAGTTTGGGCGCGGAGCGGGTGATTGTTTGAGTTAAAGTTTTTAGTTTATCCGAGCCCGGTAGAATGACCTTATTGTTTATGCGGCTAAGTTTTCTGAAATACAGACTCATCGAGCGAGTTGTACATCAAGGAAGCGACATTTGAAAATCGGTGACAAACTCCCTGAGCGAGTAGTCTGAGCGACGTAATGAAGAAGCGTTGAAGGAAAGAATGCATCCTATTCTGCATTAGGATACACCGATTTGCCGCATTAGCGCGGCATGCTCGAGGAAGTCAACAGAGTGAAACATTGGCCTTTCACCAATCATGTCAATCTTCGGCGGAACTCAAGAGCATTCGAGTGGTCAGGATACAACCGGCAGCAAGCTTCCAAAGGTGACGTTGAGAAAGTTTGAAAACCGGGCATAGGGACGCAGGGGTTCGGCATGTGCGAGCATAGATCGAGCATAAATCCAGCAGTCTTACCTTCTCTCCCCCTCGTATGGAGAACGACAGGTTCCGGAGGGCGGGAGGAAGGCCTTTCCGGTAGACCAACGTTACGTCATCAAAATCCACGTGGCCGGAATTAGGCCACTTGGGCGGGGGCGGGGCGGTCGGGATTTTACTCTCAGGCTCCAAGTCGAGGTACTGCACGGACCGGATTTACATATGAGAGCGTGCGTCGTCGAACTCACGACTCTAGGCTTTTGAGGATGACAGGAAAGCCGAGAATTAATGCACCTCCGCGCAAGAGGTAACGCCGAGTGACTGCTGCAGGATCTTTCACACAAAAGCGGTCGAGAACTGTCTAAACATTGAACTCTCCAGTGGACTCTGTTCCCTCTGCAAAAGCCAAAACCCCGACTTTTTGGAAGCGCCTAACATTCCCCCCCAGCACAATCTGGTGTCAGTGCAAACCACCTCAAACCTATGTCGTAACACCATTATCTTACAAAGTCCTCATCAAACATCAGCTTTTTCACCTGCTGCACGCGCTCCACGGCGACCATCTCCTTCTCCGTCTCGGTGAAGGTCGCCAGCAGCCCGTTCAGTAGCTCCACGATCGGCAGCGCGTACGACAGGCCCAGCCCCACCAGGCCCGCGCTCCCCGCTGACGTCAGCAACATGCCCCGCGCCCCCCGCAGCGGCCTCGCGAAGACCGCGGCAAAGTGGGAGAGCAAGTCGCCCCAACCGAGACGCGGATTGCCCGGGTGGTTATCATACGCGTTGCCCACTTCAATCCAATATGGACGAATATACTGGTTCGCTGCCCGCTTTGCGAGCGCCCAAAGATAATCAAAAAGCGCCTCAAAGGGTTTTGGATGTTGGGAGAGCTGCTGCGTAAATCCGGGGGCTGTGGCGAGGTGTTTTTGCACGACGGCGGCCAGGGCAATGAACGTGATGACGACAGTGGCCATCATCTGGAGGCGCATGCCGAGCCACTTGGAGGCCGCCTCCTCGGCATATGCCGCGCGCACGTTGGCCGCCACGCGCGCTTCGTTCTCCGCTGCGAAGCGGGCCTGCAAAGCAGAAGCGAAGACGTGTGATTGCGCTGCCTTGTATTGAAGGGCGTTTCTCGGGGAGCCCACTGAGAATTGCGGTTTGAAACAGCGGGGTTTGCCGACTATTGTCACGACCTCTAACACTAGCAGATTATGACAGTACCGCGAAATTCAAACCTTGGAACTCGTCACCTTCCGGGCGGTAATGTCGCTTCTCGCAAGCGGCTGCTGACAAAATGAGCCGGCAGGTTGCCAACTTGAAGCAGCATTGCAACCAAACGCCAAGATAACCGAGTCTGGATAGAGACATTTCCTTTTAGCGCCTGCACTTCTTGATCGCTTGTTGAAAGTTACCTGGGCACGGAACGCTCGTATGGTGGGTGCCCCCTCAAGCGCCTCGGTGAAGCCGGCATAGATGGGCGATCGAGAGAGGCTGTCTAGCCGCCGCACCTCGCGCGAAGTCGACCGGTAATACCGCTGCAGTTACGAAGCGTAGGTATGCTCAGATTGGCAGACTTCTCATTTTCAGCTCTTCCGCTTCTGCGTACAACCGCATACCTGTTGAAAACAGACTTGCGTTCTCATTGTCTGAGCAACTCCAGGTTTCACCAAAGAGCGGACTCCTCTTTCCTGCTGACACTGCAGTCCGGTAAAAGGAATGCGTACCTGAGTGAGCACGACTCAGCAAACAATGCTTTGCTGCCCAGAGCCGCCCGTAACATGACTTCGCACCTGGAGACTGCGGTAGATGAAGGCTAGCGGGACCAGGAGCAGAACGAAGGCGGGCTGCGCGTAACAGAGGACGACCAGGATCCCCGCCAGCCGGAAGGCGCTCGCGAGGAAGATGTTCAGCATGAATGGCAGAGAGTCGTCTACCGTGTACTGATCCGACGAAAACCTGAGCGCCCACAAAGAAATGAAGTCAGAAATGTCCTGAGGCCAGGACGAAGATCCCCCTTGACACCTGCGAAAAACCTTTGAACAGCAGGCACAGTAATCAGAGCACTGCTTCCGCAACTAAGACAAAGATGTATTGACTAAGTTAGGACAGCTTAGGATTCCAGTGTGACCAGTTCTACTCAAATCTGAGTGCAGCGTATCGTCGTTGATTAAAAGTAGACGTTTGTCAACGAGGTCGACTGTTTGAATGTATAATGACTGTCGCTCGATAGACTGTGGCTCGAACAGTCGTGAGGCAGCCAGAATACTGTTTGCTAGGCTCACCTGTTGAGAATCCGCCCGACGGGTGTTCGGTCAAAGAAGGCAACCGGCGCCGCAACGACACGTGTCAGCAGCTCCCGGTGTAGTTTGACCGCGGCCTCCAGGCCGCTGTAGGCGAAGGTGAAGGCGCGGGCGAGCGTGAACACGGAATTGGCGGCGGCAAAGATGGCGAGAACCGTCTGCACGGAGCAGGGTGAGGAAGCTATCATCTTGCTTTAATTCTCAAATCAGCCTGCAACCTTGCGCGGGATAACCACGGTAAGTTTGAAAGGAATCCTTATGGATCAAGTGGTGTAGGAAGAAATGACGACACAGTGTGCAAATGTTGAGGCAAGGTAATCATCAGCACGTTCTTTGGAACCACGACAACTTTTCGCCAAAGCGCTCCCGAGGCAGCTTACGAGGTAGAAGGAGACGTCCTGCGGATGCGCGTCCGTTGCTGTTGTATCGACCCAGTAGGACAGCCAGGCGTCGCTCCCGTTGCGCGTGGCTTGCATCAGCAACAGGCTCAGCAACACGAGTGCCACCATCCAGAGTCCCACCGCCCGGCCGTAAGCCCTGTCCCCGCCAACAGAACGCGACTCTTCAGTAAATTCAGAAGCCTAAGCAACGGGTGCTCTCTGCACCGTACCAATGAGTATTTAAAGCGCAAGCAACGCGGACAATAGCTGCTATAAGAGCAGTATGAAACGATCATGATTTTCTGCTTTATTTCAACTGTCGGCGCATGACGAACGAGTTTAGGAGGTTCTGCTCGACGGTTGTGTAAGCTCTCTGCAAAGGCACTATATAGAAGGAGTGCGTTATCAGGCAGTCTTACAGGCGCCCTTCGTCTACCAAGGAAGATAATTGCATTCCCTCGGTTTTGGAAGCTGTCAAGTTGTTCTTGTCGAGCACAGCACATGTATAACAGTGACTCACCGGTAGATTGCCCACCGCACGCTGCCCACTTCCCGGGCCTCCTGCTCCACCAGCGGAACAGCGCCGGAATCCGCTCGGCCACTGGCGCTGGCCCCTTCCTGCGAAGCGCGCCTGGCCGACAGAATGTCGTTATCCAACTCTCCTTCTATTGCTTCTGGTGCGCCCCTCTTGACCCCTTCCGATAAGGAACGGCTGACGACTTGCGGATCTGCGGTGGTTCCCGGCGAGAGGGAAGAAGCCGAGGTGTGGTCGGAAGAGGACAACCGGCCTCTGCTGCTTGACGGGCGGTCATCTTTCGGAAAATGAATTTGAGGTGGTGTCTCTACCTGCCTCTCTTCTCGCTTAAGTGTGGGCTCTAAAGCCCGCCTCACTGGCTCCGACCGAGCCCGTTCTAACGGCCCCCGGCAGGCGCTCCTTCCGTGGGGCGACGGTCCGGCGTTTCCGTCGGCCGCAAAACCCTCACTGCTGTCGTCATCCATCGTAAGCGCCCCATTCGACGGGGCTGCTTCTAAACAGGTCGAGGGACCGGTATCTGACTCTCCGTCCGTCACGAGATCCGAAGAAGGGCGCAGGCCTGGCTGGGCAGCCCACTCTTGCGGTCGCCCCACGAAGGACACCCGGCCGCCGTCGAGAACGACAACCAGGTCTGCTACTGACAAGGCCTGCCGGGGAAACAGTTGTTGAGAAGCACGTTGGAATTGAAAACCCTGCAGCCCTAAATGATTGAAACGCCAAAGTCTGAAACGCGTCGGACCAGAGTACAAATGCACCAAATGCGTGTGAGGGGCAAACATACGAAAAGGATCATATCGACGAGTGCAGCAGGACTGCTTGCGCTTGTTCTTGAAATGCATTGCCGTTGCTTGAGAAGGGAAAATCCGGTACTCACATGCTACGTTTACATACACTGTCAATCGAGCGACAGTGCAATCAAGCCGACAAACCGTTGTCTTTCAAACGTCCGCATATGCGAGTCCGCTCCATCAATCATCGTGCACCCCACTCGCTGGCCAATCGCTTGCATGAAGGATAAAAAGCAACCCCGTCAGCTGGCGCGTGGCTCACCTTCTTGTGGTGCGTGCTCAGGATGCGCGTCCGCCCGTGCATGAGCGGGCCGCAGATGGCGTGCCGCAGCAGCCAGTCTGCCACGTGGGCGTCCACGGCGCTCAGCGGATCGTCCAGGAGAACGATGGCAGACTCCTGGGAGAGGCGATTGGAAAAGGTTGAGGGTCAGGATGGGGTCAGCGTCATTGGTTAGGGAGAGACCTTGATTTCGTCAATTGTCATATCTCTCGTGGAAGGCAGGGCAAAGGTAGTAGGAGAAAGGATTCCGGTCAACTTGAAACGAGGTTGGAGCGCACACGACCGCAAGACACACGCGTGGACTACGTTTGCTTGAGTCGAGATTCGTTCGACGCCAAAATGCCGCTAAACAAAACAGCTTCTGGTAAGAGCGTGTGCAGATCAATCCATTACTCGAATCAAGATGCACCAACGTGCACTGTTCGGAAGCAGACCTAAATACCGAGGGGATTAGTACCGTCGCCAAGTGAGCTGTTTCAATAACGTTCTCGAACGTTATTGCTTCTCGACGCAATAACTGCACGGCCCTCACCGCATAGACTGCCCGCGCCAGCGCCAGCCGTGCACGCTGGCCGCCTGAGAGGTTGCCGCCCTTTTCGGCGATTTCGGACAGGTCCCCCCCGGCCATGTCCGAAACGTCCGAATCCAGGGCGCAAGCTCGCAACACCTTGGCGTACCTGCAAAATTGTTAGGGATTGCGTACCTTGAATGATGGACACTGAACGGCTTCCAGAGATCCTTTGTGGATCAGCCTTCTTTGCGTCTTCTTGGGGTCTCCCGCCTTAAGAGAGAGGGGAGACACAGACTCGTACCCGCCCCTTGAGGATCCAGAAACAACGATAACCTGTCGAAGGCGTCTGCGGCAGCAATGAGTCCGTTCCAGCAACACGGGACGAGAGGCGTGCAAAAACGTGAAGGCTGCAACAATATACAGAACAGAAAGCACATCCGCAGCGCTCACCTTTCGGGCAGAAAGTCGTCCCCGAAGAGCACGTTGCTGCGTACGGTGCCGGAGTGGACCCACGGCACCTGGCTGACGTAAGCCACGTCGCCCTTTGACGTCACGGCGCCCTCTGTGCACCCCGCCTCCCCCAGCACGCACGACAGCAGCGAAGACTTGCCGGAGCCGACCTGCGCTGACGTCACAATGATGCGAGGATTAGGGAACGAGGACGAAACCAGGTTCGACTAATATAGTCCCGAGAGAAAGCATTGGAACCGGCGCGGAACTCCGTTCTGCGGTACGCACCAGACAGACTGATCGAGGACCCACATGTAGCAAGCCCCTGGGCCCAACAAATCTGGCTTAGGGGCGGTCGAAAAAGCACGGGATACCGGACCTAAGCGAATTGAGGAACCACATCCTGTCAACTTTCACGAAAGAAAAGTTCTAAGCGAATGTAAAGCGTACGAAGGGGGCCGTTCTCACCTGTCCCAGAATCACCACCAGCGCCCCTTTGGGCACCGCCAGCCGCACGTCCCTCAGCACCAGGGGATGTGAATCGGCACCCCTGGGCGCCCAGGAGCAGTTCACCCCTTTCAGAAAAAGCGCCGCGTCTTCTGGCTTCAGCGCCCCCGGCACGATCGGTGTGAATGGCCACCGGGGGCTCCTCGGCAGGGACGCCGAGCGGTCCAGGCTGCGCCGGGAGGTGAGAGCGGCGCTCCGAGGATCGTCGCTCCAGTCGGGGAAGAGCTCCGGGCACGAGAGGAATCGCTTCAAGCGGCGGAGCGAGACGCAGGCCTGCAGAGAAGGAGCAGAACCCGTGTCTCGAGGACTTCTAAAAAGGGTGATGAAGGAGTTGGAAAGATAGGTTCTGCTTTTACGGCAGACATGGGCGATCCCAGCATGGCTCCTAGAGCTCTCTCGAAATTGAGCTTGAGCCCCCAACTGGAGATTCACAAGGTGGCGGGGAAGCTGGAAAGAGAGTATCTGGTCCTTCCACAGGGGAACCCGCCCTTGTGAGCTACTTGCACAGACGCTGAGCCTGCCTAAGAGGGTTCGTAGAAACTTGAAACTGGATGTTCGTTGAGCGTGAGAAAGTTCCGGATCGACCCAGGGTAGCGACGCGGCGAGGCGCTTCAAAGACGGAAAAGCGGGCGCAAAGAGAGATATGAAAGTTAAGCGAGCGGTGTAATGAGGAGCAAAACGTACCTCCACAATTCCGTTGACGACCCAGGGGAAGGCGTTCAGCGGAGCGATCAGGACGTTGAACAGCGCCAGGCTTGTGAAGACCTGCGAGGGGCTAGGGGGACGGTCAACGATCTACGTCGTAACACACAGTCATGCGCTGGAGATTCTACTGCAAAGGAATGAGCAAGGAACAAAGAGCAGGCGGCAGTCAAATCGAATATTGCGCAGAGTGTGGTTCTTTTGATTCTTACACCAACGCGCCAAAATCGAAATGAACTCTGAATATTGCTGGTGACGATAAGTACCTTCCAAGCCGGTTGCGGAACCAGAATGGCGGGATTAAGAAAGTATCCTGCAGTAAGCCCAGAATTTCAACTCACGGTTGCTGCGTCCAGCTGGTGACCCAGGAGCGCGTAGAGGCCGAAGGTGAGGAAGCTGAACAACATGGGGGTGGACGCCCAAAAGTACACGCAGAACGCGTCCAAGTACTTGCGGACCTGCAGACGTATGCTTACATCATTTGAGAGACCCGCTACCTCAGAATATCTAGACAACAAGTCTGTCGTTTCCTGACCCCGTAGAGCTCAGAACAACGACCTCGCACCATTCCAGTCTACGAGACCCTTGGCGTGCAGTGGAATGGCTTGCGGCAACGCTGCTTGTCTTCGAAGCCGGCTGCGCATCCAATGGCAACCCCAGTTGCCGATCTCTGGCGACCACCTGCTCGAGCGCAGCAGGCAAACGGTCGCCGCAACTTACTGCCAGGCTCTTGACCTCCCGCATGCGCGCCTCCGCCACACGCGCCTCAAACAGGCCCTCCCACGCATACATCTTGAGGGTACGGATCGAGGCCAACACCTCGCCAACGCGACGAACCCTGCACGGGGCCTGCTCGTGAATGACGGAAGGGCGAACGCCGCGCCGGTGTCGCACCAGAGTGTTCGAAGATTGAAAACGTTGGGGCAGCGCAGTTCGGCGCCCTCAAACAAATATATCGGGCCCGGTACTTTCGACACGAGAGGCGCTTTCGTGGACTGCGATGCGGGATCTCTGGACCGTTTGTTTCAGTTCATTTCCGAGAAGGAGAGGGCCTCAACTAGAAACAGTCCGCAAGAAAAATTGTAAAGCGAGGAGCCTTGAACGGGCGGCATCCGGGCTTGGCCGTACAAACTCTAGTGCTATTGAATCCTGATCAATGCGCCATTGCGAGAGCGGTTGCGTTGCTCCTGTTCTCGCGATACGCTTACCTGTCGTCCTTGTCCTTCATCATCTGCTCACTGGCGGCCCCGATCTTGTCAGCAAGCCACTTGTTGACTGCACGCAACGACAGGAATAGCTTGGATGCGACTCCTCAACCGAGGGCTTTCGAACCATTTTAGCATTGGATCTGGGCGTTCCCTCGGACAATGACCTATACTAAACAGCGCATGGCCACATTTCCTAGTCTCGCTGCTTAAGAAGTCCCACCGGATCCTCACCCGGCAGAACAAATTACCAGACGGTAGCAATGGGCTGTTAGGTTGAACGAGTTGCACAATTTGGGGGCAGCAGACTCACTGGGGATGAGCAGGATGACGACGGCCAGCCCCGCAAGGAAGGCGAACTTGACTTGCGTGTACAGCAGAAACAGGGCCACCCCAATCTGGAGCGGGAGACTGCGGCAAAATGAATTCGGTTGATGACCCCCGATGCATCGCTAGTACATCGAGAAGACTAAATTCTGACGGCTTGGAGCGACATCCGGTGCAAGCTTGGCAAATCACGGGTGGATGGGGGAGTTGAGGCAGGCTCTTTCGTAGGCTTCTGAAGAACGGGAAAAGTGACAGGGTTCGTCAACGACAAGAACCCTGTCAATCCAAGAACAACACCCGTGCTGCGATTCTTTCAAGCACGTGTATCACGGATGCGGGGACAGGCATGGATGACACGTATCCTGGTTCTTAAGCGCCTAAGCGGAATACAACGGCTCCTATGCCGTCTGCTGGGAATCCAAGAAATAAGGGAACCATGAACCAGAGCGGCAGTGCGGTGTATCACCTCCAGAGTTCATGAACGCTGTTGCACAGATTGACGACCCGGTCCGCGTCCACCGACATCAGCGTCTGCACCTCGCCGCTCGAGAAGCAGTTGCGCTCCGCCAGGCTGACGCACAGAGCCTGCATTGGCGAACCAAGAGAAAGGGGAGTGGGAAGATTCGGAGACGAAGGAATGACGGGGCTTAAAGGAAGGTTTCGCTTCATTGGAAGCAAAAGCACCGGGTGAAGACGGGAGCCAAGCAAAGAGATGATGCGCAAGGTTTCCGACTCGTTCGGAGATGACTGGTGGACAGATATACTAACACGAAGCCTAGTCGTACTGAATGAAGACCATCATGAGGAAGTCAACCGACTCAGGACTTTAGCGTCCAGTCTTCTTTAGATCTCCCCGGGAAACTTCACAGCCCCAGGCCAGATGCAGTTGCTCTCGAAGGAACCCAGATGTCTTGGCTGGGGTGCTTCCAAAACCTACCTTTCTGTAGACGACTGTGGTCATGCTGGCCCGGACCCGCATGGCCAATTTGGACAGCTGGAAGCCATAATGCTGCCCCAGCAGCGCTCTACAAAAAGCAGCCAGACCTGTGAGAATTGGAGGCAACCTGGTGACACACAAAGTCTAGGTGGCCTCTCTTTACGAATTGTCTGCCAGAAAGCTGGTCAATGTGGTGAACAGTGTAAGTATCACGTGAAACTTGCAGGGTGTCACACAGCTGTACATGACTGTTGTGTCGGATCCGAGGACGTTTCCAAATGGCACGGGTTGTCAGGATGCCTCAAACACTGCCCAACTCAGATCAAGGGAGCTTGGACTCTCCACTGAGGCTGATGGGAATCAAGCTGTTGGAAGCACCCATGATTCTTTCAAATTCTCTCAGCCTGGGGCTCAGCTGCCCCTCGCTTTCAAAAGTGCCGACCATCCCACTTTGTAGCGAAGGAGAGTCAGCTGTACTATTTTGGCACTGGCCCTGACAACAGAGAATGTTTGTCTCTGTATTTGAGAGTTTCACCTTGCAATGGACGAGAAACCAAGAGCAGCGGCAATCCAGTATCCTTCTGCCACCGAAGTCCTCTCGGGCGCACTGTCCAGGAAGGTCATGAGCGCGTGGAGAAGCAAGGGCCCCGCAAAGTTGAGGCCGTCCGCGAAGAGCTGTACCCAGATCCAATAAGGAGCAGAGGCAATCAAGAGGGGGGTATGAGGATAAGTGCCAAGTGCACCCTAGTTTTGACGGGAGTCTATGCACCAATGGGGATTTTCGGGCCCTCCAAACATGTCCACAAACAGGACCCTGCGAGCCCACATGTAGAAAGGCTGGTGGCCTGAGAGAAGTTTGACGCCTCTGGTCACATCTCCTTGGAACAACGTCAGCCAGTGTTCGTTTGTGAAGATGATGAGGTTCCACATAAGCTCCAGATTCATGAGACAGTGGTGCGTCATGGCGCTCACTTTCAGAGACCCCAGCGCGAACAGCTGCCACCCATACGTGTGCATGAGTGCCCGCAGCAGCGACGCTTGCTGCTGCTTTTCCCGCCGCTCCTGCGCCCAAGCGGACCACAAGCGTTGACAGCACACCCGGGGCTCAAGCGACTCTTCTAGGGGGAAGAGGTCTTCTGGCTCCAGCTGTCGGCTGGCGCCCAATGCCATGAGCCCATCTACCCAGCGGAATGTGAGCGCACTCCATATGGCCCTAAACGAGGGGAGTTTCCAGGACATTGCACTTTCTTCGGTCCATTGGCGCCCAGCAGTGGCGCTCGGGTCCGGGGTGCCGGATGGGGGGAGGAAGGGCTGCAAGAGTTGGCCCCCTCTTACAGAAGATTCCATCGCCGTGCGCTTGACTTTCCTCGGAGAAAGTAAAGGTGTGGAGACAGTGAGCTGAGTCAGGTCAGCGGCATTCTAGCCTGGGCTGGTACGTCAATAAGACAAGCTTGAAGGTCCCACAAACGCCACTTGTTCGCAAACGGCCATGATAGGCTGGCTGCAATACGAAACCTCATGGCACCACCATTTATTGATACTCACAGGACGGCCGCTCAAAGAGACTTAAAAATGCCGCCTGGATTCCAGTTGTGAACAACTTTTGACGCAATTTTTAGTACCTGAGGTTGCATGCCATCGCAAGCTCAAGGTTTTCAACTTTAGCTTTTGCGCCGCGCGGGCGGCTTTTCGGGATGCGAAGGACCTTGCTGAGGAGAAGGTTTGGGGTTTACCGCTTCAAACCGACTCGCAGACTTTGGCAAACCCATCGTGGCCGTGCGATTAACACAATGGACGTCGATGTTCTTGCAGTTCAATTTTTACCTGCTTCCACTGTTCCAGTGTCGCCGTTTTCAACAGGTACCTTCCGTGGAGAATTCTGTGACCTAGAGTACGGTATTCAGTACCTCGGTATGATGTACCTACCTATGTGCACGGTTGCGACATGCCTAACTAGGTCAGAACCACGAGTACGTTGCTCCATTTCTCCTACCCTAGCTGCTAAAATGTGAAAACGCAGGTAACTTTAGGACTACCTACTGTACGGTTGTCACATTGGCGCAGATCTCAACAGCTCCCCCTCTTTCCACCAGAGTGCCAACCGTTGGAACCGACAATGTCGTCTTTGCTGGTGCCTCTGTGTAACGTAGGACCAGCCCCACAGACAAGCTGGCCGAGTGCATCCGCATTGCGCTGTTTGATACTGGAAAATCAAGGCATCCCCTTGCAAGCAACAAGACCTTCCCAAAGTGCAGAACGCTCGATTCAGATGAACATTGAACGTCCGAGGTCTCCGACTTGAAAGACCACAGATTGAGCGGGCACTCGTTCCTGATCGAGCTGACGGGTTTGACTCATTTCCAACTTCCGAGCTATTTTATTTTGTAAACGCCCGCACTCAGCTCGCAGCAGCGAACCATCCTAAGTGACATCTGGACTACAAACACCTGAGGAAGAGCTGAGACGGTGTCACAGGCAGGTGGTAGTGACACGGGCCAGCCAACATGGGGGCGCAGCTCGTGAGGTGAGCTCACTGCTCTCAAAAGGCAGCTCATCGAAGTGGTGCTCGAAGTGTGAAGCAATCTCAGATGGTATTGTCCTCAATAAGTTTTCCCTTCACTTGTAAGTGGGACCTTGTCACTGTTGGTGAATGCTTATGCAAGCCTTTACAAGTGCAACCAATCCCCCTCAGGTCTATCTTGAACTTGGTTGATGGAGTCGCCATATCATTCCCTCAGTGAGAGGATTCCACTCAGCAGTTGCAAAATATCTTCAGCTCCTTAAACCTTCGCTTCACCTGCTGCCAATCACCTGCTGCTTACTGATATTTGAGCAGTTGTAGTCTGAAAAGCTTGCCCTGTGCAAATTTCTCGCCTTTTCACACCACCATCAATCAAAGCGCTTTCTATTTTCTCCTGTCTGAGCCCGGCTGTGAGCTTTCATCACTATGTAGTGTTCCACAATTGGTTGGATTGATTGCCACAGCTGCCATAGAGCTGTCCTTACCAGCTTGCATCAGAAGCTCTGAAACCCACTTTCACGACCAAAACTTGCACCTTCTATACTAAATAAAAGTGGGGGTGTGCGACACTGTGCGACCCCTCTGATTGATTTCTTCAGGTGTTTACAGCCAACCCAACCCAATAACTCAACTTCTTTTTGCTCCTAACAGGCCCCGTCGTGGCAGCCCCCGCGCCCGCACCCGCAGCAGCCTGCCACTTGGCACCTTCCTGGCGTTTGTGCTCCTGTCAATCATGCTGTACAGCGTGGCTCTGCCGGTGAACGACTCGGGGCCTCCCTCGCTGCTGCACCGCCGGATTGCAGACAAGGTCCAGTCTGCTTTTGCGAGTCTGAGCGGAGGAACGGAAAAGATATCCAGGGAGCTGCTGGGGACTGCAGAGGGGGAAGAAATTGCCGAGCAAGGGGGGGAAGAGAACGCCTTTGATGAAGAGGTGCTGCAAATAGACGGTGAGGAAAGGGCGAGTGCGCAAGTGACCATAAAAGATGAGGAAGAGAAGAACGTGTCGGCGATTGCGGGGCCCCGGAACACGAGCCACGATACCCGTTTGGTCATCAACCAAAACGTCCCCCAGTCGGTCCAGGAGGTGGCAGGACAGCAGGCGATGCACACCCCCACTTTCGAGGAAGAGGGCGAAACACAGCGCAAGCCTTTGGCGGAGGACTCGACCGCCGAAGCGGATTGCTCGAAGCAGTCTGTGACTGAAGAGGAGCCCGACTATATGGCCAACATAACCAACTACGACATGTTGTGGAAACAGGGGATGTGGTGGGTGCCGGAGCACCCCCGCCCGACGCTGACTATCGGCGTGCTGGTGTATAAGGAGAAGGAGAGCTTGCAGGCCGCGTTTGAGACGTGGCGCAAGGCGGGGCTGCTGGAATATGCAGACGAGGTCGTGGTGTATTACCAGGTGAGACGGCCGAAGTGGTTCTGAATGTAGAAATTTACATTCAGAACAATGAGTCTTGCTTGTGGAAGATGCGTCCACGCCTTTCCGACAAGCTTGACGGGAGTCTTTACTTCTTGGATCCACAGGGGCAGTCAAGACAAGCTACAAAAACCTATTCTGGCAAAAAGGAGGGAAAGGAGCACAGGCATCAGCAGACGCAGTCAGCCCACAATCAAAGAGTTCGCTCCTGAAACGCATTGGCAGCGGATCAAGAACAAGCAAAAAGTGGGGGCTACAAAAGGCGACTTCATCACGACAGCTCAAAACAAAGCGCTGTAACCCCATTTTGTTTTGGTTCTGAGCGCGCGTTTTTCTCTGCTCGCAGCTACTGGACGACGACAAGCTGCATTGGTTGGACGACTTTGCACCGCTGTGCCGCGGCCCGCTGCGCGTCATCGGCAGCCCCAACAACGAGGCCCTGCTGGCGGCCACTCAGTGGGTCATTGGCAACGCGACTATGGACTTGGTTCTGTTCCTCGAGAAGGACTGGCAGATCCTGGAGACGCCGGAAGCGACCCTGCAACGGCTGGACGACGGTGGGTTCCTTGAGCCTGCTGCCGTTGAACAAGTAATCGTCTGAAGATGGACATGAAGAGGAAGCCTCTAACAGAATCTGATGCTTGGGAGCGGCGGTCGAGGAGACGGAAAATGTCAAATCCATGCAATGGACTGTGATTGGCAGATAGCGCCCAATGTTGCTTGTTGCCCGGTCGAGGGCCGGAGCACCTGTTAAAGCAGAAAAGGCCACGATATTTTCAAGGGTGTCTAGGATGCTGTGGCCACTCTCAATAATCGAGACAAGGATTCTCTGTAGGGCATGCTGCAGATGGCGTGAACGTCCTTCTAAACTCTTAATTCTTCCTGAACCGCAGGTAAGATGTTGCTCGAGTACGATATCGCCCACGTGGTGCGCTACCGGCACCGGACCAACCCAGGGAACCCGCTCTACTGCCAGGAGATCTACCAGGTGAGGAGCGAGCCTTGGAATCGAACTCCTTGTTCCACAGGCCTTTTGCCTTCTGAGAGTCTTTTCGTTTATTGGGCTCTCGTTTATTGAGGCTGTGGGCCCACGAAAAACAAAGCTCGAAACTGCGCCTTCTCAATCGTCCCCCCAAACGCTCGGCTTCCGAAAGGTCCTCGCACACTCGCAGGACTGAGGCCTAGCAAAGTAATCATACACCAAACGCTTCTCCAAGACGTACTTTTTCTAGAGCAACATTCGACGCCCTCTTGTCATGCTAAGCCAGGCCGCCAAACTCGTTAATTGCGTCCACTTGCAGGGCCGCGAGATGGAGATCTTGAACAACCAGCCGAACCTGATGTGCTGCGTACATCATTGGCTGCCCAACGCGGAGCTGGCGTCACCCAAGTACCAGCCGTACGTGTACAAGTGCCCTGCGCTACCCAAGCTTAACGGCGACAAGCACGTCATCTTCGAGCGCAACCAGGTCAGTTGCGACGTCAGCGCGGGCCCGAAGCGCGGTCCGCTTGGCTTCGGCCGGTTGGTTTGATTTGTGCCAGCAAAGAGAAAGCGAACGAGCCCTTCAGAGCTCAATTTGACTGCTTGGAATACTGGCCGAAGCCTTCGACACTTTGCTCGTTCATGCTGGGACCTTCGTATCGGAGTCAAGAGTAGCGGAACAGGGAGCCAAACAAAAGGCGTTAGAACCTTGCTACATCCCTTTTCAAACCACCAGGTGTGCATCTGCTAAATTCAAAGACTCTTCGCCTGCAGAACGACTGGTGGTGCTCGCGCGCGGAGCACTGCCTGTGGACCAACAACCCGTACTTGCTGCGCCGCGAGTGGTGGGACCGCCACTACAAGCCCATGGTGGACGCGTTGATCGACCAGTGGGACGGCTGGACGGAGCACCAGCGCGCACTGGATATCGAGTATCTCTTCGGTTGGAACCCCGCCTTCTGGAACGCTAAGGCGTGGACCATCGCGGTGGGCGAGGGCCTGTTCACACACGTGGAGAGGGCGGAGCACGTCGAGGTGAGAATGCGCTTTGAAGAGCTGGTTAGGTCATTTGCTCAGTGTGCACTGCAGGAAGATATGAACGCAAGTGCTTCTGCCTAATTGAATGGTGGGTTCCGTGAAGATCTATCGCGTTTCCCAATAGTTCCCGAGCCTCTTACCCGAGTTCGTCGGAAGCTGACTGCCGAAAGCTCCGAAGTGAGATGGAAAGCTGACGAAGTGCGGGTCATTTGTTGGGCAGGTGGACTACAAGCAGCTGCGCGCTGAGGCCGACGAGCGGGACCGCGAGCGCGACCGGAAGCTGGCCGAGCAGAAAGCGGAAGCGGAAGGGAAGGAGAACGAGCGGCTCCGGATCGAAGCAGAGACGCGCGACCAGCAGAAGCAGGCCTTGGTAAACACTCAAACAGCCACGGAAACGGAAACCAGGGCGGCGGAAACGGAAGTCCGGGCCGCGGAAGCGAGGCAGAAGTTGAGGGGCGAGGTCTTTGGGCGCAAGGTGGGCGGAGAAGAGGGGATGGAATCCGCTGAAGAGGAAGCGGACCCGGAAGCCGAAGCGGCGGAAGGAATGGGGGTTGGCGACTCTCTGCTGTTGGAGAAGCCCACAAGTAAATTGGACGATTCGGAAGAGACAGACGTGCCGATTCATCTACGGACTGATCTTCCGATCTGGGAGCTGCACACTCAGCCGAGCGAGGAGTGGGTCCAGCGCGGCCGTCGGATACTGGACCAGTGCACCTTGGACGACCCAGATGGTGCCACGTCAGCCAGCGAGAACCCCAACCCGGCGGTTAAGGGCGACATCACCCTAGTGACCGCGCTTCTAGACCTTGGGCGGGGGGGCGAGACAAACGGGATGTTCAAGCGGGGGATGGACGAGTATTTCGCGCGGTTCCAGCGGATCTTGGACCGGGGTTTTCCGATGGTGGTGTACATGCCGGCGGAATTCCGGGAGCACCTGCGGATCGACGAGGCCCGCGTGCAAGTGCGGGAGCTGACCGTGGACGGGCTGAAAGACGAGGCCCTGTTCGGGCCGTACTGGAACGCCGTGCAGGTGAGGCCGCGGGTTTCGCAACAATCAACGAAGTCCGCTTTGATTGCTATGGTTTCAAAGCTGCAAGCCGGAAGAATCATTTATGAGATCGTTTTAGCGGGCAAAGTTCTGATGAGTCCTTCTCCTTATTTTCGTAGGACTGCACGTGTTCCCTAGGATTGGGGATTGGAGGCAGCTCTTGGCAAGCGCATGCGTTGCCCTTCGTCTGAATACTAATACTCGCTGCACGCATCAGAAACGGGCTCCCCCCGATCATCGACTCCAGACCTTTTTCGCCTTTCAAACACCCCCCTTCTCCTCCTCTTGCCTTTCATTTCCAACCCTATATGAAAATCAAACGCTCTAAGAATCAAATAGCCAACTGATATAAGGCCCCGTTATGCTGCAGTTGATCCGGACCAGCGACTTGTGGCAGCGGCAAGCGGCCGTGACCGGGTGGCTGGACAAGGCCCCCCAGGCAGTCCTGCTGGGCTACAACCCCCTGGTCATGTCCAAACCATTCCTGCTGCAAAAGGCGGCGCACGAGAACCCCTTCGGCACCAAATACTTCATGTGAGCGGCTAACAACGCCCCTTCGACCTAGATGCTATTGATGGCGATGTCGGGTCATCAAGTTTGAGCAACTTCGCGCTCTATGATCTACATGAGGAAACAAGTGGACTTTTGGACCGCAAGTCAGTGCTCAACCCGGACTTGAGACTAGAAAAGCTCATCCATCGTCTTTATTGTAACCACTGTTCTGTTCTTTTCCCATCTGGAAGATAAAGCTGGGAGTACTTGATGGACGGATCGAGTACTGAGTTGTTATTCCTTGATTTGACGTCACGCATGCGAAGTGCAAACCCTCCTTTCCAGGAGCAGATAGGCCCTGTTCGAAAAGAATGAATGAACCGTTCTTTTCCCACATGTCTCCCAGGTTCCTAGACGCGGGCCACGCGTGCGCGACTGAGATCACCCCCGGTCAAACCAGCCTGTTCGAGGAGCACATGGACCGGTTGTTCGCCACGTATTGGCGGTACGCTTCGACGACAGAAGTGCACGGACTTACCGACAAGGCGATGCACCTGTACATGGGCCAGCCGGAGGACCCGCTCAAGATCGTCCGGGGGGGTATCCTCGGCGGGAGAACGGCGGTGATCGACTGCCTGGTAGACGTGTACCGGGTGGTGCTCGCGCAGACGCTTGAGGACGGGTGAGAGAAAAATCCGTTTGCAAACCTCTAGTGTTCTTTGCTGGGACAGTGAAAGGACGTTTGGTTTAAAAATGACTTTCATCGGAGAAGCATGCCGACAGAGTATCTGGATGAGCCAAGCTAGTCGCAGCGTGTGAAAGGATACCGACGGAAGGAGGTTCTTGGCTTGTTTCCGCACGCTCCGCTTGGAGGGCGGCAAAATCGGAAACGGAAGTAAAGTCTAGCAAGCTTTAAGCACTTGCCTCGCATCTGTTTCCTGGTGATCCGTTGTCGGATAGGAGAGCAGTTGCTGGTTTCCACGTCCTTTTAGAAGCGCCGAGTCTTAGCCATGACGTGCGAAGAAGACCGCACCTGGCTGAAGGCTTGTTTCTATTTCTTGCAGCTACATGGGCACTGAGGAAAACTTGCTGGCCATTCTGTACGCGCGCTTCCCGGAGCTCTTCCACGCTTTCGACAACGACTCAAGGGGGACGCCGTGCGACAACTGCGCCGCCTTTTCGGCGAACCTTGAGCGGTACAAAGCAACGGCACAATGAACGGGTTTGCAAAATGGGTCCGAGACTGTTTCATTTGTCAGTTACTAAGTAAAAAGAACGGGAAGAAAGTAGTGGTCGCCAGAGTTTGTTAAGAATCACGCTATTTATTCAGGAGAAACTTGTCCTCGCGGGGTCAGAAACATGAATTGCAATTGTGCGCACATGATCGGACAAAGGTGAACGTGCAGTGCATCAGTGAACGTAGAGACCGTCGCTCTTACGCTTGAACCCCTAGTCTCATGGTTGACGTGGTAATAGGAAGGCGCGAATGCTTTGTGACCGTGACATCCTGGTAAAGCCACGATCTTGAGCGCATCAATCTGAATCGATCGGCATTCAACCATGCCTGTGTACTAGAAGTCATGCCTCATAGAATCCTGAGGGTCATCGATCTGCAGACTGGCAGATGCAACTGCGATCCTGGTACGCGATGGTCCAAGAGCACACTGAGATACGAGGTTCAAAGCGCAAATACTCTTCATGCGGACCGCCTCATATCCGGCCGTACTTGGATTCCACACACAATGTGGCCGCGGCACCGTCCATGTCGAGCTTGAATTCGCGTCGGCCACCGTTAACCAGTATATAGTGCATGCACACCTTATGTACATATGGTGTTCCTGCCACGCTGCCACATGTGATCATGTTGAAGCTGTATAACGATCCGATCATTCCGGTGCCACAGCATGCGGCCTAGCTACGTCCAGACGAGCAGGCCTAGGCGGGCGGTCGACGTTGAAATCTATGTCATCAATACGGGACGATTAGCTGTCTGAGTCGATCATTAACACAGAGCTCTGTGGGCAGCATACCATGCTTTATGAACCGGATATACGAGCAGTTTCAGATATTTCTATGGATGAGCGAATCCAGAGTTACCAAGCAAATTGTTCACGGTTTCCTCCAACGATCCATGATCGTTTCGGGCAGCTTTCGTGATATCGAAGATCAGGAGTTATAGATGTGTAACATTATAAACATGGTACATTTCGAGGATATGCTGGTATATCTTTACGACACAGGCAGCTTGCTGGCACCCAACCTGAAATACACGCGGTGCATGATATCATGCATCAAATTGCGTCGTCAATGAAAGACCCGTGACCTTGCGATGCGCAAATGTCCCAGATACGCTGCTCAACTATTCCGCACCCCGCCCATGAATGTGCTTGGATCAGGAACTTGACCAGAAAACTCGGCTCCAGAGAAGTCGAAGCCAGGATTCTGCAAAATGGGCAGAAAGGGGTTGAAGAGTCTTCTCGTTCAAGGACAAGCCCTCCAGATCCGAAAGTTAGTCCAGATTCGGATACCGAAGCAAGGGCGACATCTTGCATCTGCCTATCGTCATTCGATCTATTAGAAGTCACTAGGCAATTTGCAACTTCGAGGCTACTGAGTTCCGAACTTTGAATTGAGATGCGACTTTGAATCATAACAACAAGGGATGTTGGCCGAGAGTACTGCAAGGAGGTGTGCCCCCTCACCTCCTGTTGGAAACGCTCCAGCATGAGCCGCTTCTGCTCCTGCTCGCTGGACAGGGGGTCTAGGGAGGTGTGCCCTGCCAGCGCAGATTGCCACGCCTTGCCCCGCTCCGCTTTCTGCAGTGTGACGTGCAGGACCCCGTCCTCTGCCATGAGAAGACGCAAGCGATGAGGATGCCAGAGAAATTGCTCGGATGCAGAGAGAGAGAAAGCGTAGCGAAAGAGTGTTCAGCGGTGCGACGTTGATAGGGCCAGAATTACATCCTCGGAATTTTTGCAGAGGTTCAAAGGGATGAGACGAGTCTGCATCAGCGGGCCTTGCTGAGTGACCACATGTAGTTCCAGATAGGGCAAGAGGTTAGAGGCGAATCCAGCCAGCCTGGCTGATCAAATTGGGGTAGACGGATGTCGCACAGATACCCTTAACCTGGCGCTTACCCACTGTCCAGAAAGATGAGTCCTTCTTCACCTTCTCGCACAGTGCATGCTGCAAAACACAGATGTTTGAGAAGTTTATTGACCACCGACTCGCAATCAGTGAGAGAGATCTGGCTTCGTAAGGACTGAGGCCAAGTTCACAGATGAGATGACAGAAGTCCTGCAATTTTCTCTGTAGGTAGCAAGTTCAGAGGAGCTCCGAGGCGATTCTAATAACCCAAGAAACTGTAGCAATCCTTTTCTACATGGAACGAATTGCTGCGCCCCGAATAAGATGCAGCTTGCTGATGCAAGGGGGTGATTCAAGGAATCTCGAAAAACATCTCCTTTGGAAGATCGAAATGGATTTGCTTTCTTACATCCAGGTAGGGCGGGTTGCCCTTGATGCCCACCCTCAGGTGGTTTGGCAGTACATCACAATCCAGCTGCTTTGCCTTGACTCCGCTCGGCAGGTCAATGTACACATTCACTTCATCCAGGCTCTGATCCCATTCATATATCTTCTGGCCTGGAGCGAAGGGAGAAGCAAAGAGGAGGGCGTCATGGATATTCTAAGAAGTTCTGCTTTCCAGTTTTGAACTTCAGCGAGAAGTTCCATGAACCTGTCAGCCTTGCGGCACCAGAAGTCACGCATCCTAAGCAGGCACTGCCCAAAAGCTAGCGGATATCTCGACAGGTTTTCAAGTTTCTCTGGGAGCTTGAAGAAGTTTGATGCAAAGGGTGGTGAATTCAGCAAACGGGCACCCTCATCACTGACCGAAGCACCCTGACGCATCTTGTATCAAGTTGCACAGCATTGGAGTACTTTTTAAGAATGTCTCCACATTCCTGCTCATCCTGTTTCTTCTGCTCACATGTCAGGAACTCACCATGATGGACAAAAGCGTGCCTCCGGTCCGGTGCGAGTTTTTCAGACATTTTCTCAAGTCATTGCACTACCTCAAAGAGTGCCTCTAGGAGACATCTAGAGCACTAACTGCAGTTCAGATTTCTTCTTCAAAGCTTCACGTTCGAGGCAGCTCTCTCAAGCTTGTGGTGGTCGTCTTGTTTTCCAATCACTCTTCCACGCCACTCTCCATTGGCAGCATCCATCGCCTAGATCATGGGCATTGCGCTTGAGTGACAGCGACTGTAGCTAGCAATGACATCAGATGCTTACGGATGCGAAGTCATTTGCCTTGGAGTGGCACCAACGCTGGGGAGAACCTTCACTTTCAGGCCTTGACTGAAGCCTGTGAAGGGATCCGCCTCGCTTTGCTTCAAGTTCTGCTCACTGACAAGATCAGCTCAGAGGAACCCGACTGGATAACTCAGTCTCAAGTGTAACCGCCAGCCTATAGGTCGACCGTATGACGCTGCAGCTGTCAGGATTTATGAGTTGTAATTTTCCACCTTGGGCTGGGAGTCTGGCAGTGGTAGTGTCGCAGCGTTACTTAGACGGTTTTGAACACGAGTTCCACTGGCGTATGAAAATTAGTAAAGTCCTACCTATGCACCGGTTAGGAAGAGTGGTCAGCCTCAAGGCAAAAGTTGAACGCTGGAGGCAGCTGGAGGGGCAATTGAACCTGATGAAGAGCTAGTGCTTTCATTGTCAACTTCAACTTTAAGTTGTGCCAGTTGGTGGTGGTTGCTTTGCTTCTCTGGCTTCGCCCTGGGCCTCGGGGACAGCTCGTGAAGATCTTTGGATCAAAGCGAGTGCGTCAAGCCAGCCAACTCCCCGTTGCTTAGTTTCTTCCTGAGCAACGGAATGACCATGGGGCCCAACCCTTTTGAAGAGCTGGCAGAAAAGTTCAGGGAGCTCCAACAAGGAGCTGGAGAACACTTAGGCAAGCTGCGGCAAGCTGCGGAGGCACTGGCAGCAAACTTTGATCCGAAGAAACGGGAGCAGAAGCGGCGAGAAGCAGCAGCTGAAAGCAGTAGCCAGCAGTTTGGAAGGCAAAGCTCAAACGGCCATTCTGTAATTCATAGAAGGGGACACGTGCAGGGGCCAAAGAAGGTCCACCCAATTGCTGCCGTTTCGGTTACAGAGAAGAAACACACTAGCAAGGTCATTGCCAAGCAGCAATTGGTGCAAGACAGCTTTCGGGGCGGCAAGCTCAACGCAGTGAATTCCGCAGCGCTGGTCGTTGAAAAAGATGAGCCAATCGCTGAGGTCAGTGTCCAGCCTCGGTGGTCCTGCTTGGCTCATGCAACTCTGAGGTTCCCGACAAGCAGCGTTCTAGCTTGGAATGGGGAACTAAGTGCATCAGAAGCAAGGCCCACCATTCAGAATACTAGGCTGTTGTACCACCACCTTGCACAAGAGTAGGCGAAGTTGCCAGTGCGCATCTGCGTTGATCATCATGTTTCTACCTCCAGCCCCTTCTTAATCTACCACCATCGCCACCATGTGTTGTGATTGTTTCTCTTGAAGCAGACTGAGCAACCCAGACAGTGTTCGGTTAGCAAATCCGGGTTCAATCTATGCAGGCTCCTGCATCGGCTGCAGTCCATGCTCGCGAAGAACTAGGCCGGTCCACATGGACTATGTTGCACATGTTGGCAGCTCAGGTATGCTGCCAGCAGTATTCTTCTTCCTCGGGGCTGAACGCCTCATCGTTTTTGGTCCACTCAGACGTCTGTACTTGTGAGCAGCACTTACGGTTGTACTTGGGCAGCCTATCTACCTGCTTAAGGGGACTTGGAGACTGTTTGGTCAACCAGTGTCGTGCGGTTTCCAGTAGGTTGCTGACTGGTCAAATGTGGTGGCACGGGTGGTGGTTTGCTGTGGGCCACCTAATTAGTGCCCCAATTTTTAAATTGCAGTACCCTGAGCAACCAACGAAGCAGCAGCAGAAGGACGTTAAGACCCTGGTAAGGCAGATGTCTTTCCTCACATGCCTTTTTGCTCCTTGCGAAACTCCCCTAGTTGAAATCGCTAAGCTCTCTAAGTAAGCCCTCTGGATCCAACTTGTGACCAAGCTGGGTTGCTTGCACCTTACGCGAAAATTCTCCTAGCATTTTGGAGAGTGACAATCCTGTGTGTGTTGTCAAATCTAAAGCAGAGTAACCCCTTGAGTTTGAAGGCTCTGACAAGTTTTGGTGACCTTGACCCTGTACTCTACTTGCGCATATGATTGGCATCCTTGGCTTGCAGATGGAATTGATGACAAGAATATATCCGTGCAAGATGTGTGCGGACCACTTTAAGGAGGTGCTGAAGTAAGTTTCTCTCGCGATTGCGTCGGCCCTTATATCTGGAAAGCGAACTCTCGTTTTCTTAACATAGCCACAAGAAGTTACAGACAGAGTTGGGGACCAGGTAGCTTGATGCTGTACAAAGGGACCCTTGTTCCTCAGAGTCAAGAAACCCAGATTAGAGAAATCCGCTTTGCACCTTAAGAGGACCTTGGATATCTGCTTGCCTGCAACTTTACACGAGCACTACAAATTCCCATCATCTAGGCGACTTCAGTAAGATGAAGTATATCGTGGATCCGGTTTCACTGATCCCTACGTGCATTCTTCTGCAGGGCACATCCTGTCCAGGCAGACTCGGGCTTCGAACTAGCCCAATGGATGTGCCAAGTCCATAACGTGGTGAACAGAAGGTGAGATGCATCCAACTCGACTGGACAGCGATTGCTGTGGCCATCTCTGGCATCGTTTTATGCGAATGTCAAGGTTGATTTCGCCCATGCAACCGTTCAGAGCTCCTTCAGACCGTGTGCGGAGTGGCCATTCTCACCTTATCGTGTCGTCTGCAGCCTCAACAAGCCGTTGTTCCCTTGTCAACGGGTGGATGCTCGGTGGGGGGCATTGAATTGTGATGAGGATGCTTGCAGCTTAGAAGACCGCTCAATAAAATAGAGGTCAATACTTTCTACGGACAAGGGCAATCATAGCAGATGTCAGAGATCAGCGGTTTAATGAGCTGGACGGCATGAATCCCCAGGTAACTTTTCAAGATTCAATCTTGCATTCTTCGAAGGTGAGCTCTTAGCGGAGCTTTGGGCATGGCCAGCCTCTAAGCCCCTGGGAAGTGGTAGAGCGGAAGCGCTATCTTCCCGGATCTGTAAAGTGAATGGCTGATTAAGTGCGATTCTTCTTTCAGAATTCTGGTAAACGTATTGCCCAGATTAAGCCGTGAAGGTACTGGTATAGCTGCTGTCTCATGGTCATATTGACCACTATTGTATGGGGCCTTTTAAGCGGCCAAATTCTTAGAACAGGGCGGCTTGAACGAACTTATTCACAAGTCATATTCTAATCGGTAGAGCTAAAAGCGAGTATCTTCGAGTATTTGTAATGATCGTTTTTGCATCTGATCTCAATCGTTTGCTTGCACATGTACGACTGACTGAGTGGGATCGATCATGTCTCTTTTGGGAAAGTCCCGGTCACCGATTAATCCGATATATCGACTCGTGCATAACTTGATCAAAGGCCCATTCCGGTGAACTTGGCAGGATCATGGCGCCCGAATGTATGCATCGTCGGATCGCATCTCCATCCACAAATCCAACTAGCTTGCATGCAGTCGTAAGGCCGGATAGCATCGAAGCACTGAAGACGCGCAATTCAAGTACATGGATTTCCTCGGCCACTTCACGGATAGGGTCGGCACTGGAAGACGGGATGGAATCTTCATATGAGTGCCACTGCACGTAAATCGGCATCACAATGGACACAAATCGACCGCACTCGGGAACAACCGTGACTGGGTGCGCTCAGGACAACTATTGCCGTACGCGTCCCAGTCCCTACGCTTGTTCCGGTTCCACATGCTATAGCTCTCTGCAGACTTCACCAGGGCTCTTCGAGCATTAGACGGAAATCAACCTCTGAACCTACCTATCGAGTCCGCTGACTAGCTGCGCGTGATCCTCGTCAAGAGCTCCAAGCCAACGACAGGTACATCTGCCGGTACCTACAGACTTGAAACACGGCGTCAGCGGCTTCTGTCATCGCAAAGTAAGGAAAACTAACATAAAACTTTTCTCTACCACTTGACGTGCTCGACGTTGGGTACAATGCTTAATTTACATTCGCGGACTCGAACCTTTGAAGCTGGTAAAAGATAAGGTGCAAATAGCGTGATTCAAATTGTCAGGAAAAGCAAAGTCCGGCACTCTTGATTCCAAGAGAAGAAACGGAAGCACGAGGAAACCAGACGCACCATGTGACCCGCGTTCAAGATCCAGTAGAAGGCCAGGTTGTCGGAAGCCTTGACGAACGCTACCACCTGCGGGGACGCTTCCACGTAGATGGGCTGCCGCTGCGCCTTGTTCCACGTGTCGAGCCCCGGCCACCTGAAAGATCGCCAACGATACTAGATGGTTGGTCCTGGAAACCAAGGCACTCTGACAAAAGACTGGCTGCGGAGCCGACTACGTGCTGCAATGGGGGTTTCCCAGACTTCAATCAAGATCTGTGTGTTGCAACTCTAATCTGCATGTAGGGTGTCAAAATCACAAGCGCTTTGCGGGGATGCGAACTGATGCGCGACTTTTGATGTCGTTTGCACATACGGGACCCAACTACCTTCCGAGAGATCGAAAACACAAAAAACTGCAAGAAATTGCAGGAATAGAGGGCCCCTTGAATGAACACATGCCCGGACGTTGCAAGAAAGCACTTACTTGGAGCTTTGCATCCAAGCCTGCGTGCCGGTGGTACAGCAAATCAGGTCCAGCTGCGGCGGAAAGATACGGCACTTGAAGAAGCTGATAGCGGCGGGCACGAAGTTTGAAGCGCGACGATCAAATGACGGAACGCGTTGTGCGTTCACAAACGATATGCGGATTCTGAGAAGTAGAATGACGGACTGGATGCTCTGATGCGATGGTCCGATCGGGGGATGAATAAATACAAAGTTTAGATTGACAGAACAGTGGCGAGCGCTGCTCCGACGATGGACATGTCAATTAGTCCAATGCCTACTAATCAATTGCCACGTCATCCCTTCCAACAGCGTCCCGGCCCCGGTCCTTAAAACTTACTGATTCTCCTTGAACAGGAAGAAAAACAAATGTAAGGAGCAATCACCTGTCCACTGTACACGGTGACGCTCACCCCGGTAGCCAGAAGAGCTTCTACCTGCACAAGCAACATGCGAGCCGTCGGCCAACGCATGAGGTGGGTGATATACGTGCGCGACTTCTTGGAGATCTCAAGTACGCTTCCATAAAGCAGCCGATGGGGATCCTCGTAGATCAACATTCTATGATGCAGGTCGCAGAATCATTCGAAGAATGCACACTCAGAAACTGTGGTTCGCCGTTCCTCTACCCCGATGCGAACAATCAGCAACTGCAAGAGAAAGCAGTCGGCCGCTGAAAAAATGCAGAGAAGTGGACAACGAAGGGCAGCAACGTCGTCGACAACGCTGGAGCTTTGAGGAATCACAAGTCTCTCGGCTGCTTAAAACTGGTTCGCGTTATTGTGGCTGCTCGCGTCTTTGCGTTTGGTTTCATGGTAGGGCGTTTTCCGAGATCTTCGAAGTCAAAGCGCCCACCTTGTCGACTACGGGCTTCATGAAGTCTCCTGCCAGGCGCGCGAACACCTGGGTCGACTGCCCACCCCACCTGCGAAGAAAGCGTGCCATGATGTCAGATGCACGGAGCGGATATCGTCCCGTCGCAGACACTGCTACGTGGACAATTTAGTTGTTGACTTGGAAGAACGCTCTGGAGAGACTCCGTGCTCGACATCATGCATCAAAAATCGACATTCGTCTCCAGTCTCTTGAGAAGAGAACTCAAAAATGCTGCGACTCTTTTCGCCGATCATTTTTTAACACTCGAGATGTTGAAAACAGGCAATGAATACGGCTGGCATTCTGCCGGAAGACCTTCGAAGCAGAGTCTGACCTGACGTTTTTGGGAATGATTCCGAGCTTTTGTCGGATCGGCCCGTTCATCAGCCCATCCAACGGGTCTGTATGCAGTCGATCGACGTACTTCGTCCTCAGCTTTTCCACAGCCTCGGCAAAGAGTGCGCCCCCCGAAACCGCCCCCTCTTCTGTATCCAAGGCCGCAGCGTGCAGTTTCCTAACCGTCTGATCCGTCGCTCCCATGTTCTGCGGTCTTTTTCTTCGTAGGCGCAAGCTTTGCTGCGAGGCGCGGGCCTCCGACACTCTCTGAAGGTTTCGCTCGACCGACTCTAGGACTGCTTCGCTCCAGGCCAGGCGTTCGCTTTTAGAACACTCGTCGGATGCCAGATTGGGCGGGGAGTGCAGCAGAAGGTTGTAGAAGTTGACGTTCTCGGAGTAGGTCTCAATGATGTCCTCCGTGGCGGCCCACAGGCTGGTCGCGTTCGTGAACGCGTCGGCTTCGAGCGCTCTCTCGGTGGCGTCCGCAAACCTAGCGAATAGAGCTGATGGTGAGGGGATAAACGTGGCTCGTTGGTAAACGGTGCCACTTTCGTGTTCGTCTGGTAGTGATCGTGCTCTATTAAAAAACGGCCTCGAGCGCTATTTGGATGGCGTTTGCGAGCCTAGCAGGTAAAAAGGCCCGACGCGTGACAGCGCAGATGTGTCTCATCGTCAAACTCCAGAGACGGACAAAGCTTTAGAGGTCGTGCCCACGTGTCCACAAGAACAGCAAGTCAGACGCGCCTATAATTAAAATCAACAGAATACTTGCGAAGAGGTGCACAATACGAGATACCTTCGCAGGAATTCTGCACAGCAAATGAAGTTCGAATTTACTGAAGTGCTAAAACACCACGGTAGAGGGCTGAAGAACGACGAAGGAAGCCACTCTTCTTTTCTTTGTGAAGGTCGTGATTGTCGCGCTGGTTGAGTTCAGGAGACTGGCGAGAAGTCCCGCAGAAGTACGTTCTTAGAACCCCAGCACCAAGCTTTTCCATCCTTAGTAACGGGTCGACTGGGTAGACTGGCGAGTAAAGGATCATAATTCCATCCTTAGTAACGGGTCGACTGGGTAGACTTTTTAGTAAAGGATCATAAGGTGGTTATTCTGCCAGGCTGGCGGTCCAGGGGCCTCACTTTTGGATGGCGTCCGTTTCCACTCTGTCCACCAGCGAGTAGGACTGGAGCAGGGGACCCCACGCCAGGACATAGTCGATGGGCGAGATCCACGAGTCACCAAGCGCGACGCCTGCAGCCACCGGAGAGCAGGAGAACGCATCTCAAAGTCAAGGTCGGCAGAGCTCATACTGAGAGAACCTCACTACAAACACTTCGAGACACAGATCTTGCGAGTATGTGCCTCCGACTCGTGCTTTTACAAGAGTTCGCTGTTCTATGGTCTGCTTTTCGAACCAACTATCAAAGAGAGTTCAGTGGGGTTTGGCAATTGGTTTACAGAGATTGTAGAGTCTTCCGCACCCAGCTTCATATTACAAAATTGAATTCATTTGATCTGGACGTGCAAAAATCGCAGGCCCACCTCTGAAGTTGGTCTTCACCTGGCCCTTTTGGACCGCTCTGTGCAACTCGAGACCGAATTCCCCCGTCATCTTCCCGCCGTAGCTCTCGCAGATGATGTAAAAGGGGGTCGCTTGAAGGGCGGGGTGCTCCTCAAAGAAGGCCGCAGCAAAGGCGACCAGGTCGGCAGCAATTTCAGCGTTGGTCCGGGTCAGCTGGGAAGCTTTCTCGACATAGCTGAAGCCTGGGAAGGAGGAGCAGTGGTGGTGATTACGACTGCTGTAGGAGCGCTGGGAAGACATGCAATTGCTGAAGTAACTAGCCGAAACTGGGGCACAATCCTCATTTGAAAAGCACGTCAGGAGAATCTACTCAGTTTTCCACCCATTCCAACGTTTGACTATCAAGAGGAGAGCAGATGTGGCTCCTATCTTGCACCGAGCTAATCAGGGCATTAACAGGGGGGGGAAAATAATCGTCAGACTTAGGCATGCTGGACCTCTTACCTGTTCCTACAGGGTTGTCGACGAAAAGCAGGTGCGCCTTCTGGAGCCATGTGTGGGGGCGTGGCTCTAGATTGAGGTTGAGAGGCCCGATCTCAGCAAAGTTGCCGAAGCCCACCCCAGATGCCCCGGGCCCACCCTGGGGGGGAGGACAAACCAGAGTAAATAAAGACATAACATGATTGACTATGATTCTGCATCAAGAGGAACGGTGGACAAGCAGGCCTGATTTCCATCAAGCACTGATGTACGGATCACGAAGCTGGATCCTTTGCATCGCGCCAGACAGGTCTTTCAAGAATTTTCTAGCTGAAGTGTTGTGGAAAGCTGACCTGTAGCCACAGCACCAGGGGCACCGTTGCATCGTGGACGGAAGCTAATGTCGCGTTGCTGTAGTACAACCACCAGAAAGTGTGCGCACCTGGATTCCACAGGTGCTTACGTCAGCCCCAAGCAGGACACGTGGTCGATGAACGCAAGGACAGAGTGTGCAGTGTCATTTTGGAGCAATATACTAAGTCCAAAAATATGCTACCTGAGCAGCTGTACCTCCAAGACTAGGAGCAACTATCATAACAGACAAAAGTAATGCAGCATTGCTAGCTCACTAAAAGGTCCTCTTCAGTACATCCCATGAGCAAGCATGTATGACGTGTTTGAAGTTGATTGCACACGGGCAGGCTCCATCAAGTGATAAACCAACGTCGCACCTTCTCGGACTTCGGTGTACCCCCATTCCTCCGAGCCATCGAGTGCGCCACCTCGAGTTGGCTGCAGTCTGCATTGCACATGTTCTGCCTGCCAAGCTGCTAAGAGAATGACAGCAAGCCATCTGAACCTGGCAATCTGGCCCCAATGGCGGACAGGTCCGCAAACTTTGATTTGCCCCATGATTGCGCCTCGGAACAAGAAACTTGAAACTCGAAATGCACAAAATCGGCATGAGACAGCAGCCTCAGTCGATCGGCTCAGTTGCAATTGCAGCACATGCATGCGCTACAATTCAACAGGGCGTAAGAACAACCGTCGATTTGTTCACGTGCACTGACACGCTGGCCCTCGTGACCATCCAACGCTTTCGAAGCAACTTCAATTTCGCGGGCTGTATCCGTCCGATGACGGCAACAATCATCGACGGTAATCGTCCGAGCATTTTGGCGCTGGTGTGATGCAGAACCCTAATCTTCAGTGGACCTCCCGGCCATGTGCAATTTAGCAGCAGCTTGAACGGCAGAGGGCGGCAGAGACAAAAGCTAGCATTGTGCAAGCTAAGTAAGACAACTCCAGCTCCAGGTGGACCCTTTGCCTTCGTTTGGAGGCAACAATCAACCTTGTCAGCATAGTCCAACATTCGCTCGCTTCCTGCTGGGGCGCTGTTAACTTTTCTGACCATGGTCGCAGCTGACCAGAAAGCGGGCTCGGGCCTTTTGACGCCCATCGACAAGGAGGAGGACTTTGTCGAGAAGCTATGCAGTACTGGCATCAAAGGTGAGGACGCTTGTAGCTCACACACATTGTCTTTGGTTCAGGCGATGGTTTGCAAATTGAGAAGAGTCCTGGCAGGTCACGCACTGTGCCTTGCTGATAGCTAGTGCGCAAGTCCTTCAGTTCTGTCTGGTTAGTTTATGTCCAAACATCAAGCTTCTATTTTCTGAGGCGTTTGAGCATCTCACTCTCGAGATGTAACCAATAAAAGACAGGATCGACCAGATTCATGAAAACAGTGCTGACAGCCGGGTGACTTACTTTGATTATGCTGGATAGCCAGCGGTAAGAAATAAGATTACCTTGGTAAGCAAGTAATCAGACTACCAGTTGAAGACATCTGTCTAAAGAAAGTGGAATGAAGCAGACCCAGCATGACAAGTCTGGATCAGATGGTCATGCCTCAGCTGAACCAGGATGATGAGGGAAGCCACAGCCCATACTTACTAAGGAAGCTCTGATGTCAGCCAGCCTTTTGGATGGTGATTGGTGGTCAATCAGACACACTTATGCTTGTTGAAACTCTGGACTTTGCAGTTGTGGAGGTCTATTCGCCTTGGGTGGGCCCATGCGTAGCCATCCACCCCACCCTGAAACAGCTCAGGACCGTCCTCTCAGACAACCCCAGCACTGCAGAAGTGTCTGTGGAGTTCCTCTCAGTAAGTGCCCAGCCAACATGTCTCCAGCTGCAGGTCTTCATACTAGGTCTGCATGATTTGATAGCGCTTGGTCTGCTGTGGTCAAGAGCCCAAGGCTGGAGACATGGACATTTGCTGTTGGTTCCAAACCCCGCCTTAGCCTTCACACCTTCAATCGACAGCAGAAATCAATCGGACAAAGGTATTCTGGCCGTCGATGAGCGGTGGTAATCGGGGCAGGGCCAGATTTCAGGACGGGAGTCCATGTTCTCTGTCCTTGGGCTCTGTCAACTCACTGTCTCACCTATAGCAAGGGGCCCAAACGAGTAACAAAGGCGCTTTGGAAGTTTATTGATGACTCACATGGCTTCCCCGACCTGTCCGGTCGGGCCTTTGAGCGCGGCTGCCACTGTCATCTTGCAGGTACCCAGTGATCAGATTGCAGAGCTCGAGCAGTTCCAGGGGAAGTCGCAGCCTCACTTCCTTTTGTATCAGGTAAGTCGAACAACCATCTTTGAGGCCATCTTGAGCAGCCAGGTCGAGAACGTTCTAGATTGCCGTGCTCGAGGGTCTGGTGACTTCGAACCAACTAAGTGGCCTCTGACTTTTGCTTCGTGTGAAGGGCTTTCAAGATCACAGCGGACTGAGCACAGACCTTACAATCATCAAAGCAAATTCGGGGGGCTCAATGCTCCTTGTAAGAAGGATCTTTGCCGGTCAATGCTTGGCTCCGGTGCAAAAAGCTGGCAGGCTGCGCAGTGTTATCAAACGAGTTGTGTTGCGCGCACATTCTCCGTACTCGCCCTTAAACAAGTGTTCTCATACATTCTTCAGAACGGTCATCTGAAGGAGACGATTGATGGTGCGAATGCCCCGGCTCTGACAAAGTCGGTGACCTCTCTAGCTGCCGAAGCGGCTGATTCTCAGGAGAATCTAGACGACAATCCGAGGTTTGTTAAGAAGCGGGAAGAGCAGGTTGCGCGATACAATTCCGTAACAAAACCCTCTCAGTGATTCAACCTTCTGTGAGTTCTGCTTATGTCGGACCCCCTGTCGATCTTATCGGCTTATCGACAAAGAGCTGTGCCCTTCATAGTTTGTGCTGGCGACAGTAGGCACATATATATGCAAGGCCACGTTGACGTCAGCTAATTGCATGCGCTCACCTAGAAAAGGGTGCCTCTTGACTCATCAACCAGCGATCGTCTCTGCCGCTTACATATATGCAGTATCAAGGTCAGTTTTAGCGACTCGAGTTGCACATACAAGTGCAGGTTCCTGAACGTACTCGATTGTTTCGATCGTCCGGTTCGGCCTTGCAGGCAATCATGCAACAGAGAAATGCCAACAGCTAAAAAGTCACGAGGCTCGACGCGGTCAGAATTCTGGAATGTGTGAATCGTTTTCATCAGGAGTCAGGACGTGCATGGCGTGTCAGTTGCAATACATGCAACATCCAGATCAATCATCTTTCAGAGTGCGCAACGTGATTATTTGATTGCTGACAGTTTGAAGTCTACATCTATCATTCGATCCACACACGGACATCTTCATTGGCGTCTGCGTTTGCCGTAATTGGTGCACCAATAAGCTGAAGACTTTTTCAACCAAGTCACTCCAACGTACAGTGTTATTGCAATCGATTATGGACATACGCGCACGATAAGAGCCATGCCTGGCATGATCGGCTTGCACATGATGAAGTTTTGAATGATAATGTTCATCTTACCTAGAGAGTACAACGTAAAACATGCACTTAGGATACTTTTACTACTCTAAGAGGAAGATGTATGTTCAAGCACTGATCATGTATCCTGTTCGATTGTTCTTGCTAGTTGGCTCGCACGCAGATTCAACAATTCGCAGACTCAACAGGGCGCATGGTGCAGCTGCACCGTTGCCAGTGTATACCGTTGATACAGAAAGCTCTAGATACTGACATCAAGCCTTGCATGCTGAAATCTGACCAACCGCAGCGCCAAGGCCGTTACGTATCATTGCCATTCAATAGTGAGCATATCACGGCCAAGGTCAAGATATAAAGCTTGACAATCAGCCTTTCTCGAATGCAGAAATTCGATACGCAAGTGAGTGACAGAAACGTGTTTGACTTCTGCACAAATAGACGCCGTGTCTGACTTATCGACTTATAACTGCCACGTGATATTCACAATTCAACTAACCTTACACGTTCACTATGAACTGCATCCAAGTCTGCTTAAGCACTATCTTAGGAGGCATCCTGACTACGGTATGCAAAGCACGGCTGGCAAAAATTCTTTCTCCAGCAGCAAAACAGACACAACTCAAAGCCTCCAACTTCAGCATGTAGGTGTTTCCAGATCACAATGCTATGTACGTAAGGCCGAGCTCCCCTCTCCGCAACCACCTTGTCGAGGCTGCACCTGAGTCCCACTCTTCTCGCACTGCTAGTCAGTGCTGCAGCCTTTGATACCTCTCTTCCTCCTTGTATAGGAGAATCGAAGCCCGGCACTCTTCACGCAAGCTGGTCTCAAGCAAGTGCTCTGGCCACCGAAGCTTGCCCCAGACTTGTCACACATGCGTACCTCATTTGAAGACCGCACGCCTGAAACTTTCACAGGTAGTCTCCCGACCCGCTTCCGAACTCGGACCAGATCGGCATTACAACGCTTCAACCCCACAATGAGCCCCAACGTACCTCTTCCAAGTCCTTTGTCTCTTCCCGCCAAGCAAACCCCGCGACCTCTTCCTTTTCGCTCAATCCTCTTTTAAGGCCGCCCTATACCCAACATCATATCAACACAACTCTTCAAACCTGTCATCCCTGCCCGTCAAAAAGCCCCACAGCGGAGACCCTTTCCTTCCGCCCCATTTTGACGCCAGACATTTGGACGCATCACGCGAGCGCCAGGCCCATACGAACAATCCTGGACGCCATTGCGGACAGCGACATTTTCCTGTCCAGATCCCCAACGCTGGCGCACCGTAGCGAGCCGTCCATGTCGAGGAGCACGGGGCAGAGGCGCGAGCCGTCCACCCGCATCACCACCAGCCGCTTGCCCGACTCCTTTGCCAGCGCAAACAGCTTCAGCACGCCCGCACGCTCGGCCGCGCTGGCAGATTCAGGGAGAGGAGTTTAGCGACGGAGAACACTGAGTGTGATTGTCGAGCAAGAAGAGGAGGAACAGAGCGGAGCGCAAGCGTGCAGGTGATCCGACCGGTTGGAGCCGACAGGGAGCGCCGCTTCGAAACGCGGGTCCGATGCAGTCTGAGAAGTATATTGACAACAGCCAGAGCCAGCCTTTTGTCGTGAGCTTGGTTGTGCAGCAAGAAGCTTCAGAACTCTGCTGCGTGCAACACGCCTCTCCATAGTGCCTGTCCTCTGCTGATAGGGCAGACTAACCAGCTGCAAGTCAAGCAAGCCGCATTCAAGCGAGCCGCATTCAATTGAGCGAAGCAAAGGACAACAGTAAGTATCAGGACCCAAGGCCGCGCGAAGGCCTGACTCGACTTGCCAAAAGCAAATAGAGAAATGCAAGCCGCCGTTTCTGGAGAAGCGACTTAAGGGCAGCGCTCAAAAGCTCCTTTATGCAACCGTTTGTTCTAGTCAAATGAAGCTTCTGCCGATGGAGCAGACTTGCGAACCATGCGCATCCCTCTACTCCGACGATATCATGAAGCTAGAACAGCGATAAAAACGGACCTGCGTAGCGCTGAACTAACCTGCCGGGCCAGACGGTGGAGACGAAGACGAAGCCCTCCTTGGTCCTGGAGAAGGCCATGCCCATCTTGGCCCCCGGGTCCACCTGCACCTCCACCTGCATCTCCGCGACAGGGGCGTACCACAGCCGCACCGCGCGCATCACCGTGATGTCATCCGGCATTGCCCGGTGGTCCCGGTACCGCATGGGGATGGACACCTGGCACAGGAAAGGGGACGTGGCATCAGTGGGGTTCATTAGGTTGTACTTATAAGTCCAAAAGTGTTTAGGAAGAACGAAAGTTGAGGTCAAGGAAAGGACGATGCTACGATCTCAATCACTGCTTGAGAATCGTCCCAATGGAGGGAATTGGGAAAAGAAGCGTACTGCTCGAAGGCTGCGCGTTGAAGATGTGTTTGTTGGGCCTTATTTCGAAAGGGAACTGCTAGATTGGCACGGACGGTTTACATCGAGTGGGTGCAAGCGGATCTAACATCTTTCGAAAGTCCAATATGTTCTCACACTATATAGAACCATGGCCAACAATACTCACCAACGCCTTCCGTACGTATTATTCCAAACCATGCCGATTTACGATTAAAGTAACGGTCTGGAACGGAGGTGAGCGGAATTTGCCTTACCTGGTAGGACCCCATGTTAACCAGGCTCTCGGCCATGGCGTCCTCCTTTTGGTTGGGCAGCGGGATGATCTCGGTCTGCACGTTGGTGAGCGTGATGGGCACGCCCGACTTCTGGGAGCTCGCAAACCAGGCCATCGCACGGTCCGTGGTATCGTGTACGTCGACCAGCTGCAGCAGCGAGAACCTGGGTTAGGGTGCAAACCCAGGTCCAGGGTTCAAAACCCGAGTGTTCCAGGCGATATTGGAACCACAGGACTCTCGGTTTAAGCGACAGACTCGAGGCTCAAGGGAAGTGCCTCAGATGGTCGACTTTGTAACCCTGACTTCAACCCAGACACTCAGGGCTCCGAGGTTCACTAGCTGACGATTCCTAGACTCACAACTCCAACAGCTTTGACGGGCGCCTTAATCGATTGACGACCCTAGGGCGTCTGTTAAATTCTGCTCAACTTCTTGTTCGCTACCGTTGGTGACTACATCAAGTCCTGTGGTGTTACAAACAGAGTTGCTTTGCATTGCTGGCAATTTCCAGTCTCCACTTTCAGGGCCTTCCTTTGCTTCGAAGAGCCCGAACTCCCTCGTGAAGGAAAGAGGAAACATACGACGAATATCGAGTCACGGTACTTTGTTTAAAAGGAAGACCTGGATGACAAGCCCCAGGAAGAGAACTTCAGTGAACGAAGCAGACACAGGACGAATATATTGGCCTGCATCGCATCTATCTGGCCCGCTTCTAAAGACTTGCACGTGACGTCTTGAAGGACGAAGATGCCAAAGCGGGCTGGCCCCCCACTCGCCCCTGACCGTGCAACAAGAAAATGCAAAGCAGCGAAAAGATGTTCCACTCACGTCCATCATCTTGACCCTGCGCGGCATGACCACAATTGAATACATCGTCATCGGCAGCGCCCCCGGCCCCAGGTCCTCCGCCTCGATCGGGCTCGCAATCGAATCCGTCCGGATGCGGAAGTCCTCGAGCTCGCTGCTGGCACTGAGGCGCACTCCGTTGCCCCCGCCCTTGGTGCTGCCCTTGAGCTGGCGCTCCGACTCTTTGGCCAGCGACAGCCAGTTTTTTTGCGTGTTCTCCTGCAACACCGCGTTGGCCAGCGTCGTCTTGCCCTGCAGCTTCGACGTCTTCAGCTCCGCAACCACATCCACCTGCGAGAAAGGGAGACAAGACAAGGATTGCCGATTTACCTTCATGGTCATGTGCGGGGAGCCTCAATCTGGGATCATGAGAAGCGTGCGGCGCAGAGAAAGGGAAACAAAGCTCGGGCATACACTTTTCTTGACATGAACACGCGCTCAGAGAAACATATGGACAGTGAGTGGGGACAGGAGAGAGGGGAGATGGCAAATGCTGTCGTGAAAATTGATGCCATTTGCTGGGCGCACTATTTTAGGTCGTCAACTGATTGATTGGCGTTTTTCTTCATTGGCCTCAGGTGACCTTGGCACTCCGCTGAGGTGTAAGGCCATATGCTCACTTCAATTGTTCCCTTGTGCGGCGATATTAACTGCATCCTTGAGCCCTAAACTCCTGTAGCATCCTCTGCGTTTAGAGTGGGTGCAAAGCGGTGACTAGACTGACACGTCTTCATTGTGACTTGAGCAGAATCCAAAAGCAGTATCGCCCCAACCTGGCCATTTCAGCTATGCCAGTCACACAGTCACATTGACATTCTTCTGTCAAAGTTGGTAAACGTGATGCTTGAACTAAACCAGACTACAGGACAGCAGTTAACAACCATGCCTGTCCGACAAGCAACATACCAGGAGCGACCGGTAGCCAAAGTAGGCTAAGTCAAACCACATCAAACCATGTAAAACTGAGCCTTTGGGGGGACCCGGGCTTTCAATCAACTTTGGGCAAGTCACAAAAGTCGCTAGGGGACAACTGAACGCTCCAAGCCAGACCACTCGAGTTTCAGCACAACAGCTCCAGCCACTGTTTTGCTAGGGCTCCAGTTGAGTGGGCATTTACAAAGTCCTGTGCCGTCAAAATTGCAGAGACGCTCAGAAGCGATGTCATTTGAAAGACAACAAGAATGGACGCCCCCTTCAAAGACAGGGCATATGTGCTGATATGTATAGAGCCGTCCAGCAAACCGGCATACTCGGTGCCGGTGATCCTCATTGCTTCGACCGTTGCCCTACTTGTACTTCCCTGCCCTGGGCTTGCTGCTACTTACCTCGTCCATGAGCCTCTCTACCCGCAATTCTACCACCCCTTCCTTTGCATACTTTTTGAGCTCCTTGTTGACAGCCTGCGGGCAGAAAACGTTTCAGTCAACGCTTGAAAAGCATGCTCGGGTGCATGATCATATGAAGTCTTTCATAGGCGACTCAGAAGGTCATCCCGGGGTTAAATGAGACTGGTTAGGGTTAAGCCAAAGACTTCAGGTTAACTGGCAGACTTCATTTTAAAGGGCGTATGGTGTCATCCTCGGACAGTCTGTTCTGAAAACTTGATGGCTGGCAAGGTAATATTGACAGCCATTCCTTTGCCTTTGCAATGCTGAGACCCTTTCATTGTCTTCCAGGGGAGCTCTTTGTGCAATTTGAGAGCTGCCCTGGCATAAGAAAATGCCCCCTAACCACTTTGCTAGTCCGAAAGTCCCCCCTGACAGTGCATGGCATGAGAGAAGCAACAACTGGCGTCATTGCACCAAGTTCCTTGTTGAGTACGGCACTGCCAAGCAGAATGACAGGCCAGGACGGCCCAGCATTGAGCACCTGAATGAAATTACCAACTCAGCTCTTAATGAGAACCGCACCAAAAGACACGACAAAACGAATAATAGTGAATATATTACCCACCTGCACCCCTCCGGGGAAAGGCCATTCCAGGGAGTCCTTGGCATCCTCGGGGCCTATTCTCACAATGACGTCCCCTGGCCTCAGCCGGCTGGCCCCCGCTGCCCCAGGAAGCTCCCAGCCTTTGCTTTCAAGCACCCCTACTACGAGGGAGTTTTCAGAGCTCATCTCTGGAGAGGCAAAGTACCTCCAACAACCTAAGTGGTACTGAGCAGTTCTTCGACGAGGTGTTTGAAGTACGGAAATATGTTCTAGCAGCCAAAGAGCGCACTTTCAAACAGATGTGGAAAGTCAGATACTCTCAAGCCTCGCATGAGTTTAGCACCCCTATCATGAGGGAATAATGGCGTTTCTAAACCCGGGGAAACCTTTAAAAAGCTCAGCAATGCCCTCCAAAACCTGTATTGCTGAGAACGGACCGCCTAGATGTGGAATGTATGCCCGCCCACCCCAATGTGGATTTCCAGATAATGATGGATGATGGAAGCAGCTGCACAGAGCGCCCTTGGACACTACTTCCAGGTCTACAACACGCTTTGAAGCTGCTGAGAGTGAGACACCATACGAGGCTGTACTGTTTACAGCATGCTTCTTGAAGACTCGTGAAAGGATGCCCTCGCTTCTCTTTCCACCTGACACAAAGGTTGCCGCAATCTCCGCACACCCGGGTCGGATAAGGCAAGCTGGTCCGCGTTCACACCAAGGAGCGGAGCTGCTCGTTAAAACTGGGTCAGTAGATCCTCCGGGGTCCAACTCCGTGGTCACTGGGGCAACGCAGCAACCGGGATCTATGCTTGGCTGAGAATTGGGTTGTGCTGGTTCCTCGAAGTGCCAAACGGCGCCCTCAATCATGCCTTGATGTGCGCTGAGCCAGGAACAGCCTGTCGCGGACTGAATCTCTGTGCCCTTTTCTCAGACCCCCACCCAAGAAGTCTTCGAGATAATGACGGCTATCGTCGCGTTCAAGTCTAAAGCGTAGCATCTGAACCGTCGATCTTGACAACCAATCCTTGCAAGTTCTTAGGTGGGGTACGGAGCAGAAACACCATCTTGCCTAAATGGGAAGAAGGCTCCTGAAAATTGAAGTGGTGATCGCGAACGTAGAATTTTAATTGCAGAGTTTGCAGCAAAGGTTGCCGCTACCGCCACCCGCAACTTCGTGCGCTGGCGCCACACGGCCCACAGTAGTCTGAGTAGAGCTTCCTCTTTGGACTTTGCTGGATTTCAGGTTGGGGCTGAAGGTTCCTTCTTGAGGTAAGCTCAAGGGATCCGCTTCCAGGTGATCCCAATCTGCTAGTGATGGCGGTGCCAGATTACAAGAAGCTGAAGGTTCAGGAGTTGAAGGATGAGCTGGCAAAAAGGGGTCTGGCTGTTGATGGGTTGAAAGCTATGCTGGTTGAGCGATTGGAGGCTGCGGATAAAGAGTCTGAGAGTGACAAGGTGGCACAGGGAGGGAGTGCCGAAGCGCCTCCTTCTAAGCAGAGCTCTGATCCTATGCCGGTAAGTTCTCTTAACTGGATGTTTGCATGTTATCCAGGCATCATATCCAGGCATGATTTGGTCGAGGCCTTTGCTTTCTCCTTCTCTAATCATGCTGGATTGCTCAGAGCTTTGTCAGTATGCAACGTAGTCTGAGCAATCTCAGAATGGTGTTTGCCCAGGCTCTTGTTTGCCTTCTGCGGTATTTGCCATTAAGCTCTGTTATTGCTACCGGTTGAATTTTTAATAAGTTTGGTCTGAGATTATTCAAAAGTTATCAGTGTCCGTGGTAAGCTGCTGGGTGAGAAGTTCTGCGTTACTGTTTGGTCTCAAAGGTTTATCCGCACTGTTGATGCTGCAAATAGAGGACAGGTCCAAAAGTACTTTTCTGCTTGCAGGCGACCACTAATCAGGCTGCATCAGAAGGGGGGCAGGCAGAGGGTTTGTCATTGGAAACACCGGCAGCAAAGGCTGCAGCTCCGGGGCCCGCGGCTACAGCGCCCTCGGCAATTGACAAGAAGAAGCAACGTGCAGAGCGGTTTGGTGTGCCCGTGGCTCTGTCCGATGAAGAGAAGCTGAAGCTTAGAGCTGAAAGGTGCGATTGTCGTCTTTGTCAAGTGTCACACTTTTGTTGTCCGTTACTTTGGTCATTGCAGCACCGCACCTTATAAGAGGAAGCATGATTTGTGGTATTCATGCATATCATTGGTGACTCACCTCTACGAGCTGGCTTTGATCTGACACTTCTTGTCTGTTCGTCCATCAGGTTTGGCATCCAGAAGGCCGGTGGTGCAAACACTGGTAAAGCTGATGGTGCGAAGGGTGCTAATGGAGTAGCGAAGAGTGCCCCCTCTGAGGAGGACATTGCCAAGAAGAAAGCGAGAGCTGAACGGTATGCTTCTTCAACAACCTGCTGTGGTCCTTCTAGGGCGGTTACCCTCTGATCCGGATATACAATGCCTGCAGAAGGGCTTCAGCTTGTGAGGGGACATGCTCTGTCAGGGTTATCCATCTGCTGAAGTTGCGCTTTAACCAGGCCCCTCGTATTGTTACAGCATCTTTCTTGAGACGTGTGGTTGTCCTCGGACAGGTTTGGCATACCAGTGGCTGCAGAGAACGGAGCTTCGAAGGGTACGGCGGATCCAGATGCTGATGAGAAGAAGAAGAAGAGAGCAGAGAGGTATGTTTCATCACCAGTGCCGCAATTTGCAACTTGCATGTGCTTCTTATTGAAAAGGGCACAAATGCATTCTCTAGGTTTAGCAGTGGTAATTTTTATCAGTATCATAGTGACCAGAGACCAGACCATTTGCCTAATCCATTTGAAGTAGGGACCAGAGACAGATTTTGTGCTTTTGCTTGCATGAACGCATACTCCGAACCGCGTAGCTCGGCGATGTGGAGTTGCTTGAACGTATTTTGTCTTGCAGAGCTTGATTTCAAGTTGCATGTGCAGGTTTGCATCAGAGGACGAACAGAAAAAGAAGGCCAGGGCGGAGCGCTTCGCCACCGCGAGTTGAGGGAAGGGAAGGGAAGGGGGCCGGCGGTCCTTGGGGGAACGGGCCCCTTTCAAGGGCTGGGGTTGGGGGTGTGAGAGCATGTTCAATGCAGGAGAGGGTCTGAGAGAGTCAGGGGATATGTCACGAATTTCCCTGGGAGAAGGCAGGCGAGTTACTGTTTGGATGATCCAACGATAGCAGGAGTTTACAGAAGCAGAAAGAGGCACGAGCGCTGATCAGCAGCTGTGGGTCGAACTTAGCGCAAGTTGGTGCAGGTTCGGGGAAGATGATTGGCAGACTCTGGCGGCACTGTTTGCAGCTGGTCCAAGGGTAGGTTGGTGGCTCAGAAAGCGTCAAGCAGGCAGGTGCGGAAGAGGAGCGTCTGACAACAGGCTGGAGAAATCTGAAGAGGGGTTGCCACCTAGAGCTGAGGGCCGGAGCCTGTCAAAAGGACTTGACCATTGGGTCAAGCAACACCCCTGGTCGGATTGCTACTTGGTAGGAGAGGGTGGGGAGGGATGGCAGACAAGTAGGCGGTTGAGTTCATCACCTGAGATTTGGAAGGCACTTGGAAGCGCTGTTCAATGCGGGGGACGAAGAGGGGCAAGGTTGATCTGCGGGCACGTGCAAATGTTAGTTGCTGCACCGGTGGGGGCTTGTTGAGGGGAGTCGCTGGAGGGGGAGGGCTAAGCTGAGGGTTTGACGTGTGCTGCGTGTTCCGGTGAGTAGTTTAGAGCAGGTCGGATTGGGTAGGTAAAATTCTCCGGAAGGAGAGCAGAAACTGAGGCCTCCCAGGCTACGGGCGAAGGAGAGCGCAGCAGATGAAGGGGAGACGTTGTCTCGCGTCTCGAGCAAGAAGGAGCAGAGGGAAAGCAGACTGAAACGACGGGCCTCCTGGGACACTGAATTTCAGAGGCAGAGTCCCTAAGCGGCTCCGGCTGCAATGAGGACAAAGTTCGGAAAGCAATAGGGGAGTCTTGGAGGGGGTGGTTGCAACATGCAGTCACGCTTTTGCGACTGTTTGATGGGGAAGGAGAGACCTTCGGCTCAAAGGTGCTGCATGGCAACGTGGAAGGGGTTGGCGGAGAAGAGGGGAGAGAAAGCGGTTCTGGTAAAGGGAGCCGGGAAATTCTTGTCCTGGGAGGGGGTAGGGCTGCCTTCTTTCGAGGTTAATATTAGTAGTTTGGTAGAGGCCAGGTAGTCAGCATGGGCGCCACTTGGTAGAGGATGCGGGAAGAGGGGTTGCGGGGGAGGAGGGTCTGCTCCCAACAAACATCAGGATAAGCGCAACGGCTGGCAGGTGTCCAAAAGCTCTCGGTCGCTGGCTCAGTCGTCTTGCAAGTTCGTCTGACTGCTTCTATCTTGCTGGTCATTCTGCTTTGTTCCTGCACTTCTTTTTGCCTACCAGGATATCCGGCTTTGGCGTGCTTTGGCGTGCTTGAGGTGAGTTAAAATCTGCTTGTTTGATCCTTGCAAGATGCGTTGCTTTCTACACAGTATTTCTAGCCGTTCGAGATCCTTCCTTGTTTTGCAATATCTCAAAGAGCAATCTCGTGGCAGTGAGCTTTTGGACACCTGTCAGCCAAGCAAAGCTTTTGTGGGGATACCGGGGTCACTTGAACTCGCTGGGCTAGAGGGCACTGTAGCTCGAAATTTCCAAAACTGTTTCGCTTATGCCAAACCTTCAATCTAAATGTGCTACATGCGAAACGACTACGTTTGGAGTCTTCAATCTTTTACATGTGCACATAAGTTGCCGGCATGAGGATCTGGCATGCCTCTCAACACACGCGCTTCTAGATCTTCAGTTGTGAGATTCAACTAAGGGACCACCACGGCGCGGGCCTCAAACAAAGCCCTTTCCAAATCGACGTTGCATTTTGCCGTTACGTGTGGGCGCGCATATCAAGGCCAAGTTCATGTATTGTTCGAGGTGCACCATGCACTTCAAGAATCGGGAACATGCATCCCCTTCACTGATCGTGACTTCAAACTAGTTTCAGCACGATTCTGACATGTTAACCGGTGATGGAATGCATGATGGATCGGTGGCGGTTGCGGCCTGCTAGAGGCGCCATGCGGGGCTCATGAGAAGCGCGCGCAATCACTGATTGTCCCCTTGAAGGCTACCTTCTTTAACCGGACGACCATATAAGTTTCTCTTATACGATACGATCGGCCTGGGACTCTTCATAAAGTTGCAGCTTCAGAGCACGGGACCCCTACGGCGCGACGCGCCGGATCGGTATATTCCGAGGTAATACTTCGGTCCGACCGTGCCCCGACCAAGGTTTCACCGAATTTTCGACCTCCGTGAAGTCGGTAATTCCTCGGTACCCGGTCGGTTTTGTAATGTGCGGGAAAACAAAATTGCGACTGTGAAATCTCCACGGCGCCCGCGTACCGGTAGTACGTACTGTACCACGGTTTGTACGTTTCTTCAATCTAACAGTACAGTAGTT